AGTTAACATCGTCTTACTTGATCTATATTTAAGCTCTGCTGCTGCGCAGGAACGCACATTCACAGCTTTTGCGAGATTGATGTAAAAGTGGCTGGAGCGGCTCTTAATGAGCATAAGATTGTAATAAACACAAAGTCGCTTCCAAACATCTTTACCAGTGGATTATACAAGCACAGATGTTGAAAACCACAGCGGATGCCAACATAAACTGTATAGAAGCAGCGCGAGAGAACATTGTGACAGAAGGTGAAAAACGCTGTCATCATTTGAGATCATTTCCTGCCTGCGCTCCAGATATCAACTCGCAGCGCTCACTACGGCCATCGATCCACATCTGGCGATTCTCGGGCTTCAATAGGACGTTAGAAAAATACATGATTTGTGGGCGGTTGGCTTGACATGCAACACGATGAAAAACATCAACATTTCTTCAAATCTGAGAGAGGAGCTTCGCTTCGGGATGTTCTTGTAAACATCGGTGGATCCAAGTGAAACATCTGTAAGGACGACTTGCAGGTGCTCACCTACACTCTAACTGTGTAAACCAAGCCAGTTCAACTGTTTTTCATACATAAAAATACGAAATAAATGAGTCTAGCAGCTATTTTTCTTATCAATAACAGCTGTGCTTTGGGCGAATTGTACTTTAAATTGTACCAAGGCTCTAAGTTCTGCATAATTAAGGCCTTGGCTGCTTTAAATGAAAAGTGGATCCCTTCAGAGGGCAGTCCACAGCCCAGACACACACCTGACCAATCACAGATCCATCAACACCTCCGTGCTCATGTTTGGATTAGACAGAAGTTAGGCAGAGTCAGGCAATGCTACCACACTGAGGGCCCAGTGTCCGTTCTACTATACTGCACAGCATGCCAGAAACAAGATTGACTACATAAAGTACTTAGTATATCAAATTCAGTGTGCCAAAAGCAACAGGACGCCCCACTACATCTGGTCAGATTGTGCAGGATGTGAGCCAACATGCTTTTCTGGTCATTCTGAGCAGCAGTCCTCAGTGTGGTTATGTCACATAATTATGTCCGACGACAGCTCATTTTGCACTACAGACGGCGAAGGTCACACTTTAAGGCGCAAGATTATGAAAAAGTAGTATGACCCAACTGTATGAAACAGTACTGATCAGCAAGGTCAGCTGTGGTGCGCACCGCAAAGAAAACTGCTATTCAAGAAGTTTATGGTTTAAAAGTCATACAGATCAGAGTGTCTCAAGTGATTGTCGTATAAAGGCACCTTTATCTGGAAGGAGCAGCCACCGCTCACTCAATACTTCTGCTGATAACTGAGATAATAAATACATTATTGAAAAGTCAGGGAATGAATATGAGCAAATGTTCATGTTGCTTTACATCCCATGGAGTCCAGTTACAGAGCCACAAGCTCATATTAAATCTCATCTAGAGTTTGCAAGAACTCATGTGGAGACCCTGAAGCCAACTAAATAAAAGGTTATGTGGTCTGATGAGACCAAAACTGAGCCTTCTGGTAATCAGACTAGGTGCCATGTTTGCAGAACACCAAACATCATCACAACCACACCATCCCCACCGTGAAGCATGGTGGTGGCAGCATCACGATGTACGGATGCTTTTTGGGCCTTGAAAGGCTGGTGAAGGCAGAGGGTAAGATGAAATCAGCAGGGTACAGGGAAATCCTGGAGGACAACCTGATGTAGTCTGCAAGAGAACTGTGGCTAAAGTGAAGATTAGTTTTCCAGCAAGACAACCGACCCGAAGCATACAGCAGGAGTGGTTCGGAGACAACAAAGTAAACGTTGTGGAGAGTCGGAGCCCAGATCTCAATCCAATGGAGAATTCGTGGCTGGACGTAAAAAGGGCTGTTCGCTCGTGATCTCCTTGCAACCTGACGCAGCTTAAGCAGCTTTGCAAAGAAGAATGGGGTAAAAATATAATGTCCAGATGTGCAAGGCTGACTGAGATCTATTCACACGGGCTCAATGCTGTAACGACGGCCAAAGCTGCACCGACTAAATACTGACTTGAAAGGGCTGAACGCTAAAGCAGTCACTTGTTTTACATCATGAATTAATTGACATTACTCTGTGGAAAACTGTTTACACTTGGACATGAATGGTGTTTTTTTTTGTAAATTCTTGTCAAAAAAGCTGAATTATATGGACGGTAATTCAATGTTGAAAGGCAATAAAAGGTGCAAGGGGGTAAATAGTTTTGCAGATACTGTAACACTCTGCGTGCTTTAACTCCCCCTCTGTAACATTTTTGCTTTAAAAGCCGGCGTGAGCCTCAGCCTCAGCCCACATGCCATCATCTATGGACATGATTAACCTGTCATAAGCATGTCACTTTCTGGGCAAGCTTCCACAAATGTTTCTTTAAGTACTCTTCGAACATTCCTGCTGTTATTAAAAATTATTTAACATTTTTCCAATAACAGCTTACCACATTTAGTGTCCATCAGTTGTGTTTTATTGACCCCCTCTTATGCTTTTGATTAACCTGAGATCAACTATCCCTCTGAAATGTTCTGGAAATGTTTAGTAAGGGTTGCTTTTATTAGTCAGTGCCTTCATCACAGAATTTTTTTGTATGTTTTTGCTCCTCATTTGAAACTTGATGATTAAAAATAAAACACACCTTGGAGCTCATGTGCCTCAAGGCTCAACAAGCTGCATGGTCTGCGTACACTTCGTCTCCACAAAACAAAGTGTTTCCTTCTTCAGGACTGCAGCTGAACGGACGTTGTGCAACGCAGCGGTGTAAATAATGAAAAGAAAAGCCACCATTTCTGAGATGTATGAACTGGAGAACTTGGCTGCAGCTCGAACACTAACTCAGACCAGAAGATTTAAACAGAGAATAACATCCACTCCAGTCTGAAGCTTAGCAGACTAAAAATGAACACCTCCAACGTGTGTGCATACTTTTCTATTTAATTTTTCATTCAAGCGTGACTCACGAGAAGTCGAGATGAACAGAGACGTGTCCAAAAAAAAGTGGCTGTTGTGACAAGTGATCTAATCTGCAATATGCATGTGTCTGTGAGTCAAACACCAGCTCTGGTTGGCTTAGGAGAGGTCAGAGGGCAACCTGTTATACTGATGTCTTGGATCGGTTCTTCCTGCGGTTGTGGAGGCGCCCTGACCTATCTCCACACATGCCAACTCCACCACACACTTACATCACCGCCTTCGCCGTTCCTCTTCCCCTGACTGCAATCTAATCACTCATGTCAGCGTTTAGTGGATCCTGACAGATGAGTCCAAGCAGGGCACGCCAACATTTATCAGACTCACCTGGCAAAACAAATATGCAGCAATATAAATAAGATTAGGATAACCGCACAGTTGAAGAGCCCCATCCCATTAAATCTGGAGATAAAAAAAGTGAAAAATGTAGTGTGAGCTGAGGAGAAAGTGGGCTGAGATATGGAGAGCTGCACGTCATCTGGGCCATGCTGCCTTCTAGTGGTGCATTCCCAGGATGTTTACTGAAGCCACAGAGAGGCCGACGCCGACCTGAAGCTGACCACAGCAGTGTTCACACGTTACAGGGACGTTATGTGTACGTTACCGCGACGCCTTCTGTCTGCTGTGTCTCTGCCTGGTTTACATTCAAACTGAATTCTGTATTTTTCTTTGTTTCACTAAAATAAAACCCTGAAAGTTCTAAAAGTAACATGTATGTGATCTATTCTTTGATCATCCATCTGCAGCACAGATTGTTAAACTGATTATTAATGCATAACCACAACATCTTAAGGTGGATTTATACAAAACTAAAGCAGATATTAAAGCCTGTTTACAGGTTCTGGGGAGCGGCACGGCATGTTGTAAACATAAAGACGTTGTAATTATAGGAGCAGCAACTAAAGACTCTCTTTTTTTCTAAATGTGGTGTTGTGGGGTGATCTGTGCGTGAGGACAGAGGCTGCCTACATCATCAGCTACATGAAAGGCATTACAGGTAAGGTAGGCGCCACGGTCTGACCAACAGGAAGAAAACATGGCAGTAAAAAAAAATCATCTGCTGCAATGATTCAGATCCTTTTTGATTTAAACACTGTCCGAAAATGTCTGTACATGAGCTCATGTTCAGCCTCCTAAACAGCAACAGGTGTTTCTGCTGATATCGGAAAGAGCTCCACTGTGGATCCTTTGTATTTTATAATCTGGTTTTTCTTACCCCAGAGACAAAAGGAGGACCACTGCTCAGAGCTGGACGGGGTCCAAGAGAGACCAGGAGAGGTGTGAGGGGTTGAAAGGTGGACAGAGAGGTCAGCAGAGTATCATTAAAAATCCTATCATATGGAAGAGTGCGCTGCCTCTGACAGGTCATAAGGTCTGACGTCCTCCTCCAGACTCCCACTGCTGTGTGAGATGTCCAACCAAACCCCAGCATACAAAGCCAGTGACAGTAGCGCTGCATGACTTTAGCTTAGCGGGCAGCGCAGCTCCCAGTAGCTTGTTAGTTCTTAAGAAGGATGAATGTCGTGAGATGATGGGACTGAACTAGAAGGGGATAATAATAGATCAGATTTATACAGCGCTTTTCTTGCTCAAGGAGTAACTGGGGCAGACTGACAGAGGCCTGGCTGCCATTCTGCCCTCCGACCACCAACTCAATGCATCCAAGGTGGTGAAGTGTCTTGGCCAAGGACACAACGACCATGACACAGGTTACAGGGTGGAATTGAACCGCCAACTTTCCGATCAATGACTGACCCACTCTGAGCCTCAGCCGCCGGATTAATGCAGCTTCCATGTTACTTTAACTATGTAAAATGTAAAAAATCTGCCTAACTTAGGTCATTTTGTCTCCTTTTTTGTCTGCATCAATGATTTTTCTATTAATGAAACGGTGAGGACCATTCAGGGACGTGTCCTGAACCCAGTGAGGTGCTTCTTTTCATTTTACCACACACAGGGTCTTGAAAAGAAACGTTGTCTTTAGGTTTAAATCTACTAACAACAGTGCGCCAGATCAAAAAACACTTTATTTTTAAATCTCGTTTGTACATTTCAACACCTTTTAAAACAACATTAAATACAAAACAGTGACTGTCCTTTGGTCCTCACGAGTCCCGTCGTGTACCGTGGAGTCCGGGTCAGGGTTACACCTCCACTCCTCACATCCACCAACTATCCTTTTGAAGCCACAGGAAGGAATCTGCCTTCCTTTCCCAAACATCAGGATTAGTGAAGGATAGATTTCAAACGGCTTCCTTTGAAGCCCATTTACGGTGAACAGGAGACGGATCAGTCGCTCTTCTCTCTCTTCTCTCTGCGAGCCTTTCTCTTCAGCTGAAGTGTCTTTAGTTCAGTCATAGTGGAAAAGGTCCTGTACACCCACACCATCTGCCAAGACACACACACACACATACCTGCGGTTAGGCAGTGTTTCTGGCATTTGATCTGATTTGACAAGGTGAAGAAGAAAGAAAAACATACCACAATGATGACTGCATTGAGCAGAAGAGGAATTGAGAAGACCAACGATATGAACATTCCCTTGGAATCAAAGTACTGGAAATTAGAAAAGGACCTGCGAAAAAGAATGAAGCTTAATGCCACTTCCTTAATTACGGTCTCACTCTTGGACTACAAAGTCTCTACACACACACATTATTCAACACACAGAAGCACCAAAGCAGAGCTGGTGAACAGTTGTCTTACCTCCAGTTCATGGCTGCCAGCTCATTCAGATATTCAGCACCGTAAACCAGGCCGACTGTGGAGAAAGGTGAAAGCAGCCACTTAACGCAGGAACACCATGTCAGCAGGGAAATTAACTCCTGTTCATCCAAACAAGATTATCTGAATATCTGCATTAGCCAGACTTCACTGGCATCAGAAACATCAGCAGGTGGTTTGATGTGACTTCAAACTATTTTGATTAACAGATGTGCAAAACAAATAGCACAGTTTTCTGGTGGGGCGGGCATGCTAGTCTGGGACCACCTGGGCTTCTTGTTGCCTCCATCTGGAAGACGACCCCCCACAACCTGGCACCCTGCTCTGGGCACTGACAGACGTGACCTCAGGAAGGCGTCTTTCAGGTGAGGCCTGGTCCAGCTCTGAAGCCTAGTGCAGCGCAGCAGCTCCACCTGGTCGACCTCCATGCACCTCTGCATTCTACTAGTTGTATTCATGGATTGTGCATCGAGGCGAGATGACTCCGTTGTATACTTTCATATTTGTGTGTAAGTTTATGAAAGTGTGAGTTGGTCATTGTTCTATACATTTTTTAGCTGTGTAGCTTCTTAAACAGACTGAAGCTTAGGGGTGCACATTATACATATACACACACACACACACATCACCAACCACATCAGTATCGGCTGATAGTGTTTTTCCGATTTATTGGTCCGATGAACACATTTAGCAGATGATTGTCTAACATCAGCGCCTTTGTCTCTACATTTGATATCGCTGCTGTTTCACAGATGTTTTACTTAAATGGTCCTGGACTAAATATGTTTAAATATGTTTTACTTTTGTTAATAAAGAAGACTACGTGGTCTAATCTGGGCCTCTTTTGAACAATTCTTACAGTGCTTACTTACACTCATTTTTTAGTGTGAACAAAAACTGTATATCGACATCAGTGATATCGGTTATCAGCAATATCAGAAATCTTAATATCGGATCTCGGTATCGGCCAGAAATGTTCATATCGTGCGTCGCTACTGAAGTTATCAGGTTTAAATGAAACCATTTTTGTTAAACAAGGCATTTAAAATGATCACTAATTATACACAGTATATCAACTAAAATGAAGCATTTCATGGTCATATTTTTTTCCTGAAACAAGCAGCTTCTCCTGACCTCCACCTGTCCACTGGATGTTACAGGGCTGACTGTCAAACGTACCTATGAGCAGGAAGTGGCAGATCTGAGCCCTGTAATATCTGCAGGTCACCGCAGTCAGCAGCAAACACACAGCATGGAACAGCAGCAGCCCGATGAGCCACGGCTCCGACCACTGCACCTGCAACACACACACAGAGCAGCACTCACCTGAACTCAACTCAAACTCCTCCACAGTCAAACGCAGCAGCAGCTAGCTGTGGCGGCTAACGGCTCGGTAGCGCAGAGCCTCTCGAACCGGACAAATAAACATTTGACTTACCGACATGAGAAACGTCCATATCGACGTTATTCTTAATTTGCTGAACCCGTCGATAGGGATGGAGCTGATGTTCTCTGCTTTTTGTTCCGTCATATTCAGAAAACTCAGCCGAGTGTCAGGTAAACAGGACAGGACCGGAAGTAGCGCTTCGAGTCGCACACGGATGACGTAACGGAGACCGGCACGTTTATCGTCATGATTTAAAAAAAACAAAAACAAAAGCGCAGGTGGGCAAAGTTATACTTTATTTTATTCATTTTTAATTTTCTTTTTTATTATAGTCTCTCTATTTATACTGTTTGTAAAAAAAAAAAAAGAAAATAGATTTTTTTTTTTTTGTTTTGCTTTTTTTTGGTGTACACACATTAAAGCTTTAATACACCCCAACTTACAAATATCATGACTTTCAGAACCTTTACAAATGATCAAACTGACACATACAGAAACACTGAAATGTTTGGGACAACCCTCACATTCATGTCAAAGAATCCTCGTAAACATAGATCCTGCAGAAATTCAGTAAAAACCTCCTGGTCACCATTACCTACGGCTTTGTCCAGCTTGTACAATTGTGAAAATTAAAACACTCTGGAGGCAGGTGTTTAAGACCGGCCTCCTTCTCACTGTGGGAGTCGACTTTACTCATCATTTCTAGCACTTGACTGACGATCACTACCTTCTGAAATATTTCCAGCTTATAAATTCCTTGAAAAAAAAAAATCTGCCCTAAATCAACTACTCCTGTTACTGCTGACCTGCTGTAGATACCACATGACAGTATTTTCCCTCTGTACACCTGCAAACACCAGACAGATATAAACATTCTCCAAGTGAAAAAAAGTGTATCTGATGGTTAGTACGTGCATGGTTTAGAATTTAAGGAGTACATATAGAGGTCACTGTGTCAGTACAAAGAGCAGCTTTATACACTGTGTGCCAGATGTTATGATATTAACCAAGTAGCTATCGCACATCCCTGCTAATCTGGTGGGCTGAAAGAATATCTAGAACCTAATGATCTGCAACAACACATCAGGATTTTAGTGTAAACAACCAATATGAACAACAAAAGAGTTGGAAAAGCACACATGCAAACAGATAAATCGATGACAACCGAGTTATTTGATTAGAACACAACAAGCCTCTGAATACTAACACAAGCTGTTCCTACTGATATGATGAGTCTGTTTGTGCTGTGATAAAGGCAGATTGTACAGTTATGACTGAGCTGCTTAAAGCACAGCTAACATGTGATTCAGTGTTAGAGTTACATGTTTAGACACATTGAAAATGCAATTTTAAATCCACAAAAATTATAAGACATATAAAAAATTCTTTGGTCAGTGTCCAGGGGTTATGGATTATGAACAGACAACAAGCTGCTGCGCTCAGCGTCTGTCTCTGTCTTGGTGGAAGTCAGGGCCAAAAGCAGCTGCTACTGTAATCGGGGTAGAATACCCGAGGGCAAAATTGTGAAGGCCAAGCATAAGGCATTTCCATGTGTACCGAAGTGCTTGTCCGAAATTCTGGAAGACAGAGAAATCAGCAAATTTATTCACAATACTTTAATCATCTGCATTCTGTTCTGTCATTGAGAAGAGAATGTACAAGAAAAGAAGCTCGCATTAAAGTAGGTTCACAAACGGTTTTGTACTGTTACATGCTTCCCCTCCTTCTAGCTGATGTGCCTGATCTCACTCTGTGTCTGCCTCCTTCCCAACAGGTGTACCTGAAAAGAGGGGGAGGGGCCTGCAGCTCAGGCTCTCCTCATTCCAGCCGCAGCCGCAGCTTCTGCAGCAGCAGTGCATCTGATAGTGATTGTGTGTGACCTTGTGTAGGTACTTTTAGTTTTTCTCTTTTTTCTCTTCCTGCTGGGTCCAGTTGTTCAGTTCTCACGGCTGTATTTCTATTGTTGAGGAAATGGTTTGTTTATGACCAGGTAGAGGGGAGGACCCTGCTCCGCTGGTCCATGTGGGCTGGACAGTGGTGGCTCTCTTCCTCTTGTTGTTTCTGGCCTGCCCACCAGTATTTAGTTAGTTTGGGAAGGGGTTTTATTTAGCTAATGTTTTTTGTAGATTCTCGGTCTTTAATTTGGTCTCACTTCCTGTCTACCTTTTTTCAACAATAAAAATGTAGGTGTTTTTGCAGCTCTTTGCCCATTTCATTGTGTTCAGTCTCGTTGGTGCGAGCTAATTTAGGGGATCGTAACATGTACCAAATGCGACTGTTTCCCCACACAGTCATGTCGTGATTTTTATTCCCAGAGTATTCGGATGATGTTTTGTGTTGCAGCATCAAAAAAAGCAGGTTAAAATAATATGAGATTAGGATCTGAGTCAGGACATGATTTAAAAGCTGCATATTTGGCGCTTCATAGAACAAAAGCACAGCAGGAGGAGAGGCCCAGTCTTCTCCTGGCTAAAGTTTAAATTAGGAGTCCCATCAACACTATTGTCTTCTGTGCTGTTGGAACAGGAAAGGGCTGGCTGGCTGGCTGTAGCGGATACAGGAGGTCAGACGTTGTACAAAAACAAAGCCAGAAAAAAAAAAGTGCTTTTCTCAGTGTAGTAACTGCACACAACTCCATCTACCATCTACCTGGACGCGTGACTGAAGACACCCAAGTGTTCATGTCCACCTGTGGTTTATGGTTTGTTTACTTGGCACTCGTCGCTGCGTTTTCCCAGATTTATGTGGGTCATTTTATTGTGAGGCTGTTAATGTTCACTACATACTGCACAAGTGTCCGGTCACTGATTAGCCTTTGATAATAATTGCGATGGCATTCTGTAATCAGTTTCCTTACAAGTCGCACGTGAGTTATAAAGCAGTTAGTCAGTAAACAAAGAAGGTCACGCCGAGATGGGCGCCATACAGACAGAGCTGTGTTTTTCCACGACAGGTTAGAGCCGAGTTACAAACATCCACCAACACCTGAACAGCACGTCCAAAGCCCAGACTGCCAATATGTCAGGCGCAGGGAAATGCAGAGAAATTACAACTCATATATGAAAAGATGATATTTAATTATTTTGAATAAATTTGTCAGAAGGTTCAAGAAACACTCCATTCTCAAAAAAACTGAATATTCTGTCAGTTATTTCATTGTTCATGCTTTACAGGGTTAAATAAATCAGAAACTTTATCCCAATTTTACGACTCCTGGAGAAGACGGGGCAGCATGCAGCATCACATTAAAGCACCCCGAACACGTCACATGAGGTCAGGACGGGTGGAGGTGATTATTATTTAAAATGATCAGATCACCTGAGACGGTGAAATAAGAGTTTTTCTCTCTCTTTTTAAAAAAATCCTAAATATTAGAATGATTGAATGATGTTGATTGATTTATTTTAAATGGATGTACAACATGTTTCAACTTACCCACAGTGGAACTACAAGAAAAGAAGAAAGGTTTTGTTAGTGTAAAGATCCTTTTACGTGTCTACGTGCAGCCTTGTTATGACAAGCCAGGTTTATGTTCATTTAATATTAAATGCTGCAAACAAAATCATGTTCACAGCCCTGTGGAATGCCTTCTTTACTGTTTTTGTACTGACATGTAAAACAACAACAACAAAATAGTTTTCAGGCTTTCCCGTCACCCCAACCAGTCGAGGCAGACGGCTGCTCTCCCCGAGTCTGGTTCTGCTAAAGCTTTCTTCCTGGTAAAAGGAAAGTTTTTGTTGTTTTTTCACTTCCCACTGTTGCCAAAGAGCTGCTCACAGGGAGTTTTTGGTTTGCTTGGGTTTCCCTTTCTACGTGAAGTACCTTGAACTGATTGAAGGAAGTACACGTGTACACCCATGTACATTTATTGGGAAGCTAAATTTAATCCTAAAATGTGAAACATATATTAAAAATCATGTTTATTGCATTTATGCAAAGGCAAACCCAACCCAGTTCAGTATTGTGTTACAATATCACATTTTCACTGGATGATTATTGTGGCCAAAAGACTTCACAATATCTATCCTAATTCATCTTAAACTTTGTTTATAGTGTGTTTTGTTTAGTTTCTGGCAATAAAAAAGTCACGGAAACACAACTGTATTGGCAGCAGAGAGAACCTGTAACTACATCAGTACTTTATTGGTGCAATCCTCACACGTTATCAGTGTTTTATGATTTAAACAGAATGCTTTTCATCAACACTGGTGTATTGCACCACCCCATAGATTGGTAAACAAACATGTCACTGATTAATGAATTGTGCAAATGTTGTGTGTCAGATTCCATCAAGCCAATTTCTTATCAGTCACTCGTGACTGAGGGCTGTAAAGCAACCCACCCAGTAAACAAACCCACCGTGTTAAGACTGAGACACTTAGCAGGGTGTGCAGCGTTTCTCCCCAATTAGGTCAATAATCAACCAAATTACAAACATGCAGCCGAGGACAACGGGATCATTAAGGAGATTGGAAGTAGGCCTTGTTTTCCAAGGAAGACACATGTGAACAGTCTGTCCTGACTTTTATGGCGTTTGCCTTTGGTCTCCTCTGCGATGCACGTTTTACCACCAGACAGAAGCCGCACAAGGCCATTAGTGACAATCAGCGCTGACTGCAGTTCAGCTGTCAGACGTTATGGCAGCAGCCCGACATGAGCTGCTGCTCGCTGCCAGAGAAAATGCATCTGTAATGTCCGCGTGATTATAGAACAATCCCAGTGATATCAAAGCTGATTGTGCTTGTTTCATTTTAGTGATTTGGGAATTCAAAGCAACTTTAGAAACCTGACTTTCAGGACACGTTACAGGCTGGCAACAGATGAGAGTTCCTAATGATCAGATCTATTTAAACATTGTGATTGAGGCTGATTGATGCCATACTGAAAACACTTGAACTTACCCATACTGGAGCTACAAAGAAAAGACAAAGAGTTAAAGAGAGAAAAGGCTTTTCCATTAGACTACAGTAAACATGAGCACATTATTAGCAGTTCAGGAAATCTGTGTTAGAAACAGGAAGGCACACCAACCTTCTTCACTTTTTCGTAGTTTTCCTTCTTCTTTTGCTTCTTCTCTTCTTTTGCTCTGACTCTCGCCTCATCTTCAATCAGTGGCTCGTAGTTCTCCTTCAGAAAGGCAAAGTGTACTTCTTTGTGGCACTTCTTCTGTCTGCAGCTGCCATCACCCTGGGATGTCTGATCCGACCTTTCTGGGTGATCCCCGGTGATCAAGTCCACATGCTGCTGATACTTTGCCGCTTGGACGTTCAGGCTATCAGCTACTTTCGAATTCCTGTTGAACAGCCTCGACGCAATAGCTTTGGGCTTCATGTTATCTGCTGGTCGCACTTCTCAGAGATGCAGGAAGAGGCAGCGGTTTCCTTGGGAGGTCAGGTATGGGCTGTCAGCAGCTCTTATATGCATGAGTGGAAGGACATTCCAGCGGCCCGCCTTGTGTGGGGGGTTTGGCACAGAGCCCTTAAAGTTATAAATCCTTCCTCCTCTCAAGGCTGACCTCAATAGGAGGTTTTAATGGAAATGGCTTTAATCTGGTGAATGAATCACACGGCCCTTTCACACACTGTACACTGAACCTGCATTTGAATTGTTTTTTTTTTTCTAACACTTCAAGGTGGTATTGAGAGTAAAGGGTTTCCCAGTTTACTGCACATCACTAGTGTGGTCACATTAGGAAGACGCTCTACTGCTGCAATCTGTTTTCCTTCATGAGATGCACTTTGCATATGAGATTTTAATCAAAAACTTCAATCCATATCTTAGAATTTGATCAGGAAGAATCACTCAGAATGATGTGCATCTGTTATGGATGTCACTCCTTTTGGTTGCTTTCATAATTGCAGGCAGCTTCTGAATGTGCTCTTCTGACTTACTGAGTAGCGTGTCTGCACCAGTGAGCGCTAAAGTCTGAAATGCTGCAGTCTTAACGGGCATTGTGGCAAAATACCTACTTCAAAATACAGCACATAGTTGGCACTTGCAAACATTGTGTTGCTGCTGTCACATGTGGTCAAGAAAGAATAGAATAGAAAATATTTTATTTATCCCAGGCCTGGGAAATTATTACGATACAGCAGCAATAAAGAAAAACACCAATCACAATAGAAAAGGGCTCAAGTTAAATACTAGTAAAAATGTATATAAAATAAATAAAATAACTGTAAAAAACATAAACAAACCAACAGTTGGAGGGTTAGTGGAGATCAGCACCATGTGTCCATCAATAAAAACTGAAGTATTCATTATCTATAAGTACCGGGACTGGAAGTCTGTCCAGGGTGTCCCCCACACCGTGACCCTCTGAAGGACAACGTAGGTGTAAGCTGCTGCTGCTAGAATACATCATTACATCATTATTTACTGTCAAAAAAACGTCCTTTAGTTAACTTTTCCGGTTTAGTGCAATCCAGCGGCACAAAGCGCACATCTAGAAAGATCAGCATCAGTTGTTGCTGACACTGTCAAAGAAGTCTGATTTTCTACAGTCCCACCGCCAACAGCAGCAGGGCCTCAGTCATCCAGAGTGCTTAAGAGGTCAACCAGTTGTAGGTGAGGCGAGGTGAGGTGCAGTGAGGCGAGGTGAAGTGAGGCGAGGTGAAGTGAGGCGAGGTGAGGTGCAAATGCCTCCACTGACTCCATAAATGACACCACTAAAACCGTGTGTCTGTTGTTTGGTTTAATGAATAACATCCTCCATCTGGCACGTGGACATACTTTACCCGTCTGTCGTTTATTTACCAAGAGGAACCTTTAATGTAATCGTATAAACAACATTTTATTTGTCACTCTTATCAATATTACAGTGAAAAACATTGAACATACTGCCTCGTTAGTAGAGCACTTAAACCTGCTTATAACAACTGACAGTAGAGTTTAAAACGAAGCAGGAAACAAAACTCTTTTGTTGACAGTGACAGAAAGCTTTACAGGAAATAGTTCTGCCCCTTGTCTACTGGTGAGGCCGAGAAGTACCCTGGAAAATGTCCTCACAGCTGAAGCCCACCTGAACACCACCGAGTGTCCCAACTCTATGGACACGGTTCAACAGAAAACAGGCGTCAGTGTGTTGCAGCGTGACTTTGATGCGTCATGTTACTCAGCTACAACAACTACTGATCCTGGTCTTGACTTCTTTGCGAGTTGTCTTGGCCGCGGTCGGGATCTTTGAGACGGAGGATGCGGATGATTTTGCTCTCTGGAAGTGAACTGAGGAGGAAAAAAGGCAACGAATGAGGACGTGGACGTAACCCACAGACCAAGGAGCACGCTGAAGCCACTAGACCTCCAGTCAGAGCTCATTTACTGAGTGAACATACAGTTATGAAGGCACCAAAATCACATGCGGGTGGTCTAACTGCTTTGAAACAGAAGCTGTGTTGGTGGTTACCTCATGCTCTGTGGAGTGAGGAAAATGAACTGTCTGTAGCGCTGACTGGCTGCCACCTTCAGCATCATGTCCATGGATATCCTCCTGTTCACCATGTCCTGACAGAACAACACAGCCAAACCTTTAAACCAAGGCCAGACGCAGAGCAACACAGAGCTGCATATGAACCACCACCGTTCACGTCCCCATCTAGTTTCTACGTGTTTGTGTTGTTGATGATGATCAGCACCACACAGACTTAAAGTGTAAATAAAAGCATCTCTCATTACCATGTAAACATCGAACTCGTCAAGGCAGCGGAAAGGCGCCTCTGTGATCGCCCAAAGAGAGAGAACGAAACAGACGGTGGAGAAGGAGCGCTCGCCTCCCGACAGGCAGCGCATGTCGCTCAAGTCGGCCTTGTTTCCTTGGCCAGGCTGCACCTAAACACGAGAACACAAGGAAATATATGACAGAATAAATCGACTTCAGTGAAAAGATTCTGCAGGTTTCACGGACATTTGATTTACTAAGAGTTTCACACGATGAGTTATTTTACTCAGGAAACTCCAAAACACCCCACGGCAGAATGAAACGTGGATTTTGTTGTTTAAAACTTGCCAAAATTCTCAAGATCTCAAATCTCAAGAATCTCTGGATTTGCACATTTCCAGTGATCCTCGAACTAATCATGTGTTACGTTTGGTTTTGTGAGGAAAAAAAAAGTCTTTGGAGAAATACATGCGTCATTTTCAGCCATCAGACTAATCAGAACTAATTAAAATGTAATTAGTAAAACATTTGTAGTTATTTTTTGGAGCGGTAACAGATGTTGGCCCTTGTTGGACATATTGATTGGCGTTTCTTTTGTAAAATGATATATCAAAGACATTAAACTTTTGCTTTTTCATACATCACAACAGAGTTCTCTCTGCTTCTGTCCATGCTTGTGCTGTTTTCATAGAAAAACGAGGCCCCAATGAGTAAATAAGCGACAGGGGCAAAAAGCATCTGGATGTCACTTGGAATTCAGAGGATTGAGAAAATCCTGCCAAACAAAAAGGCCTTTCTGTCAAACGTTATTTCCCAGAATACTAGAAAACAACACTGACATTTTGAATATAAAAGTAAAACTGTAGTGCTCCAGACAGACAAAAAGATGTTCTTACAGAGATGGACAGGGTCTCATTCTTGTGGTCGAACGTCATACTTCCACTGTAGCCTCTCTGGGCCAGCATGCTGTCGAAGTAGTATTTACAACGGGCCGAAAGAAACCTGAGGCATCCAGAGACAGAGAAAAGGCAGCAGATGAACTGCAGTGTCAACAACAAAACTGGGCTTTTAGAAATAAGCTTGCAGAAGAACATTTGAGGTACAGTCGTGACTCGATAATCCAACACTAAATGTAAAACCTTCTTTTATGTCGGACAGCAAGGCTGTCGGATTGTCAAGACGGAGGTCGAGATACAAGGAGGGCTGGAAGCTGGAAGACTCATTTGTTCACATTCATTGTGTATAGTTGCTATAATAACTAGTGTGTTGTTAGAACACTACGCATCGCTGGATTTCACGTCTAACTGACTGATTGTGCACGTTCTGGCCACTTCCACCCCGGGGCAGCGCTCTGAAAGGGTGGAAGTGGCCGGAACACACAGGCAGTACTTGGCTGCTGATACTAGTTTAGTTAGCGCTCACACTTCTGTTTCCTCCATCGGTGGCGGCGGGGGAGTGGCAGATACGCTCCACCGTTACCATCCATGTTTACTTCTGTAAACACTGAGCACGCTCACTGCGTGTGACGTCGTCGTGTCCTCTTCTGCACATGCAGGACACTTTTAGGTCGTATGAAGTTCACACAGCAGATCACATACAAGTCACATTTAACTGGAAATGTGAAGGAAGTCACAAAGAAATCCGATTTTAGCATTAAGTCCTGCAGTGTGAACGTAGCCAATCTGTGGGATTGTTCAGTCAAATAATACGCCGTTATGACATAAAATGTCATGTTGGAGTCTGAATCCAAGGCTGTCGGTATGTTAAGGCTGGTTTTAATGGGTTCTGTTCGTTTTTCCTAAGCAAGGTTTAGGATTGTTAAGGGTCAGATTATCAAGTCATGACTGTATTTTAGAGAGAAAAATTACTTGATGTAAGAGTCTTCTGTCACGTTTTCAGCAGCAGCACAGACACTGCTGACAAGGCTTTGCTAGATAAATACAAACAGCTGTGGGTTCACTACTTGCCTTCTGAGATCAGCGTAAGTCTTGAGTCTGTGGTTCATAACGCTGTCCAGGCTTTTGATGAAGCTGTTGAGGTTCTTCATTTGCTGTGCCATGTTCTTGTAGTTCTCCAGAGCCTCGTGGTACTGCCTGGATGTGAGGAAGACACAAGAAAATGTTGTCACACGATGTTTGTTGAGCAGAGATAGGTACCGAGGCCTGATATCAAACGAGCCCCGGGGCAAAATGATTGATAAGCTCCGACGTTTAATCGTTCTGCTAACGACACTTTAGAAAGTAAGAACGTCGTGTTCATCTCATCACTGGAAGACGTGTTGGACATGTCTGACGTGTCTGTCTCTATGATGCACTTTTGCTTCACAAATCACTGACCTAATATCTGTTCACGCTTGAGCCTTTCCTTCTGGTACAATGCTGGACACTTTAATGAAACACAATGCATAATATCTATGAGTGAAACCTGCGACACTGTCCCCAGTGTTCTGATGGCTCCCATCAACACAACATCAGTGACGATACAAATATTCATTCTTACACAGTACGTGTGAGAAAATAAAGCCATCTTTATTCTTTTCTTAATTCCCCTAAAAAACAAAACAAATACAATCAAAATAGTACTTTTAAAAGTACTACTACAGTAGCGCGTTGATAAGCAGCATCGGTAAACGTGGTGGTACCGTTAAAATCCTAACACCATCCCTATTTTCCAGGAACATCTGGCTAATTAATCAAGACTTTTCCCTCCCAAGGGATGAATAAAGCTCCATTTGATCTTATTACTACACTGCCATGAGATGCAGGGCTCTCAGTAACCCACCTCACCACCTCCTCACGGTCCCCCTGCTGCTCCTGCTGGGTGCTGATCTTAGCCTTCAGACGGTTGATCTCGCTGTCCAGACTCCTGGCTGTGCGACGAACTGCCAGGCGCTCTGGACAGATCTCTGCTGCTTTGGCCACAGACGTCTGAACCACAGAGACAAACAAACCGTTAACTTCTGATGGCTATTAAACTCCCCAAACCCGAGCGCAGCATTAATTATTATTTATTATTGTTTTGTTTGAATATTTACTGTCTGTATTTCAGTGTCAACCTAACTGCTGTGCTCTCTGTTGAAACAAGGAAAAGGTCAGAAAAAAACTGTTTGTGTGCTTTAGAGCTCGCTTTCAGTTCTCTCAACTCAACTTTATTTATACAGCACGGTAACACAACAAAGTGCTGAACACAAAATATAAAACTATTTGAAAACATCTAAATACAAAAGACATAAAAGTATAATAAAATCATTAAAAAGGACAATAAGAACAGTCATAAAAATTGTCTCCAAAGTTCTTTGTAGGCGTTTCTTTAACACCACCCTCCGACCACAGCGTGACGTACCTCCAGTTCCTGCTCTTTGCTTTTCATGTTGGCCTCCAGAGTCCTGATGTTGGCCAGATGAGCGTTGCGTTTCTCATCATAGTGCCTCTTGTGATGTTTGGACTTGATAACCTCCTGATCAGTTTTACCCAGGTCCTCCTTCAGTGGGACAAAGTGAACAAGGACAAGGTCAGGGGCTGCTGGCTGCCGTGGGAAGTGTTTAAACTGGCAAAAGGCTGTAATCCTGTACCAATGCTAATGTCCTCAGGTGAGGCTCTGGAAAAGCTACATCACTGAAACATACAGCCAATCAGCACAAACAATTCAGATGTATTCTAAATGAAAATGACAACTACACTGTGTCCTGACTTCATAAATGTATGCATGCATTTTTGACTTGATTTCCATCTTGTATTCTTGATAATGCACCTACAATATGTATGCTATACTTAGAACACACATACTGCTGTGTTTTTACATTCACACCCTGGAGCCCTAACCTACAATCTCATTCACTATCCAGCATCGTACATGCTGGCTCTGTCCAACAGGATCACCTTCACTGAATCAGCCTCCTCAGCGATGGTGTTGATGTGCTCTTTGTGCTGCTTGTATTCCTGCTCTGCCTTTTCGTACGAAGCCTTGAGCTCAGCCATCTGGGTCCGTGCCTCGTCACACTCAGCGCGCTTGGATGCGATCTTAGCAACAATCTCCTGAAGATCCTCCTCCTGTGGTGAATTTCAGACACACACACACATCACAAGGAGCGCTTGTTGATTGCAGAAGTCTGCATTGCTGTGTCGTGCCTATCGACTAAGATGAATACAAGGCAGGTGTAGTGTATTTATTCCTGTGGATGTTGGGTGCTAACCAGGGGCCTGAGGTCCTCCGACTGAGGCTCTTCCACGTTCTGTACGTCTATCAGCTCCAGCTGTAGCTTCGTGGCTTTGTCCTGGAACAAAGACACAAACTTCATGAACAAATTCCTTCCATGTTAGAGGAGAACGTTTTGAGAAATTTGATTCAGGAATCCATTTTTGATTTAGCAGCTTTTTCTCTTGTTCCCACCAAAAACTTAATGGTTTAACAATTTACTAAACATTTGTAAGAAAATTAGAGCAGTTTAAAAAGCATAATCGAATCCTTTTGTTCTCAAATAATAATAAAAACATGTTCAGTATGAGTTATGAGTTTCCCACTCTGGCACTTACAGGGAGGAGAAAATATCATTAGTTGTTCACTGACTTATAAACAGACAGAAAGTGAACAATGATTATAAATGGGCAAAATCATTACTTTAGTCGTCTTTTGCTCCATGTGGGCTTTTCTCAGCAGGCCTTCATTTTGCTTGATGTCTTCATCCAACCTCTTCATATGCTGCAGGAAGCGAGTGGCCTGAGCCTCCTGGTTCTCCACCTCCCTCTGCAAGTGTCTGAGAGGAAAGAGAGGAAGTAGGACGGTGGAGAAGCAATCAGACTGAAGTACAGCTTTATATGGAGCAAGCAGTCCCTGTCCCCGAGGAACTAGAGCTAATAAACTCCAGCTTCTGTACTGCTTTTGTTAGGTTGTTCACAAACACACGTGGGATTCATTTGTCCAAACATGTCAACACCAAGAAGTCAGCTGAACATGGTGGGTTAGACACGCGTACCTGATCTCCTCCTCCACATCTCCTGAGAGGTAGTTGGCTCTGGTCTGCTCAGCAGTGTAGTTACGGTTTCTGTAAATCTGATCCCCGTCCTTAGAGAAGGCCTGGGTGCAGTTGGCGGGAGGATTGCTGCCCTGCATCACTCTCCGAGCTTCTGCACGGTTCTACACACACAGGACAGAAACAAGACTCGTGTCGACCCACCATTACGTCTCAACACTAAAGTAGAGTTCAGAAGGAGTTTTGTAGAACACATCAGTAACTTACGTGTTTGTGTGCATATCAGTTTTTTTTGTTTTTTTTTTAACTAACTGTCAAATGTACTGTGAGGTCCAAAAGTCCACATCCACAAAACTCCGTCAGACATTTTGAGAATTTAGAACCATTTAAAAAACACAAAACGTTCTGGCAGGTCTCTGCACCATTTCTAGGTCAGCAATCGAATTAACTTGCATTTGTAGCACTGACTACGTTGCACTAAAGGTCAGACATCCTTGGGTTGCTGCTGGATTTGATCTGCTCATCACAGCCTGGTTCGCTTGGTGTCAGTATGGGGATGCCTTAGGTTTCCAGCAGAACATTGGTGGAATAAAGGCAGAATAGAAGCATCTTTAATAGTGGCGTCCACTGTGTACACCAATCCAGAAATCTGCCATAAACCATGAATGTTTTGACCCAATCTGAAATCTGGGCTGGTTGTATGAATCCCAACACCATAAGATGAGCTCATGGAGGAACTTAAGGACCCACACAGCTGATCTGTAGTCGTGTGATCAGGCGGTACAGATCCTTCAAAGCGTTACCTCAGCTGGTGTTTTCCATCATACATCATTGTAAATCTTACTGATTATTACATCACAGACCCCACTCGTCTCTGCTGGTCGCTCACATCAGCTTCTGAAGCTACAGCTATGAACAGTATCTCGTGTTACGGGGAGCTTCTAGTGAAGAAACTGCTCGTTACCTTGATGAGCAGAACACTCTCTATACCCCGTTGATCAATCAGGCAGTTGGCCACAACTGGGTCTTCAATTTCTAGAGCTTGAAGAACGGAGGGGTATTCCGGGTGATTCACAGCCCTGACACACAAGACACAACACACAGATGCTGTTAGAACAACAAGAACTAGATCTTTGTTAATCATTTCTTTCTTTTTGTATATTTTAAAGCTGCCCTCACTTCTTTGTTGTATCATGGACATGTGGGAGGAAACGGCTTGTAATGATGGCAGGTCTGCGACTTCCTGGGAACATTTTGGCCATCAGGCCTTGCAGCACTCTCTCGTCTTCGTGGTTGTCACAAGTGAAGGCCTGCAGCTGGCCTTTAAGACATACTTCTACAGCCAAGGCCAGCTCTGGGTCCTTCAGGCTAATAAGGTAACCTGTAAAAGAGAAGGCAAGTTAGGAGCATTTTAGTCACATATGGTGCTCCTTGGTTGGTCTTTTGGCTGTGGCAGAAGGACAATCCCAGTCTTGTTCAGTCAAGACGGAACACATCTCATTGCATATTTATCTCATACCACCAGTCACAGTGTACTGTAACTTAAGGTGTTACTTTATGTTGCATGATTGTGTGATTCAAATGGCTGAGAAAGGATTTCAGGATTGGACACTACAAACACTTTGCCCTGTGTGCAAGTGGGCACCAAGTCTTACCGAGAGGTCCTCGGGGTTTGTGCTTGAACTGGCCCCTCCTGTAAGCTTCCTGGATGGCACTGAGCAATGCAGGCATGTGCTCTCCAAAACGGCGCAGTCGATTGGAGCGACTGCTCTCCAGAGTCTGCAGGTTCCTTCTGTTGGCTTCAATGGATCTCTGCAGTCCATTGTGCTCTCTCCTGAAGGCAGGAGGAGACGGGTGTTTTCATTATGTTAGAGGATATCATCATGTTCGTGACTCCATTGCTGAGAGGACCTAACATACCGGTGCACAGTTCTGTTGTATTTACAAACTGGTAATCAGTAACAGCAGCATGACAGGAATAAGTGCTGGGTTTACATATACAACTAGTGCCTATTTTCTAAATGATCTTCTCTTCTTGTCCATAATTCCAGTGCAAGGCATAGCACAATCATCTCTATAGGCTACCCTGGAACCAACAGGTTTTCATGATGCACTCATGATGAATTTTCCTTTGGTGCACAGTTTCTATGTCCTTACTTGATCTTTCCTTGCTCGTCTCTGGCACGGTTGCTGGCGTGCTGGTACTGGTCAATCTGCTGGCCCAGAGTGGAGACTTGATGATTAAGGCTTTCTAGCCCCTCCTGGATCTGCTGCACCCGGGCTGCCCTGGCCTGGCTCTCTGCTCCTGTTGTCTGACTGATGCTAAGGGCAGGAACAAGCGAAAGGAGGACAAAAAGCACAGGGAAGACCACACAGATAAGTACATTTTTTAGGCTAAATGCAATGCAGAAGACGTGAAAAACAAGACGGGACCGTACCTCAGCTTGAGATCTTTTATCCTAGATGACAGCTGAACTTTGTCCTTTTCCAGATCTCTCAGGTTAGCTTTGCATCTGTGGACGGTGATCTAGAGTGCATGTGGAAATGAAAAATTACAAAAAAAAAGCCCCAACAAAACAAACAAAAACAAACTTGACCATTTATGCTGAGTTGAAAAACAAGCTTCACAATGGTACCAGTACCTTTAGGCACCTCTGAATATGGTGACAGTAAACCACATGATGTTCTGAAATACATTTGCTGATGTCAGAATGCAAAAACACAGACCAGAAATATCAGAGTCTGTGGCTACGCAGCTTTGTGTGCTGTGTTTCATCTTTGGACAAAACCTTCAGGCCTACCTGGACCACACTACAACATGTGCTTATAACACGTATTTCATACCTGATGTATTTGTGGGGGGACATGAATTCAACTGCGACTACAGATTAGGCCTGATTAGGTGACAACTGATCATTTCAAAGTATTTGATAGCTTCATTAAATTGCATCAGATGAAAACCACCTTGAAAGCACATAATGAAAAGGAAAAGTTTGGTTGCAGTGTGATGACAGTCACGCCTTGTTCATGGAGTGTGCTGCTCGTTGTCACTCTGCCCGTCGGCTTCTGAGCAGTCTGACTGAAAATGTGCCTCGTGATTGCCTGAAGTCTGACCTCGGTGGACTTGAGAAGGGTGTTCCGTCTCTGGGCCTCAGCCTTGAGCTCCACACATTTAGGCTGAAGCTCCTGGACTTTCTGGGTGATCCCTTCCAACTGTTCCTGGATTTGCTTGTGCTTCTTTTCAGCTTCCTCGACCTTATTCTGCATATTTACACAAAAACAGGTGAGAGAAGCACGAGGTTTAAAAGTTAGAGTTTACAAGACAGCTGCACTCAGACAAGCACAAACTTAAAGTGTGAGCTACCAAACAGAAGCAGTAACTGTTTAATGATTATACTAAAAACACACAAGTGATGACACATTAAAAAAATGAATAAAGTTCAGAGGATGTTATTCCCTGTGATCAACACATGACTAATGTTACATGATGCTTCACTATAAATAAGTGCCACACCTTCCATTCGTCCACCTTCTCGTCGTATTTCTCCGTGGAGTGTCTGTCAGCCTGCAGCTTCTCCTTCATCGGCTCCAGCTCCTTCTCCACCTCGGCCACCTGCAACGTATCAACAAACACTCACAGGCACTGACACAGAAATGACTAACCTTTTAAGTAATGATTGCACTGATCTAGTTTAGTTAGGACATGGCACAGAAGCAATGAAGAGAACTGGAAATTCCAAAGTAGGAAAATAACTATCTAACCAAAGCCCAAGCCATCTGCTTCTGCAACTCCTCCAGCTTGTTCTGCATTTCGTCAAGCGATCCCAGGCTCTTGTAACGGTCCTCTTTCTCCAGGTACTTCCGCTTCAGGTCCTTCAAGCACTGGAGCAGTCACAGAAACATGCATGTTCAGGTACCTGTAATAAGCTTGCTATGCTATTAAAGTTCTGATCAAGAGACTAAAAACTCTATCCAATAAATGATCATATATAAAATGTTATCATCCGACATCAGTCACTAAACATAAAAGCTTCCGTGGAAGTCATCCGTACTTCACCGTGTTGCTCCACTTTATCCTCGGTGACATGCTTTGTGGTTTTGATGTACACAAAGTCCTCTCTCATCTGTTCAAGTTGAGTCGCTTTCATAAAAAACTGAGCGAGAGCAAAAGAGACAATCTGATCAAAACAGCTGACAAAACAACAGATATATCGATATTTAAAGCAGAAGGATAGCTGGAGTGGTGGTAACTCTTTGTGAGGACGGTGCTTCAAGCTAAGAGGTTAGCTAGCAATGCTAACATGCTGAATAACCCTCTAAACCCCACGCAGTTTTGGGGAATTTGAAAAAAGCAGTGAAGATATGTGAATGTGTTGAACTGTCTGGCCAACACTGCTGCATGCAAAAGATGGAATGACTTTAACAAACCCTATACTTGTCCCCCTCTCCTTTAGAGTGTAGGAAGTATTTGCTCATCTCCTGAGTGAGCACTGACACAGGATTGTTGACCTTTGGAGGAAAACAGATGAATAAAGGTAATCACATTAACATGGGTTAATACGTGTCGGCAGTTTATCTGAATGTGCTACGTGCCACCCCACTTGGATTCACCCTGGGGGTGGACGGATGAAATGTGGCTCATACCTGAATATTGAAATTGTCTAGGATGGAAATGAGCTCTTCCTTTTTGGTTGAGACGACCTGAGCTGTAACAGAAGATAAAAAGTATGTTTATGAATACTCACCCCTGCAGAAATATCGGAGCAGCTAAAGGAGATTGGTTCTTTACCTTATTGTTTTTGACAGTAACTAAAAAAGGACTTTTGGAAAATGTGCTGTATGTGTTTATGCAAAGGCAATAGCATGGCTTAAAAAAAGGAAAAGAAATGAGCGATCAATAAGTCTTGAAGGCCTTTACCTGATTTGCCTCTCAGTTTGTAGGTTCTCAGCCCCTCACGTGTTATTCTCAGGTCTATGATGATGGCTGGACCGTACACCTCAGGTTTGTAAGCATCCCTTCCTTTGTTACGCAAGGTGATCGATACGTCAGCTGAACTGAAATGACAGAAATGCATATCTATTGAGTGTCAGCCTAAACCGACAAAGAAACTTTATTTGGGTGGGCTGCTCAGGTATATGTTATGATTTTTTTTTTTAATCTGTCCAAGAGATTTACTGTGTTTAAAAGCAACTACAAGTTGTCTTAAATGCAGTCAGACAAAGAAGAAGGTACATCACATGATGGTAAAACACCCACCTTTCTCCTTCCTTCACAAAACCCTTGAGGGACGATCCTCTGTTTGTGGCCTGTGCATTCCCGCCTAAGGCAACTATCAGAGCTGTCAGAACGGCACTCTTTCCACCTGTCAGGCAGGTTGTGAACACAAAACAGCATTTCAGGCATTGTGGTAATCAATCCAGTTTATGTGAAAGAAGACATACACAAAAACAGAGAGAATGAATGGACAGCATAAAGTCTGACTTGAGTTTCCATAAATACATGATTTAAGCTTAAACCATACTATAGATTCAATGGGGCCATCAAAACCAATAAACACATTAACAGTAAATGCATGTAGTCAACTTCAAACCAAAGACCTGAAGAGTCAAGTGCTGATCAAATCACTGAAACCTGGTTCTAAAGACACAGACGCCTGTGATAATAATAATAATAATAATAATAATAATAATAATAATAATAATAATAATAATAATAAAGGACATACTAAACATGTACTATGAAGTACCAGCACCAACCAAACCAGGGGAAACACTGAGCGTTTTGTTGTGGATCTGTGTGAGTTACTTATTTCAGATTTTTTTTAACAATATAATGATGCGTCTAGACTAGCACTTACTCAGCTCATGCTCCTTAGAATAAAATGAAACAGAACAGAAATACTTTATTGATCCCCAAGGGGAAATTCTGTTATAATTCTGTTATTCTCAATGAGTGACACATTCACTTCTATATGTATACCATAAATTCCAAACTAAGTTAATTATTACATTTATTAGCCTCTTATTGTTTAATTCAGCCATTTGAAGAGAGCATTAACGGTGAGCATGCTACATTTAAAATGCTATTTTTCAGTTGCACTACTCTTTCCATTAAAACTGACCAAAAATGTAGAATATATATATTTAGTATTGAAAAAGAAAGTGTTTAATAAATTAGTGTGTAAAGGCAAAACTTTAATATGAGGCTGACCTATATATTCAGACAAGCTAACTGTTATTTGATGATGGGATAACAAGATGCAGCCCTTGTGGAGAAAGCGTCAAAAGAAAACGTTAAAATATTCCAACAGAAATGTCGTCCAATAACAGGATATTGAAGTCTGAAATTGAGTTTGAGCCTTTGAGAAGGTTATGACAAGCGTACTGCATCAGTTTCCACCATGGCACGCACAGACAGCAGGTAAACCTGGTTGCTGCACCAACTCAGTCTTTGCACTTACTTCCATTGTTGCCGACAACAAAGTTGACATTAGAACCGAAGGTGAACGGGCCAAGGAGCGAGTGGCACATGAAGTTCTTCAGCGTGATGCTTTCCACAATCCCTGCATCACTCACCACCTCACTGGCACACTGCAACTACACACCAATGGGTCACGTCAGTCACTGCAATGCACACAACATTCTGTATTTGACATCATGTAAAGTGAGTTTCTACCATTTCGTCGCTCTCATTCTAAGAGCTGTCAAGAAGCAAAAATGGGTATAACGCATCTACAGAGACAAACAGCACAGCGGTTTGCAGTAGGGCCTGATCCATATGGATTTTTTGAGACTGATGCCGATTTCGATATTTGGCAAAAAACAAAAATTCAGATTACTGATTAATTTAAAGGATTTATAATGAATAAAAAAGCCTCTTTTTTTGGTCCCTTAATGCTCACAACAGCAAAGATATGAATCACAGGCAGAACATTTGACTGTTTTCCACTTTGTCCTTCAGTATTAGTTTAACTTTACAACATAGAGGAGCTTCATGAACAAAAACATGTAACAAAGCATTCAACATAAAATGCATCAGGGAAAAAAAAAGTTTTCCGAACAAACATGTCTGTAATGTGGGGTATTTATTTTAAATTTGCATCGTGCATTTTTCTTTCTAAACCTTCTGATAGACTGGTTACCTGTCCAGGTGAACCTGCCTTCAGTCAGCTGGGACAGACTCCAGCCCCCCACCACCCTCGTGAGGATTATGGTGTAGCGATGATGGATGGATGGATTTTTCTTTCCATGGAGCATGACCATAGCTACCAGCTGTACTGATGACTTTATCCTGAGGTTTATGCCACAGGTGTAGCTGTATATAAGCAGCATGATGGGTGAATTTACTGCAGAACATTATTGATGCAGCCCTCTGATGTTCTGGACTCTCAAAGACTGTGATGATGAGAATCAGTTAATAAAAATGTAAGTTCATAAGCTAGTTAAAAAGTTGGATAAAAGTTTAAAAAGCTGTTTTCTGTAGTTCTCTGTCAGAGTGAGGTTCTGTGCCTGTTCTGGTTCCAGAGGGAGAGGTGTCACCGCTGGACTCAGCTCTTTCTCATGTCTGTGTCCGAGTTTGACTCGTTCACAACAAGCAGCAGCACAAACGGAGCTTTTCGTGGTGTTGCTGAAGTGTTTTACAGCTTTTGACTTGGAGAATATTTGTCTTTTTACTAAATCAAATTGTACAAAATGAATGTAGGAAAGCGACTGTGATACTGAACTACATTTACTGCTTTATGACAAATGAACTGAGCAAACCGCCGCCGATGCTGAGTATTGTTAAAGGGCTCTGATCGGCCAGCTGATAAACCGGTCAGGCCCGAGTTAGCGGCATGTCAGTGACAGCACAGACCTGTCTGCTCAGACCAACGTCTTCCTGCTCATCAACATCCTCTTCATCCTCGTCCTCCGGTCTGCTCCGTTTCTTGGGGTTCCCACCGACGGAGCCGCTTCTTCTTTCAGACATCTTGGCCACCAAATCGTCCACTCAGAGAAACGAAACTGAAAGAAAACACCAGAAATACTTACAAAGAGTCAACTATGTAGTTGGGCGATGAACGGCGACTCCCCACCAAACTGTTGGTAACGGTTTGCTCTATAGTCAGTCTTTAACTTCAGTGTTAGAAGACTTTCACTGTAGTCGCCAGGTGCCACCGAGCCGTTACAGAGCTAGCTTAGCTGCTAACCAGCGCTACGTGCTAATCGACTGTCTTCCCGGACAGCAGCTGAGCTGTCGGTGCTACTTTAGCGTTGATGTCAGAAGCTGAACGGACAGGTAGGATGACTTGGGTAGTGGTTGCTTACCTGGTTCACGGCAGCAGCACACAGCACCACTGATGGGAAGGACCACCGGACCAGTGATCGAATTCGCGCTCACTGGTCCCAAAAAATCTCGCGTGAATAAACGAGATCTTTTTGCAAACACACACACAGTGGATCACATTGTTGTTTATTCGTCACCACAGATGAGGAAACTCACTTGTTGCAGCAGTAAAATAGTAAAAAGTTAGCCTAAGGAAAAAAGAACACAAATAAAAGACAATTAAGAGTAAAACTGAAGAGTTCATTTGCAAATACAGATAACTCCATTTTTGTAGATTTTCCCAAAACTTATTTTTTTGTTGTTTGCTTGAGATAGTATCATTTAAACTGAATTAGAGTTGATTTGACGCAGTGGAAATGAAAAAAGTAGAGATATCTATTGTCTCAGGTAGACGATGGAAAAGTGGGTTTTATGAAGGTTTGTGAAGATGGAGTTATCTGTTTTTATAAATGAACTCTTGAACTATAAACAGGAAGAGCAAGACAGAGAACAAATAAAAGTAAATAGAAAGAGCATTGCACATAACATAGCATATATTGCACACAAGAAAAATGAGTTTTATATTATATAGTATGTATGTAAAGAGACAATATTGAAAGAGAACCACAGCATGTTGTTTTGGAATCTGACAGCGGTGGGGATGAAGGATCTTCTTCCACTGTGGGTGGATCAGTCTGCTGCTGAAGGAGCTGCTCAGAGACCCCACAGTGTCGTGCAGGGGGTGAGAGGTGTTGTCCATGATGGACGTCAGCACGGCTAACATCCTCCTCTCATCCACCTCCTCTATGGAGTCCAGCGGACAGTCCAGGACAGAGCTCGCTCTCCTGATGAGCTTGTTGAGCCTCTTGCTGTCCGTGCTGCCTCCGCTCCAGCAGACCACAGCCTAGAAGACAGCAGAAGCTACCAGAGTCAGACCTCAGTCTCCTCAGCAGGTGGAGTAGTCGGAGGCAGACTTTGGCGAACACGGCTATAAAAGAATAGACACACAACGTAAACTTTAACAGGAAGACAAAGTAAAAATCACAGCCAGCACTGGCCCTTCCAGTGCCATAAAGTCTCCCTGAGAGTTCTGTGCTAATAACTTCCTGTGGTGTCGATCTCTTTAAATACAGTCAATAGTATGAATTAGTACAATAATTGGTACATCTGGCTATACTTTACACTGATGCCTATCAGTACTTATCATTCTTATGTCAGTGTAAGCACACTACAAGCTGCTCTTTGCCCTGAAATCGGTTTATTACTGAAGAACCATTTCTCATAAAATATTATGAATTTAGATGTTTTGTTTTGTTTTTTTAAAGCAAAGCAAAACTTTCAATAATCAACATTGGGAAAAATAATAATAAAGCCCCACTTTGTCGTTGTGAAGATCGCCTGCAGAAATGTACATTTGCTTATTTTGCACTGTATTCCACAACTGACTTGGGCCCCAGCACAAAATGTGCAACTTAGTGCAGAAATGATACGAAAACATCTGAATGACAGAGCCGCACGACTCGAATGCTTGACCCAAGACAAAAGAGAGAGAGAGAGAGACAGAGAGAGAGAGAGAGAGAGAGAGAGAGAGAGAGAGAGACACAGAGAGAGAAAGAAACATTCTCTATGACTTGTAATGAAACTGTGTGTTGGATGGCTCTCCCTTTAGGGAAGCCTGAAGTCAGGTGCAGATTAGAAAACACTGAAGAGGAATGTATTTAATCCAGAATATGTAACATCTGTCTGCATATGAATAGGTTGATTAGTAGCTTTAGTGTAATGAAAGCTGATTCTACTGAGTGTGATCACTGACTATATTTACTGTCAAATGTAATTCTAAGGCATACGATCTCTAAATTACGATTGATTTCATTTTAAAAATTCAATCCTTGACAAGCAAAGTGCACTGTCTGCATGGGGTCATGGCCAAGAAGTAAAATGAAAGTAGTTACCCAATAAAAATATTTTTCTCGTTTTGATTTTTAAGAATGCTTTATTACAGATAACTCCAAATAAAATGAATTCTTGAAGAGGTTACATTTAAAATCTCTATTCAACTGCATTGCTGACACACAGATAATCACGTCAAAATAAATACAGCAACAGGATGTAGTCAGAAACACAACACAAGCATACAAGCTACAGCACATCATCAGCTGTAGGCAAGTCTGCCAAGGCCAGGAATCTGTTCAGTTTGAACTCAAAGTCAATGGGGCGTTCACTGGGAGGCCTGTAGTTTCCACTCATCGCTGAGCTCAGGTCGGGGATGAGTGCACAGTTTTCTTCAAACAAGGCCAGTTTCTTTTTGTACATCTGGCGAGTGCGGTCTGAGCTCTTGGGGTTGAAAGCTATAAAAATGAGAGATTTTAGGTATTGCTTAGGTAAAAGAAACACATGTACATGTAAAAATAAATATGTCACAACTAAACAATTTCAGTTTGAATAGTGAGACTGACAGCAAATGAATATGAACATATATTATAAAGTAGAATTACTCCTGCTGGAGAAAGGTCACAAAGTCAACACAGAAACTATTCACTTAAAACAGTAAAAATGAAGTGTTAATGGGAGGATTAAACAAAACAGTAAACCTCGTCACAGAAAACACTGAAGCAACACTTAAAGTCCTCATTATCAACAATAACACATCTAAACATTCACACGTGATAGTTCTTAGAGCTCAGAAAACCGTCACATCTTGCTTACCTTTTAAATAGAAGGCCACATATAGGAGAGCTGATCTTTGTATACTGTGAAAGGGGTACTTTGGTTTGAGACACCCAACAGCTGTCATGGCCTTGATCACTGCATTTGCCACTCCCTAAAAGAATGCATGTACAAGTCAAAGCTAGGTTGATATCACAGGACTATTAGAATATTTTTCAGGTGTGTTTGAGATTGTCTCACCTGTTCCAGATAGCCCAATGTTGGCAGGGAGGTGAGGGCTACCGGCTCACTGAGAGGAGGAACTTTCCTGGGCAGCTTCTGGTCCCAGTAAGCTTCAGGACTCCTTCATAAGTCATGTGTGGACACCAGGTTTTAACATTATGTTTATGAGAATAGTAGAACGTAGCGAGCGTAAACTAATGCAAACGATCTTTGTAAGAAGAAAGCAGGAGAAAATGACACACTTTTTGAAAATGTACAAAACTCTGCACCTTAAAAATTTGTCCTGTTTCTGCTTTGTCTCAAAAATGTAGATGCGTCCTTTGTATTCCACAGCATACTCCCTCTTTCCTTGAACAAGGGCTTCATACCTGGGGACAAAAAAAGCATTTCATTTCTGTTGAATATTCAGGGTGGTGAAAAGTCCAATAACTACTTCTCAGTTTACTAAAATTGATGAGTAAAATAATTACAACAAGTCCACTTCCAAATACAGACTGATTTAGAAAAGAAAAGAAATCTACTGCTTTTAATTAAAATGATTTGTGGACACATAGCTGTTGGGTTAGTGCATGGCCAATACTGATCCTAAAAAAAACATACAACTTTGTTTTGATTCCTAGATAAGTCTTAGAAAATGCACTCAGGACATGACAAACCGTGACTCATCATTGATGTGTCAAAATCAACTTTTTCTGTTGACTTGTAATTTGAGGAAAACAAAAAGAAGAATAAAGTGAGCATTTTAAAATATATATTTTCAGCGGGTGACTAATGTACCTCTGCTTTCCATCCAGGTAAGTGACGGGACAGAAGCCCTTCATCTCCACTTGCTGTGGGAACCTGGTCTTCACCTGAAGCTCAGTCAGCTTTCTTGGCAGCAGGTGTGCTTGTGGGAGCGTGTGTGGGCAGCCAGGTGGTACAAACTGATCAGGAGCAGACAGGAACTTCTGTGGTTGAGAAAACAACACGAAAATTATTTTAATCAGTTATCAGTGTTGTTTTTACATCCTATCCTATACGTGGTTCAATAAGGGTCTAAATTTTCACCTGAAACCGAAATACTGTAAGTTGTGTTTTTGCGTTTATAGTTTTGTTACGTTGACCGAGTTTCAGCCCAGATGTTCAGCACGACCAACAAAAAAAGATGAAGCTCCTTCAGTTCTGATGGAGGAACCGCTTTGTCTGTTGCTGTCACTCTGATTAGTTCAACACTGACTGTTCAAGTTAGTGGTATTTTAAAATCTGATACCAAAATGATCATATTTAATGCAAATATATGTTGTGACTTTATGATATGTAAATAGCAAAGGTGTCTGGTTGCTTGCGGAAATCACATCCACATTTTAAAGAACAAGAAGAAGAAGCTAATTTTCATTGAAAGCCTTCTTATAATCACTTGGTGCCAGTAACTTATGCGCGTGCACCTCCAGCTCACTCACCTCTAAATGGTTTTCACTACACATCCTGTAATAGCGTCCCCTGTATACGGCTGCATGGGTCAAGGCCGCAGTTTCCGAGCAGTCCACCAGGTGGTAATGCAGAGCCAGGCAGACGGAGCAGTAACTCTTAAACTCTCCAAGGCCATGCTCCAGTTTCCTGGGTGTGATGCACAGCCTGTTGATGCAGGCTGCTTGCCCTGTTAAATCAACATGCATGGGGTTGGAATATTTTAAATATATGCACAAAAACATGAGGCTATAAGTTTGAGAGCAAATAGTCTATTTGGTTTTTACACTATTCATATTTGCCACTGCTGCACCCAACCTTGCTAAGCTGATCCCTGGAGAAGCACGTTATTAATAATACTTACCGCTTCTCATCCTCTCCAGGTAAGTGTGGATATATTTCATGCTGATGCTGATCTCCTTTAGAATATTGTTCCAGAGCCACCATTTACTCTTTAAGCCATCGAGGACGCACCAGTTCTGATACTGTTGTTGGAAGTGATGCCTTACACGCTTCACCTCTTCCCTGTAACGCGTAGTAGAAATGTGGAGGCTCTCAGGGCTGTCGTGCATCAGGTAAGGCCTACAGTAGGATGGAAAGGGGAAACAGGGCACTTTTTTATATATCCGTGATGTTTATCAGCTGCTAGACTTCGGATTTCTGAAAAAACAGTGTATTTATAGTTGCTATTAATGTGTGTTGTCTGACTTGTTGGGCTTCATCTTGTCTGCCGCGCCTCTCTTCAACACCTCCACTGTGTCCAGCTCAAGCTCGACTACTATCATGGGGATGATGCTCCGAAAGCCCATCAGCTCTGCTTGCTTCAGAGTCATCGGAAACCCATCCAACACGTACCTGGAGTGTGACAGAAGTAAACACTGCCTTTACAAACAGCACATCACACACAGGTTTCTTAATAGTTGTGAGAATGAATATGGCATAGCGTTGCTTTTAATGTACAACAGTTAGTTGTGATACTTGTTAATGTATGAATGTGACAAAGCCCTCGTCTTCACAGGTGGGAAGTAACGAAGTACAAATACTTGGTTACTGTACTTCAGTAGATTCTGCAGGTATCTGTACTTTACTTGAGTATTCATTTTTCTGACCACTTTTTACTTTTGCTCCCGACATTTGAACACAAATATCTGGACTTTCAGCTCCTTACATTCTCAAAACAACAAACGTCTTTATCTTTCCCAGCAGTGAAGCTCAGCACAGCCCTGCCTGCCTCAGCTGCCTGCCAGAGGCTTTCTAGCACTGCAGGACTGATGTTCAGACCCAAAAGGGCCCGTCTTCATCCAGAGAACTCTGAGAATCAGCTTCTGCTGAGGCTCAATAAAAGATGTTGGTAGTCTTGAAGAGACGAGTGTTTCCATGTTGATCATAATGTTTAATGTTCATCATGTTGCTGAAATGGAAAACTGTCCAGTGATGTGTTTCTCTGTAGCAGCACTGTGCAGCTTCTCAAAGGATGAAAACAATCCTATTTTGTGTGCTTCAAACTTTTTTTGTTTTGCAGAGTTATCAAAAGAGGCATCGCGTATCAACGAAGCTAAAAATTCATTTTTGCTTTTGTACTTAAGTAAATTTCTGAACCTGTACTTTTTTTTACTGGTACTTGAGTAAAGGAGTTGAGTCAGTACTTCTGCTTTTACCAGAGTCTACTTTTACACAAGTATCTCTACTTCAGTAAAGAATGTGAGTACTGTTGCCATCTGTGCTTGTCTTACCCTCCAGTGCTGCAGGCTGTGCTCATGAGTGCCACTTCGAGACACTGAATTGCCAGTTCATCTGGCACAACGAGGCCCTGGGAGAGATAACTTTTCATCTGGATGGCCAGATCAGTGTGCTCCTGAGTGTCAAGCACCATACGCATAACGCTGCCGATGGACAGCCGAGCCAAGCCATGTTTTTGAGCAAACATCTGTGCCACTGCAGCAACACCAGCAAAGGCAAAACAAACAAAAAAAAGACTGTGAATTTTTTAAAAAATGAAATCGAAAATTGGATGACTTTCAGTTTTGTTGAGTCTTACCAGTGGTTTTTCCAGATTTGGGAGGCCCAGTGACTGCCAGTCTAACAGGAAGGGACGGGGTGGGCTTGGGCTGCCGAAGGTACTTTAAGGGGTTGAGCATAAATGTGTTGCGGTTCTCTTTAGATGTGAAGAAGTAGATGTACTGATGGAAGAGCAGGGGATATGAGGTACTGAGAGGCCACTGCAGAGGCTGGATCAAGTCGCTCTCCTTGTACCGCTGTAGGTTGCAAGATATACATTGAGACAAAAAAAAAAAAGTCTTATTATTTACAGGAAATTTGATAAAGCTTTGCTACTTTACATGTCAGCACAAAGGAAGAGAGAAGACATGAAAGTATTTGAAATGCTTTTGAAAACAAACTCTATAAATGATGCTTACTTTGATGGGGTCACAGCAGCCAAAGGCACTGTGTAGCTTATAGGATGACAGCAGCAGCTTATTTGCCAGCCTGTATGAAATTGGTTGGCATGTTTGGAAGATTGACTCCCTGTTGGTGAGGAGGGGCTGAATTCTTTGGAGCAGCTGATTCTGAACAATCTTGAGCTTGCGAGTTGCATTGATTGCCAGTTTGGGTATATTTTGTTCAATTAGGAGTTCCTGATGATAGAATAGCACAAAGTGGCACATGTGACATATGTAAAATACAACTATTTCACTGTGTGGAGCTTGTCCTGAATACAAAACTATCAGTGTGTTGCAGCCACGTCATATTGGTTTGTCTTTGTGGATTAGTGTCTTCATACCATCACAGTAGCAAGGTTGTTTTCATCCGTTTCAAAACGCTTTTCTATTTCCATCTCCAGCCTCTCAGTGGCTGCATCCTCAGTCTCCTCAGTCTCCTCATTCTCTGTGCCTTCGTTATCCTCTTCATCAGCTTCTTCTCTCTCTTGAAATCTGTCCTGTTTGGTTTGGAAATAGGGAGTACAGCGATGAGGTTAATCAGTGACGTAGATGGGAAATCAGGGTTATAAGCAGTTTACTTGTCTTTCTTTTGCTCGCCTCTGGATCTTGTTCTGCCATGAGTTCAGCTCTTCTCTTGGACATGCTCTCCTCCTGTGTCAAAAAGATAGATAGCATTAAATGTGTCAGACCCTGAGATAATTAACAGTAGCTGTCAGGGCAGACAGCAGGGCGAGTGCTTCATCATAGAGTTGGTTCAAAAATTACACCAATTACTAGAACTACTACCACGTCACTTTCATACCCGTTTTTTCTTTCGCAGATCACGTAGGAGCTTCAGCTGTGCTTCGCGTTTGTTGCGGCGCTCACGCCAGTTATCCAGGTATGTCGGCAACAGACGGTTCTGAACATGCTGAACATCCACTTCCATGACGACCACAACATCAGGGAAAAGCTGGTGATGCAACATGTACTCCACCTCATCAGAGGTATGAGGGAAGCCCTCCAAAATAAAACCTGTGGACCTGCAAGGTAGAGTATCTGAAGGTAAGTGTCAGGTGTTCACAAAAACTGAAAAAAAACAAAAAAACATGCCAAATTTATGTAATGTCCATGTATACAAGAAAAGCATATAAAGTAAATACACATAAATAAAAACAATGTTCATGTCTTGCATACAGATGGAGACACCCGGTTGACTGAGGTTAGCACAAAGACTAGACTTTGCTTTCCTTGGACAGAGCTTTGCCAGCTACTTCTGCTTCTTTCCAGCTTTGCGGTAAGCTACGCTATCAAGCTTTAGGTCTTATTTTCACATTAGGGCTGGATTAGATCTAGTCCCAGATGAAAACCTTTTTCAAATTGAGATCTTCATTTAATTTTTCCTTTAGTGTAGGACTAGGTTTAATTCATGTTTAAGAGGCTGGCTGATAGTGTGTCAGTGGAATAGTAGCATTCATCTTCTATTCTAACTTTCACCAAACAGAAAGACAGCAAACAGGCGCTTTGACCAAAGTGAGTGCATCTTTGAAGAAGAGACAGGAAGGTACATGTATGGTTCTTGTTTCCAAAATGTTGCGATAACCATGTCCAGGATCTGTGGATTCAGTGGATCTCCACTGGACAGATAGGCCTTGATAGCCATTTCTTCATCAGTCAGTACAACTTCCTGTTATAGAAACACAAAAGCAAATTCACCCCCCCCAAAAGGTTATAACTAAAAACTAATTTGAAGTTCTATAATACAGAAAATTGTCCTGGAAAATGTTTTCATTAAAGCTGACCTCAATGTCATTCCTGTCGGCATCCTCTCCCGTGGCTTCCATTGGTCGGGCCTCCAAGTCTTGAGAATCATCCTCCAAAGATGCTACCTCATCAGCACAAGGTACCCGTTTCTTTGTCTTGGCCATGATGAGTGTTTGAAGATGCTCCCTGAACTGAATGTGGAAGAGGCCAAGATGCTGTGCCAGCCACTCGCCATTAGTTGTCTTGCCTGACCCTCTGGTGCCAAGCAAAAAGATCCGCAAGGCTGGAGGCTTAGAGACAAGAAGACAAGGAGCATGTCAGGGAATTTTTGTTCACCTCATGACTGTATTACTTTTCTTTCTGTTCTCATGTCAACCTGTACCTTGAGAGGCTCAGTCTGTGCAACAAAATGTTCAGGGTTTTGAAGGAAGGAATCCCTGGCCTCCAGGCTGGAGAAGTAGAAAATCTTCTCACGGTATTTGGCTGCAATTTCATCCGTACAGGGCCGCAGGACATTATGGTTTTTTAAGGCAACAGGGCAGAAATGATGGGTATCTCCTAATAATCGCTTGGGTGTTGTGTCCCCCTGAATTCGTTAAGAGGAAAGAATCCTGGTAAAAGGTTGTTTATGTTATTAATACTCATCAACAAAGCAGTAGTGGCATTATAAACCAGTAGTTTATAAAGTCAAAACTAATCCGATTGAAGTTTTAAAGTTAAAAATCTCCTCAGTTTACTGACTTCATCCTCCTCCTCTGCTGTATAATCGTCACTGCTGCCTTCTTCGGCTCCCTCCAGGTCAGCGAAGATCTCACTATCTTCTGCCTCCACATCCACCTCCCAGGACACATGTTTAAAGGGTTCTAAAGATCATGCATGTAAACCAAAGACAGAATTGTTATTTCTTCTTACCAAAAACGGCATCCAATAGAATGTTCCATAAATAGAGAAATCATTCAAGGTCTAGCAATTTGAATTTAATTTGAACTTAAACCTGAAAGTTTTTGTGGTGCAAAAATTCAAAGATTGCAATGAGAAGCTTTACACCCACTCTCCATTTGTTGGATCATCTCTTGAAGCAGATTTTCAGGGCTTTTGCTGCCAATCTCCAGTACACAGTGAGTGACTGTCAAAGCCGACTGCATTTGATCCCATTCGCTCACAAACTGTTGTAATGACAGCTTATACTCATTCGTCTCTGGGCCGTCTGGATCACCCAACAGTCCCGCTGCTTCACCTACAAAGGCAGGAAGCAGAAATAGATGAACAGTCTGTATCTTGATAAACGAAATACAATCAGAGTATATTAGAGACTGAAGGACATTTCAAGTCAAAATGTAAAATGCAAGTGTAAAAATGACGTCAACTTGTTGGCAATGCTTTGTATTTGTGTTCCCTACCCTCATGTCCATCGCTGTCTCTGAGGCAGAAGACAATATCTGGGAGGATTCCAGCTTGCTGTAAGGCATCCATTTGGGTAAGGTTCCTGGGGAAATTGTCCAGCACCCAGCCAGTCCTGCACTCAGCGTCTGAGTCTGCCTCTTCAATCTGTAACAGCAACCTTATTATTAGTTACTTTGGTTGAACACTGATTTACTTCTTATCAGAACTGTGTTAGTGGTATGAATGTCTTGGTGATATGTCTATATGTACAATGTCATGGATGCAATGCATCAAATGGCAACATTGATGTTTAATAGAGCTTCGCGTTAGTTCAGACAGGCACGGAGTCAGAGTGTCACATGGCCCCTCCTGTCCAATTGCCATCGCTAAAATCCAGCCCACCCAATTAGTGTGCTTTATAACTGAGGCAGTGTTCATTCATTCTGCCCGCTTCACGCTCACAATATCGCTGCTACTCCAGCCTCTGCAGATCGTCAAATCTCCTTCTCCTCCCCAATCACCACCTTTTAAAAACAGTTCAATCTCATATAACCCCGATGTTTCCCATATCGTGGGACTGTAGGTTGCAGAGGGTTCATTATTGTACCTTGAACTATGTAATCTAGATTCTGTAAGTGAAGACTATTTAGTTGGTCTCCTGTTCTCGCGTTCATACTGTATTTGAAAAATTGTAAATTGTAAATTCAAGGCTCTGCGGGGGTTTTGTGATCTCAGGGATTATCTGTGTCATGCTTGCTCAGATTGTTCCAGAGCATCACGAGCAGAGTCACCGCCAAACTCAATGTATGTGATCCCAAATAAATGGTTAAAATCTGACAAAGTGTCCTGTCTGAAATACAGGTAATTATTCTTAAAGATAATTTCCATACATTTTGCAAGAGCGGTGGGTTTCTTGAGTCCTAAACATATATTAATGTATCTGCAAACATGCTGCTGTGCAACTTGAGCACAGAAAAGCCTGTGTAAATGCAGCTGCCATGCTTGACATCTTTAACATACCTCTTTCAGACGCCTCTCCAGTACCTCAGCATACAGGCCCAAGGGAGACGTGCTGAAGTGTTTGGCTTCTTCCACAGCAGCAAGCACCAAGGCTTGTACCTCTGGATGATCCTCTGTCACTGAGAACAGCAGAAAACATTTGATCTATTGGCTCAAAAATACAATATATGTTGCTGAAAATGTTAGATCTTGATGCACAGTGAGCTCCAAACCTGTGACACAAAAACATACGACTGAAGTAACATCAGCTAAACATGTCATACACGAAAGGGATGAAGAAAAGTTACAATATTTAAACATCTTACCCTCCACAAATCTGGTTTCATCTGATTTTTAAAAAATCATTAATTTTGTGTTTGATAATATAAATCACATGTTCAAAAATGTGCAGAAATAATGTCTTATACTGTACACTGCTGCAACGTTCCGTTACATATATACAAATAACACAAACTGGTTTAGGATCTATGAAACATTGTGCTACAGCTGTGGTAGTCTAGTATAGTACATACAGGTGATAACAAAAACTATCAGCAGCAAATATCAAGCATCAACAGAACTCAACGTGCCTGAATTTTGTTCACCATCTTGCGGCATCTTCATCTTGATTTTCTCTATAGCAACCTGTGTTGTCTCATTTTTGATCTTGTCAAGCCTCTCCTTTTCAACCGTGGTCAGAGCAGGCAGCAGCAGTTCCTCCATGTCAAGTACCACTGCGTTGTAGTGCTGAGCTAGAAGCTTGCATACGGGGCTCTTCCCTGCCTGAGTGGGCCCAATGATGGATACTCTGCAGGGGAGCCTGGGCATCGGAGGAAGCAAGTACCGTCGGGGGTTTGTGACAAATTTCTGGTAAGCCTCATGAGATGAAAGGATGTACACTTTGTCCTGGAAGCTGTAGTGTTTGAGATGAGAGTTGGTTTGACATTTTTATCCAGCTGCACTTAAAGTCATTGAAGAGATTCATCATGTTGAAATAACTACAAAAGATTACTCACCCCACAGAAAGTTCTGGTTTGCCAGGAATGGCCTTCCCCTCCTTCAGAGCAACAGGACAAGTTCGGCCCCAGCGGCTCCTTCTCCACCTAAAGCCGGGGGCCACTGTCCTAGTGGAGGACATATTTCTCAGTAGATCCTCCTAAAAAAGAAATAGACAGGAGTTAAGCAATTTGGAGTGTATTCAGTGGAGAGATCAGGTCAAAAACACACCAACATATTCCAATCATTTACCTTGTATCAGCGTTATGTGTTTAGCTTTCAAATCTAGGTTGTTTGAAATAATAGTGTTTTCTATACATTCACATAATTGTGTTTAAATAATTTATATAGATTGCCAGACCGTGCTAACATCCTCAGGCAATTCTTCATCATCATTGTGGTGGAGCAGGACTGGAAGGGAGACACGCTTTATAGCCATAGATCCAAGATGTGACATTACAGACTGGAAGTTAAAAAAAAAAGAAAAAAAAAAGAAATCAGCAAACCAAAGTCACCCACAAAATACATATGCAGTTAAACACAGACTTCACACAGAAAGCTCTTCTGTTTCTTAATTAACACAAGACTAACATTGCCTCCTAATTAAAAACTTACTCTATTCACACAATCAGTTTAGCAGCAGATGCTGCGTATCCCCTTAAGACTGTTTATGTCCTGTTCTTGTCCTTACCAAGTGCAGCTCTTCAGCTGTATTGTTTCCATCCAGCTCCAGCAAGTAGAGGGGATGGTGACGCATCATGTAGTCCTGAAAACACATCAATTCACTTCCAATTTACTACCTCAAAAAAAAAAAAAGAAGTACCTTAATTTATTTTAACAATTATTTTTTTCTTCTGTCAGTGGGGTATTTCACTGAACCGCCAATCTGATCACACTCACAACAAAACATAAAATTGGGCAATTATGAAAACACAACTTAGGATCATCTGGCCATCTGTTCACTAATAGTAATATCTCTGATGATGTCTTTGGCTTTACCAGCCTGATTCTGATAAAGCCAGACCATACAGCTCTACACTTGTATAGTCTCTCCTTAGAACCTCGAAAACAAAACAAGGAGAAATGTTACATTTCATTACTCTGATTTGCCATTTGAACAATAGGGCTGGCCTGATGTAAGTTTCATAGTAAACATCAACTCTGCTAAATTTCTATCAAGCCCATAAGGGCGGCCTTCTAAGTCCCAATAAGGTGGCATATTTAGCCATCATTATATGAACATACTGGTGGTCTTCTAAATATGATCCAAAATTGTTCATCCATCCATCATCTCTGCACCTTAATCCTCACTAGGGTCATGGGGGCTGGAGTCTATCCCAGCTGACTCAGGGTGAAGGCAGGTTCACCTGGACAGGTCACCAGTCTATCACAGGGCTACACTTAGAGACAGACAACCAAGCACACTCACATTCACACCTACGGACAATTTAGAATCACCAATTAACCTCAACATGTTTTGGACTGTGGGAGGAAGCCGGAAAACCTGGAGAGAACCCACACTGCACGGGGAGAAGCAGAAGCAGAAAGATCCCGGGTGTCCTCAACGGGACGCGAGCCGGCGACCTTCTAGCTGCGAGGCAACGGTGCTAACCACCGAGCCACCTTGCAGCCCATCTAAAGTTGTACAGAAATGAAATCTTCCAAATCGCTGATTAACAGTGGACAATGTTAAAAAAGGATTGTGACATTTGGCTCTGCCCTGTGTTGTGTCGAACAACAACCCTCATTGTACCTCCAGTGGTCTGAGCACGGCATCCTTGTACATGTTGATTCTAACAGATGCATTTCTGGCCAGATTCTCTGGTGTCCACACAATCTGGTCAGTATTACTTCTTGGGAGCTCTTCCTCCTCAGCCTGCAAGAAAAATATACATGTGAATAGGATAAAGATTTTAACTAGCAGATAACATCATCATTAAATTTCCTCAGTTGATTACTAACATTATGCAACCAGAGGAGCCCCCTGCTGAATAGTAGATAGAATGCAGGAAGAAGGCCGTTTGGCAGTGACTTCACTTTTAGGAACCAGAGGCTATGTATATCTTTTATGTGGATAAATGATGCTTTTATAAAGCAGCAGCGGATGGTGGGGGCCAACAGGCAGAGCTCTGAGTCTAAATATGACATGGTCACTCAATGACAAGAGTTGTTCTCCCCTGAGCCATACCTGCTCCTCTTCACTCCCCACATCCTGATCCTTGATGTCCCTCGTCTTGTTGTACACCTCGTCACGCTTCCACTGATCCCTGCTGTATAACTTCCCCGTTTCTGGGTGCTGTTTCAGGCCAGACAGCCTCTGGACCAGGTCCTTGTCTGCACACTGATGGGAGATAGGATGTTTTGACACACAATCAATTGCTAACTCAAAGAAAGGACTAAATTACAGCATAAAAAAACTAAAACAGCTAAATGCAATGTACATTTGGAAACAGAGAATATGACAGCAACCTTGATGTTAATGATGAAATCAGGTGATAGCTTGAGGTTTTTGATCAGTTCTATCTGCTCATGAATCTTCAGGCATTCTTCTGACATGAATGGCAGGCAGCTCAGTACGTAGCCTGTATCACAACACATTCATCATCAAACAGTGGCAGATATCCAGTTCTGTCTTTTAAATGACAGCCTGCTGTCAAATAATTGCAATTCATTCTTTTCAACAGTACAAATGACATTTGGTGATTGAGAAGTTTATTTGCATGCATATTCATTGTACTACATAAGTTTGGTAGGTGATTTACCGTAGTGCTCCACATCTGGTGAGTTAAGCCTGGCAAGAATCAGCTGCATCACCACATCTTCTGGAATACTTCTTCCCTCAGACAATATATCCAAGAGCTAAAATTGTTAGATAATGCAAGTTAGAGGTTTAAATGGCTGTGAAACACATGATGGAAGAAAGAGAGTGCTCCATGAAGTGATGCAGAATGCGTTACTCACCTCTATGCCCTCCTTTGTTTTGCTTTCGATGTGTGTGCTGAGCAGATCTGTATCTGAACGATTGTGAAAGCAGAGAAGAAGTATTTGAATGTATGTCACGTTGGTACACAGAGCAGAAACACTAATATAGAAACGAGGCTTACCATCAATCAGGACACACCTCCAGGACTCAGCAATTTTTCTGGCCAAGGTGGATTTTCCAACACCCTGTCACAAAATGGACACGGAGGTCAAAGAGAGACTGGCTGTACCCCAACCCAGTGTTAAATCCTCATCTATAGCATAAACGTTTAGGATGTGTTTTGTTACTATATTTATAACATGACAAAAAGCTTCACGTCCCACATGTCGTTGCCTAATTAATTAACAGACTGTACCATAGTAATAATATATTCACCACTATGTGTTGCTCTGAAATCCACAGACCTATTTCACATGTAATGCTAGATAAACAGAGGAATTACAGTTGTGTTGTCTTTATTGTGGCTACAGAGGCTTCGTTAACGGGACTAGTAACACCTGTGTTTACCTGCTGCTCCAATGGCTGCCTTCACAAGTGTTTGTGTGCATGTGTATAGAAACGGGACGTTACCGGTTTGCCAACGACAATGAAACAGGTGGGTTTAGCCACAAGACTCTCTCTCTCAGCTTCATCTTCTGTCAGCTTGTCCACGAACAGATCCATGTCGGTCTACTGAACACAGACAAGTAATGGTGGTGAACGCTTACCGGAACCGTTACTCTGCAAAGTACCGACACACAGCAGAAGTGAAACAGCACAAACATTTGCTATCATATTTCAACAGAAGTGTACCTACTGTTGCCTTGGGGCATTCCTTTAACGAGTTTTCGTAGTTTCCGTTTTGTTTCTAGTCGTCGTTGCTAACTAGCATTAACTAACGTTAACTAGCATACTACTTTAGGTGGCCCAGTCAGCGTATACTGTTACCATAGCAACCTAGAAACTAAAGCGGTTAGCTTGTGGATAGCTAATGCTGTCTAAAGCTAAAGCTAAAAATACGTTTTCCATGTTAACAAGTGTGTTTTTTGCTAAAGTTAGCACACAAAGCCCCTTTTCAGTGAAAGGAACATATTTAACGAGGAAAACCATTTTATTAATCGCGTTTTCAGTCTTTTGGCTTTTTTTTTTTTTTTGACTCTGCGAGGCACCGTACCAGCTGACTAGTGAAGGCAATCATGACAGTCACCTGACTAAAACAAATTCTGGTTGCACGCCGCTATGCTAGCTGGATATATGTGAGTAGTTTAGGGACATACCTGGTTCAGCTCATGAATAAAACGTTAAACAGCTGCTGGTTGTCACCGCTCGGCTCAGTGAGACAGCTAGCTTCCCACTAGCGAGCTACTAGCTTGCTACACTACCGGTGAGTAGCGTTAGCTAGCAAAACAGGATGCATTCAGCAAGTTTTTAGAAATCAATATATTTGTCTCCTGATGATGTGACGTTGTGGATGTACATGTTGCTCTGCAGCTCTTCTGTCGGCTCCTCTGGATCGGGACTACTGGAGAACACAAGGATCATAAAAATGCCTCAAGCAGCGGCCATCATCAGTGGGATCCAAAAGATGGTTTTGTACGAAACCAGAGCAGTAAGTCTGACGTGATATTTACTAACACAGTCTCTTCATAACTCCCCAAACTTCTAACTAGCCTCGCTGTAGGTGACAAAGCAAACCCAGTCTCTATGGATCACATCTCGACCTTGTAAAGCTGTCTCTGGACTCTCCTGATGCTAAAGAGCTTATTGTGGAAAATGCTCAGTTTTCAGGCTTTTATTGACCAAAGGGCATGAAAACCGTGCATGTCTGTTATTTCTTCTACTTCCTGTTCAGACAGGTCACCACCTTTGAGTGCTGCCTTGCTCCACTTTGTGTCTGCTAAAAGATGAGTGGCACACAGCTGACACAGAGGCCCAACTGTTTAGTCAGGGCAGCCAAAGTCCATCACTTCTACCAAAACGTGGGCTGTGCTGATTAATGATCTAATCACACCAGTGTAAGAAGGCCATGCTCAGTCTGGGATGGTCCAGTTTCAACAGCTCACAGATGTAAACATGAGCATGGAGAGGGATTGTGGGGCACCGCGATAGAACTGGACTAGTCAGGAACACTAGATGGCAGCAAAAGAGTGTTTGTGATAACTGACTACTCCAGGCCTCAGGACATGACCTCCGTAGCATCAGTCACAGGCATTGGTATCACAGTTGTCTAGACAGTCACAATAATTACACTGATCTCAGGTTGGATCAGCTTTATACATATTTAGATATAAATATGTGCACTTCACAGACAGTGCATCTTTCCTTTTTAGTTTATTTGCTGCATATTGTCATAATAAAAGTGAAGATACACAGCCTCATTTCTTCAGTTGTCAGTGCGTCTTTAAAAAAAATGTCTGTCAACAATAAAGTGTGAGAATCAAGCTGTGCACAGAATGACTGATGCCTGTCGTCACCAGGTAAAACACTTCAACTATAAGGCAGTAAAACATTTCATGTTGAACTTCTGTCAGACCTTTTTACTGAACAGTGGATGCGCAGACTGTGTAGCTATTGTGGACAAAGAGATATTAATACAAATATTATATATTGGGACACTGGGAAGTGTGGAACAGGACAAAATCGCTCTAATGGTTGCGGACTGTACCGATACATGATGTTCCAGTGTAATGTTTTTTAGTGGAAACAGACCCCATCTGACAAAAATAATGACTCGAAAGAAAGAGACATGCAAGGAAGACACAAATCTTGTGTTACGATTTAGCTTTGTGTCAAACGTGTGCTGTGCACTGTAGTTGCAATACGTGTTTCTATACTGTGATGTCATGATGCACATCTGCCTTAGATACCTTTTGTGTGTAATTTCATTAACTTCTAACATGTTCGCTCCTACTGGGGTCGGTTATTGTGGAGAAAAATTGTTGTAAGTTATAGAAACAAAAGGCCAAAAGAAAATGAGCCCCTAACAACAGGGCTGCACTCGAGAGAAGTGGATTGTCATAATAGTCTGTTGAAATGTGAACACTGCCTGTCTTCCCTGCAACACATCGTCCAGTAATATAGTGTTCTCTCATATCTGGTTATCGGCACTGAATATGAACTCAGTGTCCTCCAGGAGAAAGCTTCAATGCAGAAAATATGGACTCAGACATTGAATGTTCTTGTCTTCAGTATGCACTCATTAGCAGAAGCAGCTATGCAGGCTTCATGTATGAAAGGCCCCTGTGACAATCCACACCAAATGAATTGAAATTCACGGTGTATTCACGATATGGTGTTTTTCTTTTCAGAGGTATTTTTTGGTGGGGAGCAACGAGGCACAGACCAAACACCGAGTCTTAAAGATTGACCGCACAGAACCCAAGGACCTGGTCATAATTGACGATAAGGTAAGCGGCAAGTTTCCACCAGACTTAGCACAGCGCCAATGTATGTGCTTATGTAATGCAGTACAGTACGCCTGGGGGGAAATTGTACAATCACTCAGCCAGTCCCAAGTGTATTGTCGATGACAACTTCACTGATGAGTGCTGAGTGCACCTCCTTTTCTTCTCCGCTGCTCATTACCGCGACCTATGAGCTGCTAGTTGATTTGTTCATTGCTGCTGCGGGTGATTATGATTACGATGTGTTTATTATTATGAAGCATCCGTGGCTAAATATCCATCACCCCACGCTCCCATTCCAGCTGATATTACACTGACCTTAGAAAACTGCTTGTTTTTCATTTTATTGGCTCTGTATAGTAATTGATATGCAGTGTGGAGATGCCTGAGGATGACGAGGGGGTCTGAGGCTTTAAAGGCTCCCTCATCTTTCACGTTCTTACAGTTCTCATGTAAGGAAAGCTTGGACTCACACAATGAAATAGAAGGTGGCCTAGAACTCCTTCGATAGGGTTACGCTGAAAGCCGAAGAACTGAACAAGTGGATTCTCATGAACCTATTTTGAGTCTTTGCTGTCTGTGGAAGAATGCATTTAATTCAACCAACCAAAAATACTGAATACTGAAGCATGTACCGCATTGTAGATTGCAGTATTTTTCTTTTGGGCAAGCAGTAGTTGTGAAATTTATTGTATAGTTGAGAAAAAGAGCCATTTTTCTTTTTCTTCACAGCTGAATAATAAAAAATACAGTTGCTGGTGATCATTAAAACATTTCAGAAGCAAGTTGGGTAGCAGCTAATCTATTTTTGGCTTAATTGCTTCACTGAGGATCAATCTGAGCCATTTTGTAGAAAATTTGTGTCATTGATTAAACAGGCTCTGTTATTAATTTGCTTATTTTTTGCTCAGACAAGAATTCTGTTGTACCGGTCTTGCAAGCCATGTTGACTGTTGTTGTCAAAAGCTTCAAATGCACACTGTGACAGCCATGTACGTGTCATATCATACATGTGTGTGCATGTTTTTTCCTTTTCTCTGCAGCATGTGTATAACCAGCAAGAGGTGCGGGAGTTGCTGGGCCGCCTGGACCTGGGCAACCGCACTAAGATCGGCCAAAAGGGTTCCTCAGGCCTGTCCAGGGCTGTCACAGCCTTTGGCATCGTGGGTGAGTACAGTCCCTCCACTCTCTTCCTCACTGGCATCGCAACAACCGCTGCAGAGCACAATGACGGCAGCATGCACCTCATCTTCCGAGCGTTACCTCTACAGTTGACCTGGTTTTGCCTTTTGTGTGCAGGGCATTGAAAAACGTAAATAACAGCAACACCTGGCAGTATAATGCAGGTCACTAAAATACAGCCCTGTTACCGGTCAGAATACGTTTGCGAGCTCATAATGTTCAATTTTCTCTCTCATTTTCTAAAGTCAACCTTGCACTGTTTATGTGCTCCATATAGGACAGACGAGACTTTATTACATGAGGCGTTTATGTAAGCGAGCGCATCACTGCCTACTCCATGAGTTTTTAGTGTTGTGTGGAGTGGTAGGTGTTACAGAGCAGCCGAGTTCACGTCCTGACTGCATGATGAGCGCTCCAGCTATGACCTGCGTTGCCCACCTTGTAGTTAACAGAGCAGACAGTGGTTGATTTTATCCCGATGACTTCTTCTTATGAGTGCTACCAGCAAGCCCAACCAAATCAAACAAGAAAAACCATTTCCACTCATAAACCACTGCTAACAGGCTGATGATTTTCAGGTATGCTTACCACAATTTCCACTTAGTTTGGTGCACCAGCATGCTAATTATTACTGACGAGGCCTGACGGGGATGTTAACTTGACCTCATGATGCTGAAGAGAAAACTGAGACATCACCAGTACTCATTATGCTGCATCCGCTCATGACAACCCAGTCGGTAGTTGTGGGGGTATTTCACTCAAAGCCTCTAACGTGTAGGCACTAGAGGGAACATTGGGGCTCTGTGTAGTGATAAGGGTTCATCTTCACAGGAGCAAGACTGTTGTGATTTCCACCTCCCAAACCCCAACAAGCCACAGCTCATCACATTCTGAAGTTTTGAAAAGGTGCATTTATTTACAGTGCTCAAAAGGTGCAAACTAAAAAAGGAGTCTACCAAACTTCAGAGAGGACCAAGGACAAAATAATAAACCAAGAAAAAAATCTGTGCTCAAAATAAAATCAGTCTGACCGAACCAAAATCAAAATACAATCTCTGAGCTTCCTAACAGAACACAAACAGGAGAAAAATGGTGAACCAGAGTAGACAGCCCACCCCTATGGACTCCTCTAAACACAGATTACACGGCGGACTCTACGTGGCCGCCGTGGTGTCGCAATCCCTCGTTCCTCTGGGGCCAATCAGCTCCCAGCTGTCAGTCGCCGCACCAATCCGCTCTCTGCCGTGGCACACCTGTATTTGCGTGTTGAGAGACGGGAAACGGGCACAGAAACACGAGACAAATCATTAATAACACGACCGCAGTCGTGACATATAGTTATTAGGGTTCATGTCCACAGGAGCATGACTCAGAGCAAATGAATGGTCTTACATTTTGTTTATCGTGTGTGTGTGAGGGTGTGCGCAAAGGAAGACAATTGTTCACTAATATTTGCGTGACTCTTTCAGTGCCTGACAGTATCACATGTAAGATAAAAGTTAGTCCTGCAGCCCTTTTAATAAAGTGCTATAATAGCATGCTCCTAAGATTTAATTCAGCGTCACCTCGAGGGCTCGGTCACGCTGACACAGACAGATTCTGACTTTGACGTCTGCTTAAATAAATTAGAGGCTTTTTCCTCCCTAATACCGTCTTTGTTCACAAGTTGTTATTTTTGCCGTTGTATTGAACAATAGAGCGATGCAGCCGGTAAGGCACAGTGTATCCCGAGAGGCTTCTTTCTTATTACAGTATAAAATGAGTATCATTATTGTAAGTATATTTTTATTCACTTTCATTTGTCAGTTTTGTCAGTCTGACCTCCGTCTTTTGGGAAGAAGCACAGCAAACTAACGCAGGAATTGTCTGTCTGCAGAACCACATGCGGTAACGCACAGGAAGCGAGCCGCGGACGCGTAGTTTGCTCTCACACGAGGCAGCCGACACACCTGATCAGTCGTTACGCAGCGTGACATCCCTCATCTGAAAAGTTTGAACGCTGGGTCGTGCTTAATTTAAATTCTCTAGATGAATGAACTCTAAGAATCACAACAGAAACTGTATAAAGATTTACAATTACACTTTTTTTGTGTACAATTTAATTGACAACGGGCACTTTAGCAAAGAGGAAGCAACAGTGTGAAGTCACATGTGACACATTTGAAGGCAGGTTGTTTATCCATTCATTTATTTTCATGATTTGATGTAAAGAGATGAATTTATAGGAGTTTAATCAGTGACCTTTAGAGAGACTCCCAAATACTAGCAGCTTTTAATATTATGTAAGTATTGTGTAAAAGAGCAGGAATTAGGGTGAGAATATGTTACAGGTGACTAATATTTAAAAAAACGATATATTATGTGATGCACGGTTTAGCAGGGCAACTGACTGAAGTCACGCCAGGTGCTCTCTCGGCTTTCTTAAAGATCCAGCCGGAGCCAGAGGAGACGTTACACAACTGTTCCTGCAGGCTGAGGAGCACTCCTGACCTTGCACCTGCATTTGTAGCCTTCACGTTGAATGCTGAGACACAATATGACCATAATCCCCCTCGCTATCCAGCTGACGGCACAATGGCACCGAGATATCTGCAGCTCTCAATGTTCAGCTGCATAATTGCATCGGTGACCCCCACCATTCATTTGTTGGCAGATCACTTTGAGTTGTATTAAAAGGATGCTGTATGTCTCACTTGCATAAACTACTTGCCTTAATGAGTCATTATCAAAAACATAAAGACATCGTTTATGTTGTGTATTGAATGCCACAGAAGAGAGAATGGCTCATCTAAAGCTGAAAGCAAATCATCGACGCTGCACGATACTTTCTAGGTCAGTTTTTAATTATGTAAGAGTGAATGGATTGGATTACATATGTAATAATGTGAAATATGGCACACAGACACCCACAGTCCGCCTCCACAAATAGACGTATTCACTTGTTTGCACCGCCAATGCTACTGCTGATTTGCAGGCAGCAGAAAGGCTGACCTACAAATCAACTTGATCAGAGATTTTTTTTTTTTTTTTCCCCTGAACTTCCATGGCACCTCGAGTCAGGGAGTGTTGATGCTAAGCTGAAGGTACAAGTTACATGAAAGAACATTGCATTAGTTTATCCTAAAAGGTTTTCAATGTTTTTTCTTGACAGGGTTCGTACGGTTCCTCGAGGGGTACTACATTGTGTTGATCACCAAACGCAGGAAGATGGCTGATATCGGGGGCCAATCCATCTACAAGATTGAAGACACCACTATGATCTACATTCCCAATGACTCGGTCAGAGTCACGCACCCTGACGAAGCGAGGTATTGTCTTACTCCTGTCCCTGTCATCCTTCCTTGATGTTTGTAAGGGTTCTGGTATATGTACTTATCATTTCTCAGTGGCAGAGATTATTGGCAATATGTGGATATGTTGCTATTGTTAAGGACGGTATATTGTAGATACGTATCTACGGTCAGAGAGTGACACGGGAGATCAGAGGTCTTTGGTCTCTAATATTGAACACAGTTATCCAGTACGTCTGAACAGTCATATGGTTTCTGAAATAATAATCAGAACAATACACCAACTGTGTCAATAAACCGAAACACAGAATACAGTGCCTTAAATTACAGTCACATAGCAGTCTAAACTTACAACTATTAGCATTTAAAGTTGTGTAATAACTTCTGAAACTACCACACCAGATTATCTACATAACTATTAAGCTTAGAAACCCTCAGAACAGCCCTGAATTGTGGTGCAAGAGGTTGTACACGACCCCAGAATGAATCTGTCAGAAACACGTAGCATGCACATGCACACTACAACTGAACCAAAATGGAAGTTTTGACACTTTATCCACTGAACATTGTCCCTAGAATGAAAATATCAGCCATTTCAAAACATCAGTGCCGGATAAGATGATAAGAATGTCGGGACAATTGCTTAAAGCTTCAAGAATATTGACTGTTTGTTTGTTACACACGATGATAGCATGTAGACAGGTTTGGTGACTGATCCTCTTCGCCTCCATTTTTCTCACCTGTGCAACGATGACACGTTTTCAATTTTGAATCACCAAACAATAGAAATGAATGTCTCTGGCGTGATCTGAGTCACGTTTTCTTGCTTTAAGCTTTGAGATGTGAGTTTGACTGACTGGGTTTTCCTCTTACAGATACGTGCGGATCTTTCAGAATGTGGACCTTTCCAGCAACTTCTACTTCAGGTAAGTTTTTTTTTTTTTCTCTGGCCTTTTTGCCTTTATTATTTAGGTTAGTGAGAGAGACAGACAGGAAAGGGGGGAGAAGAGGGGGGAGGACCTGCAGCAAGCTGTCGTGAGCAAGACTCGAACTCACGACCTGTTCATGGGTCACCTGCTCAGCCAGGTGAGCTATGGGACGTCCCCAGGGAACTATAGCCCTGTTCATGGGCCTCCACTTAGCTAGGTAAGCTATGGGGCGCCCCCAGGGAACTATAGCATGTTCATGGGTCACCTGCTCAACCAGGTGAGCTATAGGGCGCCCCCAGGGAACTATAGCATGTTCATGGGTCACCACTCAGCCAGGGGAGCTATAGGGCGCCCCAGGTAACACAACTTCTAAGTCGTATTTCTTTGCAACGAAAGGAGACAGTGTCATGTGTCAGTAATACACATAATACATAAATTAGAACAAAACTGGTATGGACCGTCATGCTCGTGTTGAGCAGCAGTAATGATGATGATGATGACACCGACACCAGTACATCTGTGACAGTCGATCAGTTGAGCCCTGCTCCTGTCCTTGAGGGGCCTTTCCACACCTACAAAAGGAAAGTCAATTTTTAGCCCTATTTGTTTGCAAGCAGGATCCTGTTTTAAAAAATGTTGGAAAGTAAGGACTCGTGCTAAAGGACTTTTGAGATGGAGCTGTTTAAATCAGCTTTATGAAACAGGTTCGTTTTCATCCCCCTTTTTTTGTTTTTACACAAAGTACCACAAAAAAAAAAATCTGACAGATTGAACCCATGATTGTTTATGTGTGCATTCACATTCACAATGTGCACTTAAAAGCTTTGAATTTGAGTTCAAGGTGTCACACCACACGGAGCTGAACATGTGCGGTGCTGTGCGGCTCAGATGAGGCCTGCTAGTTCACCTCCATTTCCTTTATTGTGTGTGCCCTTGGTTATCACAAGAAATCCGCCTGAACTTTTTATTGAATGTTTAGAATATTTCCATGGCAGTTGATGAAACATACCTTTGCTATGAGAAAATCTTCAAGGTTGCATTGTGCACGTGCCATTTGGAGTAATGCACATTTAGCTGAACAACATCAGGGCTTTTTGGTGAATTTAGTCGACATGAAATACACTTGATATTTCGGGCTTTACAACGTGCAAAAGAAATAGTTTGCAACCCGATTTGTGCAGTTATTTTAGATGCATTATGAGACTGTACGGCTTTTACTTGTTTCGTGTGACGTGGTCTTTGTACCCTGCAGCTATAGCTACGACCTGAGCCACTCGCTGCAGTACAACCTGACTTTGCTGCAGAGACCTTATGAGCTGTGGTCATCAGCAGCTTCCTCCGGTGAAGAAGAGGTTCATACGCAGAGCAAGCAGGACAGCTTTGACATCTTTGAAGACGAGGGCTTACCCACACAAGGTGAGCGTATTTCTTTTGACGAATCTACTGGCCGGAAAAGACCTTGTCAGACAACTCTGCAGGAGCATCACACTCGACTTTAAATGAGAGGGTGAGCCCAGGTCACGGTGGCTGAGAGGTTTGAGATAATCAACAGCTGAAGAAAAGAGAAGAAAATGCAGCTTTATTCATAGAAGTTGAGCTCCATGTGTTTTGTCCATCATTAAAAGACTCAGCTGCTGCCTCATTTAGCTGTATGGAACAACTCATCGAATTACCAGAAATCCAACTCATCAACATGGCTGTTATACAGCTACATACAAATACAGCTCAGGAAGAACTAGCAGGTAAATTCAACCTCACTTCTAGCTTGGCGAGCCATGACATCAGATAACTTTTGCTTGACTGAGAACAAAGGCAGAGGCAGAAAGACCAGCAGCTGATTGGACAGAATACCTGTGAAAAAAAAAAAATCACAAAGGACAGGCAGGAAGCAACAGGGGGGTCCACGTCACGGATTATAAAAAAAAAATGTCCTGATGCAGCTCCGACAACTAGAAATAGGATCAAAGAGAATCAAACGGAAGACTGATACAGGAGAAAAACATTCACATTTGCAAAAGAACGAATTTTCACATGATTTCAACTGTAACCCATAAAGCTGTGACAGCAGAGAGCTTGTGTGGCCAGACTGCATCAAGGTCACAGTAAAGCACAGGGAAGGGAAAACGTCACATTGGGGATTTTTTCCAGTAATGCTCATTAAAAGTGTCGTTTCAACTTTCTGTTCTGCTGCAGATTTGCCTTCGTGTTGCTGTAGTCCTTTGGATTATTGATAAAAGACATTGTGAATTGCCTCGGCTGTTGAGTTCACTCGTTAATGATGTGTGCTGTAACACAGTAACACAACCACCGTCCCAGTTAGAGCAGTTTAATTTGTGCTCTTCCTCCATGGTCTGCGTCACCTTAACTCATGTTTTTTTTCCATTTCCTGCTTTCTAACTGATCATTTGGAATGATTCCAGGTTAGCGAAGCGATCCAGAGCTCTTATCTCTTCTTCTTTTTCCACCACAGTGGTCTACGGCCTCCAGAATGAACCGTACTACAAGTACGTGTGGAACGGGAAGCTCCTGGAACGTGTCAAGGACATAGTGCATCCTGATTGGCTCATGTATATAATCCACGGCTTCTGCGGCCAGTCCAGTATCCTTTGAGATTTGCCAAGTCACTTGTGTTTCAAGCATTGTTGAATTTTCTGGGCTGTTGCCTGCTTTCTGTGGGCTTTCTTCATTTGCATGATCCACTTGTTGCTATGGTTTTTTAGAAGAGACTTGCAAAGTATGTATGACACCTTGTCTGTCTGCAGTGATTAACTTAATAAGCAGGAGACACACCCGTGTCGCTCACATTTCTCTTTTGTCGACGCTCCTCGTGTCTCAGCCTCAGCATCACTTGTAATAACTTTGCTCAGCCTTCATCGGAGCACGTGGCTCACACTGTGAGTGAGAGGGAGTGATTCACCAGCCAACTGCAGAAGCAGTTTGTGTTTGTTTGTAGGGCTTTTGCAAAGCAAGTGTCTGACATTAAGCAGTGTTGATCAGGTATGTAAACAATGGCACTTGCATAATCTCTCCATCTGTTATCTGCAGGGAAAAAACACATTGTGCATATTTAATCAGATGAAGTACATCTTGGGGTTTCTTCTGGATCCAATACAAGCTCAGTGTTTTGTTATTTACATAAATGTTAGTTTTTTTTTCTTTTTCTACTTTTTATTTCAGTCTTGCTCTCGGTTTTCGGTGGAAGTTTTGTCTGCACTCCAGGGAACTGAGTGTACATTTATATTTTTCTCTGGATTTTTTAAAGAGCTTGTGTTTTATTGATGCATTTGTCAGCACTGCAGAGGGGCTTCAGGTTTGACCAGCCCTGAGTAAAAAGTCTGGCTTCACCATCATGTCTCCATTTCCTCCTGACATTTTGTTTTCAGTTTAAAAAAAAAAAAGCCTGTGTCTGATGCCTTTGTAAAATGCAGCAGGCTCATAAGCTAAGGTGCACTTTTACACATCGCGCTGCCTCCGACGCGTCTCTCATCAGTCGGGTCGCTGCCACGGTGACGCTGTGTGGGCGCTTTGAGTTTAGACAATTCCTGGAAACTGTTTGGCCTTCAGTGTTAATTTACTGAGAGCTCGAGAGGGTTGATAGGTGCAATAAGAGGAGATACGGCGGATTGAGCCCAATGCAAAAAATGTGGTGCAGTTGGGAGACACTGAAGTACACTCAGTGAGAAGGAAATGAAAGACAGCGGCCCCTGTAGAAAGGCTCCTTCACCTTTAGAACACAAACTAAGAACTTCTCGTGGGGTTTGTTATTGCCAAATGTGTTTGGGCTTTTTTTGAGAAATGTTAGCATGTCACTGATTGCGATAAATCTGAAACTAATCTGGTAATCAGCAGTTTAGCCAACCTGATAATTACAAATCCTTTTCATGTTTTGTGTTAAACTCATGCACACATTTTTTAAAATTCATTTTCAGCCTTTTTTTTTTTTTTTAAACAATATAGGTACCTTTTGTTTTATTTTCCATTTGTCACTATACTTTTGATAAATTTTCAAATACAAAAATATGATTGGGTGCATTGAATTTGTATTACCGTCTTGTTTTCTAAATGTTCGTCTCTAGCACTGATACCGTCGTGGAGAATGATCTGGCTGCACCTCATCATTGATCTGTTATCGGGGAGAAAACAGCTTTTCCCTGTTTGCATTTCTTTTAAACCAGTCACATTGGATGGAGCCAAGAACCAAATGCTGCCATGATTTTCATTCAAACTAGTGACAGGAAGGGAAACTGTCATAGGAGTGAATCATTCAAAGAAAGCTAACGAGCAGGGCTGCTTTATTGCACGATCCAAACTTTCCTTTCTGCATTTAGGTTGCCAGGCCTGAGGTTGTTGTTGTTGTTTTCAGTAGGTTAACGCGTAGATAATTGAAGGAAAGTCCAGTTCTGGGTTTATACCTGTAATTTACATCTGGGGTGAGTCAGTCATATAAAACACAAGAGCCTCCATAGATACGAGTTAATGTGAGAATGTGACCAGTGTGTAAGAAGCAACATGCTCCAAAGAAGACAAGTGAAAAAGCAAAAAGCTTATATTGTAGCCGTGTATGTGTGTGTGGTGTCATGCTGTCACTGTTGTATTATTATCATTATTATTATTGTGATGACTACTATTCCGCCTTAACCCACCGACTACAGAGCTTCTGATCTACGGCCGACCGGTTCACATCACTCTCATAGCCAGACGCTCCAGCAAATTTGCCGGGACCCGCTTCCTGAAAAGAGGAGCCAACTGCGAGGTACAGCAGTTGCCGAGGCAACAGGGAAGAATAGATGGCGGAGGCAGGGCTGAGGGCCACCAGGATGATTGAGATGACTCAGTTTGATCACAGGGGGTTAATTTGACCCACTGCTTCTTTCTTGAGTATGCATGAGTGTGTGCGCGGGCGTGTGGTGGGAGGAAGGAAAGGAACTTACCAAACAAACATCACTTTCATCATTCAGTCATTCATTGACCCAGAAAAGCAGCATTTAGGGAACGATCTCGTCACAAGGTTCAACACAACAGTCTTCTGGAACTTTCGGTAGAATCTCATGACCTTCAGCCTGACATGGAGTCTGAACAGTTTTGAGCACTTCAAGAAAATCTCCTCCATACTGAGTGCATCTGCTAAAGAGAATAATGTGTGAAGTAGATTTTTCCGTTTACATTCTCTCTTGTTTTTGTCTTTCTAAAGGCTGCTCATCTGATTTAATTCAGAGGTTTAGAGTTCCTTTATGACCTTGGCAACAGCAGTTCTTCTAAACCTTGTCCTCTTTACTTATGTTTTCCTTCTTTTTCTTTCCAGGGTGATGTGGCTAATGAGGTGGAGACTGAACAGATCGTCCATGATGCCTCGGTTATGTCTTTCACAGCAGGGAGCTACTCCTCATACGTCCAAGTGCGAGGTTCGGTCCCGCTCTACTGGTCCCAGGACATCTCCACTATGATGCCAAAGCCCCCGATTCGACGTAAGGCTGCCGATTCACACCTCGCATCTGTCCGAACACGAGCGGCTTTCTTTGTTGTCCAACAGATACCTAACATTAATCTGCTGTTTCCTCAGATGCTGTAAGCGTCCTGTAGCATTTATAATAGAGAAGGTAGAGCGTTGGCAGGCCAGATAACTCTTCACCTGCTTTGTTGAAAGATTTTTTTAATCATATCCACATTTCGCTGCCCAGGACCGGAAATAATCTTGTTGGGACAGAGGAAGGATGTAATTAGAAAAACTGCATTAAAATACAAAGCGGCTTTTTACGAGGGTCATTCTTTTCAACCACTGGCACAAAGATAAAAAAAAAGAAGTGGGTGAAGCCGGGACGACCCCCTCTTGGCTTTCATCTTTGTATCCATTCTCCCATCTCATTACAAGCAGGATGAAAACACCGAACCGAGGCCAGGGGGAGGCGATCGGGTCCCTGAGACTGATGACACTGGAGACTGCTGTGTGTGTGTTCGTAGCGCAGGAATACACCGGCGTACAATGCCTGCATTAAATCATAATCTTTTTTCCCTCCGGTCTGCCCTTTAATTCATCCTCAGATGACATTTACCTGTGTGTGATCGAGACACTGAGCGTGTCCTAAGATCCCTCCGGGTATCAACTTACCTCATCGTCCTGCTCCCACTTTGATCCTTAAAGACAGTCCTTATCTGACATTTCCCAAATGTTGCCCAAACCTTTATCTCTCGCTGTGTGTAGCTGTGCCTATATCTAGTTGGACACACTTTGCCCTTGGTATTGGCACATTTTCTATTCTAGATGTGATGTTTTCCCCCCAGTGGAGATTTCCGATACGGCATTCACAACCATATGTTTGAGGAGATGATATAACAAAAAAAACACAACAATTATTACTCATGTTGGTTTGCTGTTTGGAATCTGTAATAGTCTCTCATGTGCTGTAATTACGTTCAAATATCCACATGCCCGTATCTGCGTTAAAGGAATAGTTTGACATTCGGTGACATCTGCTTTCGTTGGTTGTATCTAGGTCAAATATGGAACAAGCTTATTTCCCAAAAGGTCCATGATTCCTAACACAGCCTTTTTATAATGAGAAAAACAATTAGGAATAAATTGAAAAGTCACTTCGGCATTATTTCTGTTTGCCAACAGGGAGGACTGATTTGTTTGATTAAACCCAAATTGGTTGGACATCAGTGGGATTTTTTTCTTTTTTATCTCTGTGCTTGTTATGTTTACAACCTCCTTGAGCTTTGTGAAAAAGCCTCAGCATTGCAGAGCTAATTACATCTCGGAGATCTGTCAGGAAATCAAACCACATTCAATACAGTTGTAATATTTATCTGATTTTTGATATGCCGGCTGCATAGAATGACATCTATTAGACAGATGTAGGTCAGTGGCGTGGCGAGGACAGTTGGAGCTCAGTGTTAGTGCAGTCGTCGATGCTACACTGTGCCACTACTGTCAAGATGTATTGTTAGATAAGTAATTATGTAATGGATCTATATGTAAGGGGCATATGGCTGACCTCAAATACACAAATGTCATGGTTGTGAAGGAGACGACCTTAATAGGTGGCTTTCCACGAAGCCATCGGCGTTATCGACGCTTCTTTATCAAGGCACATGCAGCCTATGTAAGCAGAAGCGGAGTGAGAAAGATTCTCATGAAATGGTAGCAGAGACAAGTTGGAAAACTGCGAGTTTGTGTTTGTACTATCAGCTCCGCAAGCTGCACGACGTGACCTATTTCCTCTAATCTGTCCTCTTGCAGCTTCGCTAGTCCAATTTGGCGCCAGGTGTGGCGCTCTGCATGAGTGGCAGATGGAGGCAATAAACGTGGTTTTAAAATAAAGAGTGAAAAGAAGAATGAAAATGGAAGTGAACGCATGAAGCAGCGAGCGAGGACGAGAGGCTCGGCGTGGCGTTAGGCCTCACAGTCCAGGGTTTTAAATTGTAAATCTAAAATTGATAATTACATACGAATTGAGATAAACAAGCAAAAAAACCCTCAGCTCTGATGCTGAAGGAGCACAACACATTGTTGTCTCTCATGTCTGCAAATGTGTCGTGAAAGACAAGGGTATATGAGGGGCAGATACGTTTTTGCACCTACATATTTAACATCCCAGAACCTCTTTCCCCGCCCCCCCATTCCTTTTTCTTTTTCAGTGGACCAAGCTGACCCGTACGCCCATGTAGCCGCCCTCCACTTTGACCAGATGCTGCAGCGCTTTGGCTCACCGATTATCATCCTCAATCTGGTCAAGGTAATATATACATGTATATATTTGGAGATACTCATTTCCGCTGTGCTGCTGCCTCCCCTTTTCCACAACATGTGTGATGACAACAAAATGTAGTGATTCAGTGCTAAAACACTGACACTGAATATTATGAGCTTTACTAATGGCACACTGGGACATAAATGACAGCGTGTACAGTTTAAACCACATAACATCACAACTGTTTCAGCTAAAGAGCACCGTTATGCAAGTAAGCAGAGTTATTTTTAAATGGAAACGGTTGAATAATTTGACTATTACAATGTTTTCACACAAAATGTTGAAAGTTTTAAGCGTTTCACACTTTGCTCCAGCACACGTCGACGGAATACTTTGAGTACAGCAATGCGACTATAAACAGCTCTCTGATAGCTGCTGGTGCTTTGGATCGCATGCTTGAAGAGACCATAATATTAAATTAGCTTTTCTTGACTCACTTTTTAATGTGTGCTTTTTTTTAATGGCTCACTTCTCAGTCGTTTCCTCACAATTTAAAGCATTTCATTTGTAGCCCTATTAATATTTAGCTTTGTTTATGCAACATACATTTAAAAATGGAAAGACAAAAAAAATATATCACAGAAAAGAACTTTTTATGAAGGAATTGCTTTCTAGGAAATCTGTCGTCACAGAAATCTCTTGTGTGATTTAGAGGACTGCTGTCTTAGCGTGCGGATTATGTAAGAAACATCTTTGCAGATTTATTTTAACGTCTAAGGATGAAATATACCCCGCCTGTGGAATCCCTCAACAGATAGCTATCCACAGTAATGGGGCAGGCCGTGATTGTGTAATTTGCCGAGCAGTCGATCGATCCTGAGCGTTAGTTGTTTCTGTGGAGTCATTATAGTCACAAGAGGTTTTCCTCGTGGTTGCTTATTAGCAGCAGTTGAAATGCCACCTCGAATATTGATCTGCCTTTGCATTGCTCTAAAACGCACACATGGCGTTGATTTAAAATAAAAAAAGGGAACATTTCACTGCACACATGCACACTTGAGAAAACACACATGGCTCTTTCCTCCGTTGTACTTTCACGTCATGTGGCTGCAAAATCACCATCAATTATTAAAAGTAATGAATCTGGACAAGAACATGAATTACAACCTGATAAATGACCAAGAGTAATGATAAAATCATTAATAACAATGCTACACCCCTTTCCATCTGAGAACAACAAACACACCGAAGGTAAACAGAAGGTTGCATGTGTATGCCAAACCCTCCCTCATCCTGGTGGAATCACCGCTGGACCGTTTCTCTGGGGCACACAGCTGTAGCTTGGGTTTCGAGCTCACGTTGTCACTCACAAGGGGAGCCGCGAGACGAGGGACCAATCGCAGATCACGGAGGCCCGCACAAGCCACGGCCATGTGAAATTTGCAGACTGTGGGGAATGAGGGAGGGGACCCCCTGCTTGCAGCGTACACCCTCGCGCTTATCCCACAGAGACAGAAAGAGGAAGGAAGTGGCCATTAACCATAAAACCACCACAGCCAATCTCTGCACGGTTGTGAGTGGGGTCGGCGTGGCCCTGGCGACTCTGGGACGGGTGCATGAGGTTTTTTTTTTTTCTTTTTCTTATGGCTTAGCATGTGTTTCCGAGTGTGTAAAAGAGGAAGAGGAATAGCACACATGGCCAAGCATGTGAATGACTTTTACAAGCAGCCGTTTAAATGCAGTCGATTTGTTTTGAACATTGGGAATAGCTCTCTCCACAGCGACAGTTAAAGAAAGTGTAGTTTTTGTTGTTGTTAGATGATCCAAGTCTTTATTTTTTGTTAGTTTTTTGTTTGAGAGGAAGAACCCTGTTTAAAGTGGTAGCACCAACACAGGCAGAAGGAAGGCGTGTAAAGATGAGGGAAGCATTAAATAAGCCAAAAGGTATTCGTTTAGATACGTTTAAACTGTGATCGCCCTCCTGTGTATGCATGTGTGACTGTTAATGATTTGTGGCCGCCCTTTTCCTACACCAGTGACCATGACTATTACTGTGGCGTTTGCGTTCCGCTTTTATAGCTGCAGACAATAGATGTGCGCTTTTGTGAGTATATGTTCACGTGTACTGTACTTGCAGCGTCTCATCTGTACTTGTGTGAGTGAGTGTGTGTGCCAGACTGTAGGACACGCTCTGCTGAATGGCTGAGGAAATGCTCTGGTAATTTGACTGGTTGATGTGTTGCTTTGCCACTGCTGGACGTGTGAATGGAGATGTGAGCTGCTAAATGATGCATCCTGGCAGATTATCACCCAGGGTGATCGCTCAGAAAGGCACAATGGAGGAGTACACAGTGAAATAATGGACAGTGTGGTCTCAGAGAAACACTGTGAATGAGTGCATGCATTTTTATTAACAGTGGGGGGAAAAAAAAGTATGTTTTGAACCCCAAGATAGATGCAGGACTGTGACGCATATTGTCATGTTGTTCCTCCGGTTTTAACGCAGCAGTTTGCCACAAAAGAAGTTTAACAGACACTTTTGAACCAAATAAAGACTGATATGATTGTTGCATGTGTTCATTAAGCTTGCCCTCATTTTTTTCAGACTTTGTTTCCACTGTTTGCAGAAACATCTCCCACAGGTGCACCACTCATCGTATATTACGCGCCTGCCTGGAGTATCAGCATTGTGCTCTCAGCTGCATACAACGCGTCTGTCTGTGCCTGTAAATTGCCTCTTGCAGCTTTCTCTGAGGTCACTGATGAGAAGACGTGTGTGCATCTTGTGGAATACATCAAAGCGAAAGAACACCAGTCACATGTCTGAATATATGTGCTTGTATTCTCTTGGAACCTTTTCAAGCAAATGAAATTCTTTTATGCTCTGTTATCACTTGATTATGGGATGGCTCTGACATGTGACTCAGTGTGCGTCTGCTTTTGTGCCACAGAAACGTGAAAAAAGGAAACATGAGAAGATTCTGAGCGAAGAGCTTTACCCTGCTGTGATCAACCTAAATCAGTTCCTCCCTCCAGACCACTGCATCGACTACATCGCTTGGGACATGGCTCGCTACACCAAGAGGTACTGACAGATGTGGCAGAAGTGAGCTCCAATCCAGCTAGAACACGTTTTGTCAGTGTTTGAGTTTTACCATCGAAATATCAAATATTTTTGTAGAGAAGAAGAAAAATCTAGTTCTCCGCTATTAGTCGATAACACTTAAATTCAATTAGGAAGACAAAACAAGAGGAAATTGTTTTTTTTTTTGCTCGAACTGCATCTTTATTTTTATTTATTTAGCATTTTTTTTAGCCAGGTTAGTCCCATTGAGATCAGAGGTCTCCTTTACAAGGCAGACGTGGCCAACAGGGCAGCAGATAGTCCCATTAAAAACAACAAACGGCAGATAAAAGTTAACAACATGAGCACTTGCACACAGACAAGGTCGACTGTCATGATTTCCCCCCAACTTTAGACTAATTCAGTGTAACAAGGGTTTGAAGTTGACGTTTAGATTTTAAGTTATTCCGAAGCGTCAGGAGATGAAAACCTAAACGCTTTCTTGCCGGATTCAGGTCGTACTTTGGGGACGACAAATTGCAGAGAATCCATAGATGGGAGGTTGTGACTTCCACGTTTTCTTGTTAAAAGAAAAGACAAATAGGAAGGAGCGATACCCAGAATGGTTCTACTAAATACACATACCAATGACTTAAAGATGTCCAGTTAACTCTAGAATAGAGAACACAGTGGTGAGTGATTCGATAATACAAAGAGCCTTGTGCAATACAGCAGCAGATACGATCTCCAGTTTACATAGATTGAGTATTGTGACGCACAAAAGTACCAAAATATCGCCGGTGCCATAAAAGATGACCTGTTTTCTTTACTGTAATACTTTCAGCAAGATTACTTTTCAATTTCCATCTTTTACAGTTTCAAAATGACTAAAAAAGGGTCAAAAACATGCAACACAATGAAGTTCAGTTCTTAGTAACACCCCGTCTGAGTACCATCTGGTAGCCAGCTAACCAAACTATGTTTGGGAGGTTTTCACCCATTTTTCCTGCAAAAGGCGACTAGTCCTGTGAGATTCTTAGGCTGTCTTGCTTGCACTGCTCTTCTGAGGTCTTGCTACAGATGGTTTACAATGTTAAGGTGAGTATATTGTGAGGGGCAGGGTAGGTAGTCCATTGGGGATCATTGTTCCATTATAGAAGCCATCCACTTGTCGATTTTAACATTTTTACAGGCAGGGGAGATGTTTGCCTCCAGAATTTGCTAGTGATTACGACTTGAATGCCACGGTCTTGTACAGTAAAACAGGGATTTTATTTGCCTCTTTTTTTAGCAATCCTACGAGCACTTCTCTCAGGAAGTTTTCTCAGTTTTGGACCTCAACTTGACCTCCACTCTTCCTGTTAATTGCCCTTTTTCAAGTACATTAGCCACAAGGAAACAGCTACCTGAAAACTCTTTCTTAAAGCCTCCCCCTGCTTTGTGGGCATCAATAATTAGAACTTCAAAGTGGAGGCCACGGCTGCTGATTGTTGGGATGAGCTTTTAAGAGTCTTGAAAATTTGCATCACCTGACCTTTCTTAACAATGATTGTGAACAAGCTAATTAAAGTTCCTCTCCAGTCATTGATTAAACTCAACGATGTGTTGAGAAGTCAGTTCCATGAAAGTAACCCCTCCTTGCCTTAAATGGCTTAAATGTAAATATGCACCATTGCTTCCTCCAGAATGTGCAGATCTATGACACTTGTGCCTCTTGTGTAATATACATTTAAAAATGGAAAGACATAGAGATGAAATCAATGATGAAAAGATATATCACAGAAAATAACTTTTTATTAAGGAATTGCTTTCTAGGAAATCTGTTGTCAGAGAAATCTCTTGTTTGATTTAGAGGACTGCTGTCTTAGCGTGCGGATTATGTAAGACACATCTTTGCAGATTTATTTTAACGTCTAAGGATGAAATATGCCCCGCCTGTGGAATCCCTCAACAGATAGCTATCCACAGTAATGGGGCAGGCCGTGATTGTGTAATTTGCCAAGATGGACACTTGTGACACTTGCACCCCTCATCACTCGCTGCAGCTGGAGCACACCGGCTCACCCATGACTCTGCTCGTAAAACTACTCGATGGCAAGTTGTAATATTGGAGTGATTCAGCCGTATGTGTGATTTTGAAAAGAATAATAACAGAAAGTCCCACCCTGCGAGTGAACAGGATTGGTTCCTCAGGTTTGTTACACGTGAAACCCTGGAAGTCTGAATCGGTTTATTTTAAACTGTCAGCGCTACTCTGTAGTTTCAGCCACGGTGCTGACTGCTTTGTTGAAGTGTCTTCTAGTGTAAAAGCTCCATATGGGTGTGTTAAAAAGGTGGCCAAAGTTATTTTAGAGGTCAAATCTTTTGCACGGTGCTCCTTTCCGTTTTGTAACTACAGAGCTGTAATCTTGCTTAAAAATGTGATTTGTTTGAACGTTAGGAGGACTATCCCCAAACCTGTAGGCTGTAGACTGTCAATGCCTTGAAAATGAATGAAGACGTTACAACATTCCCCAACAGTTTCTCTCTTTCTTTTTCAGCAAGCTGTGCAATGTCCTGGACCGCCTCAGTATGATAGCCGAGAACGTGGTCAAGCGAACGGGTTTCTTCATTAATCGCTCCGACTTCTACTGTCACACCCTCAGACCAGATGACAGGTGACGTTTTTCTTATCCTACTTTATTGCTCTTTTATTCTCCGAGAATACAGAGGAGCCTGAAAGACACGCTTCTGGACAAGATTTTAAACTGTCACTAAGCTCTTAAGCACAAAACAAATACATCATAAAATGCTTTTATATGAAGCAAACTGAAGTAAAGAAAGATCCAGAGAATGAATCAAATAGTTATAGCAGCATCAGAAGTGTAACGGATCATGCACCATATAGGAACAAGGAGCTATGTGCTAGCCCACATTACCATCTTTTTCTAAGACGGTGCATTGTTCATTTTTGTATTCATACATATTCAGAATCACACTTATCGACGCTGCATAATTCTGAAACTCTCCACATATAAATTCTTAATGGAAATTATGCCTGATGGTAATGGTATCGCAGAGATTTCTGCTAACGAGCTGAGTAGATTGGCGTCCATGTACTTAGTGCCCGGCTGTTCCATTGTCTGCATATTTTAATCACTTTCACCCAACATTACCATTCAGTTACGTAACCCAACGATCATGCCACAGCCAATATTTATTACCCCTTCTTCTGCATTACACAACGCCGTCTCGTTTTCTTTGCTAGACACACTCCTGCACGGAGCCCCGCATCGCTCCCACGATCCGCACAAAAGCAGCCCTCGTAAGCATTTGTGTTGATGCACAAATAATTATGGCACCTGTAGCCTTCATCGCATGCAGAAATTAGCTCATGAATAATGAAGATGATTTGAGAGATCTGTTAACGCGGTCTTTGTTTTTCTAATTAAATTCTTGCCTGGGATCTCTGTCTCTCTGCGTTCAGTCATACGTGGACAGTTACTCACTTTCTGCTCTCAATTTCAAAGGCTCATTGATCTCACTCAGGTCACCGAGTCCGTGCAATGATGAGATATGTCTCTAACTTACTCCCGTAAGATCTACGGTGTTTGTCTTCAGAGCTTCCCTTTGAGCAACTCAGTTGTAGCTTAGCATAAAGCAGAATGGAAAGCAGCTAGTCTGGCTTTGTCCAGTGCAACAATATCCATCTATCAACATGCTAACTAATTAATACGTGAACTTTTGTTTGCTTTTATTCATACAAATACGACAGAATAAACGTGTACCTTTGATAGAGTCTCTCCTGTTTATTCACCGTCTGGTACCAGCAACACGAGGATGTCACCAAATAACCACAAAGCATATATCGAGCTATTTTACTCCCAATTTTGTGTGTGTGGGTATATTTTTTATATTTTATTTTGTACTGTTTCTAGTCTTTGATATAAACTCTGACTGTTGCTTTAAGAAATTAAAACCTCATGTTGGACAATGATAAGTGTTTTATCTGTTCACATCCTTCGTTTAGGTTTTCACATAAGTACCAAAGTGTTGTAAATGAGAACATGACATACAGTCTTCATCTCTGGGTATTCCAGTTTGTCGCCTGAATATCTCCTGCTGTACTTGTCCTTCCTTAATGGGGTTCATCGTGTTTAGGTGTCTTTGCGGCAGCTGTATGTGTTCCATTATTTGTGTCCTTCAAATGGTGATTATGTAATCGCCATCATGGCTATAATCACAATTTCACTGCAATTGGACTGGGAGAAGATGAGGAAATGTGCCCGCAGAAGAGTAGAATTGACACGTACAGCTTTTGCTTTTGTCTGTTTGCAGGAGTTTATCCACTGAATTGAATTTAATGTATTTTTCACAGGTGGGGAGATTTAGGTGGACACATTGCATCCAGTGGACGAGTGCAGGTATGTCCTACAGCAAACAGGTTGGACACAAGTTTCATGATTTTTTTTTGTGAATCTTTTACAACTTTTGTACATAAAAAAGTAAATAAATAAATGGAAGACGGTTTATCATTAGTATGACTGACCGTAACAAAACCACCTATCAATTCATGGCATTGATATTTCTAGGCCAAGGAAGCAGCTTATCTGTAATTATTTGAAAGATTCTCTTCATTCACTGCTATAGCCGCGAAACTAGGCCACTGCATTTATTGTCGTTCATAATGAGCGGTTTGGAGCGTTATCATGGAGGCCTTGATCAGGAGCCTTCTTTCAATGCTGTATTTCTAAAAACAGACACTTGCATGAAGTGAAATCAGATCATATCGTGTTAAGTGTTTCACACACATGAGCCACGATCCAAATACAAACACGGCTTTTCTCTTATACTTGGGTACTGTTCGGTCTCATCAATTCGTCTTCATTAGCTAGAAATACATAAACACACGTACATTTGTTAAATCAGCAGTCGGTAAGCTGTGTTCTAAGTCAGTCAGTACGTTGTCTTTGTTGTTGTAGACCGGTGTGTTGCGGACCAACTGCGTGGATTGTCTGGACCGGACCAACACTGCCCAGTTCATGGTGGGCAAGTGTGCACTGGCCTATCAGCTCTACGCACTGGGAATGATTGACAAGCCCAAGCTCCAGTTTGATACCGACTGTGTCAGGTAAAGCTCATGTACTTTACCACCAGTCATCACGTGTGTTTGTCATGTGTATGTGTGTTCTGTCTATGAGTAATTTCTTTGAATTAAAATTGAATTTCCCTTCTGGGATGAATAAAGTATTTTTCATTTCATTTCATTTCATGGCTCCTCACGTAGTTACAATATTACATTGCAGAGAGAAACCCAACGAAGCCCAATGGTTACCTTTGAGCAAGCACTGTAGTGACAGGAGGAAGAAAAGGTGTTTTTAACAGGAACTTCTGTCATTTATATCTCCTCTGTTTTGTGGCGGGCACACCAACAAGACATGGACAATAGCAACATTAGCTTCATTAGTTTCACCAACACCCAGATCCATTTGATTTTAAATCCTCAAATTTTCTAAAACTCAGCATTTTTCCTGAAACTGTAAAATAAAGTTGGCAGGAACATGCAGATACCTGCAGAGTGGCCAATTTACAGACCATGGGAGAGAGAAGACACGAAGTTAATGACATGCAGTGGATTCTAAATGCATAGAGAGTGAAAGAAAAAAAGAGTTGAGGAGCATCAGCGCATCATGAGAAGTCTCCCAGCAGTCTGAGTCTGTAGCAGCATCACCAACGACTGCTTCTGGTTCACCTGAGCCAGCCCTAACTGTAAGCTTTAACCGGAATAGTGTGAGAGCTGTGCAGTAACACTCTTCAACACAACTCCCAGCTCTTTAGTAATATAGCTAGTGTCACATGTGAAAAAAATAACATGCATTTGTTAAAATATCTGCAAACAATGAAGATCTGATTGTCCTTGCGTAAAAAGTCATGTTTGTATTTGTTGCGCGTGTGCTTCAGGTTGTTTGAGGAGCTGTATGAGGACCATGGAGACACTTTATCACTGCAGTACGGAGGCTCACAGCTGGTCCACAGGGTCAAGACCTACCGCAAGATCGCACCGTGGACGCAGCACTCCAAAGACATCATGCAGACGCTGTCACGCTACTACAGCAATGCCTTCTCAGGTGTGTGTTACACAGGCACTCCATCACACAGGATCGCTCATACTAAACTGTTTGCAAACATATTTTAGGAGGCACTAATTATCCCATCTGTCTTATCCTGAAACGCATCCATATTGAAACCGTGAAACTGAATCTACTCTCATGTTCCAGGTTACCATAGAAACATATATTCTCAGCTTTTGCATACACATATTGATGACACACACACACACACACACACACACACACACACACACAGACCCACTGATATTTACTCCCTAGCAATACCATTTCAGTATTTTTTTATGCACCTAGTCTGTGTTGAGACACTTAGTTTTACAAGGGACAATGGAGACAAGTTGTTTGAGGCCAGCAGGGGGCGACTCCAGTGGCAACACAAGGACATCTGATTGTATAGACGTCTATAAGAAAATGACCCTATACTTCTGACTTGATTTTTCTCATGGTTTCATCTCTAGTCTGAAGACTTTTTAAATCCTGCATGATGTTCACGTCATAACTTATGGTCCTATTCAGCGTGGCATTGATGATAGAACAGGGTATGATTTAGAAAAGGTCTACTTTGTAACTGACGTATCGCTTTCGTCTGGATGTGCATAATGTCCCTGAGTTTTAAGTCAGAACCGTTCCTCGTTTTTTTATGTTCAGTTTCAAAAGATCAAGATGACAGGAGTCAAATTCCAAACTCAAGGCTTCAAAGTGGACATTCACCAGCCAGTGGGCAGCGTCCTGGTCACTACAGCCATGTTTTATTGACAGTTTGTGAACAACGTGCAAATTTACAAGCAAGAGAAGACACAAAAATTATAACATGCAGTAGCGTAGATGGAGCATATTGAGAAGATTAAAAAGAGGTACAACGATGAAATGAAGGTCTTAAGAAAGGTTCAAAATAGGGGAACAAAGCAGCGTAAACGTAGGTAACCGATCAATGCAAAATGGCGAGAAGTTAAAAAGAACCTAAGAGTGGACGTGACGAGGGCAGACTCTCTATGAAGCAATGGAAAAAGGACGAGTCTTTAATTCTGATTTAAACTTGCTTAATCTGGGTGTCTGGGTGCAGAGACCGAAACAGCCTGGTCACCTTCTGTTTGGAAGCGTGAGGAGAGTGACTGTGATGATGATGACCGAGGTATCTGAGTGGCTGAAAACTGAGTCAAGGCAGCGGTAATGCGTTGTGGAGCAAAACCATTAAGGGCTTCAAAAAAAACATTTAGTACATTTCAACGTCGGTTGTGTATTTCACTGGTAGCCTGGCAGGTGCATTCTGAATGTGAAAGCAAGCAAACCTGGCAACCGACTGTGTTAAGTAGCTTCCTCTGGACTGTAGGTTTCCTCAAGGAGCTACTTCTGTCCTGTAGCTGATTGAAAGAAATATGGCTTCTCTGTCAGCTGTACCTGTGGTGTCTGATCATTTGAAAGCCCAACCATATGCGAGCGATGCTGCATATGCTGTTGACAGCTACAAACAGATACACCTAAAGGACAATACTGCTACCCGCAGAAAAGTTTGAAAGTCAACCAATTAGCAGACGTGATAAGGCCTTGCATCATTTTAAGTGGCACCTCAGTTGGATCACAGTGTGTCTGAGAAAATGTAGAAGGGTGCACACAAGAAACAAAAGGTGGAGATTGTGCATTAAGCCAGGTGTAACGCGGCCGCGCTGCTTGACCCGCTGAGGCGACCTCCTCTCCCTGTCTTTGCTTTGCACTCTTTTCTTTCGTATAATTTTGCAAAATTGGATCACTGGCTGGCTTCAGAGAAGAGCCGGGAAAGTAGCAGACTGTTTATTCAGAGTGAAATGTCAAGTCGGAAAGGGTCATTTGGTGCAACACACACACACAAGTGCTCAGTATTTTATGAAGCACACACTCGGTAATCCCGTGACCTACATCTGGTCTTATGATCTGAAGTGGCTGTCCAAGATGAGACTCCCTGATGGCACTAAAGAAGATTATATAAGGGGAAAAAAAAAGCAAAAATGTCTTGTAGTGTTGAGGAGCAGCTGATGTCTGCTGTCAACCTGCCCTCTGACAAGAGCTCAGCATATTCACAGGTTTTTTCAATGATTACGTTTTCATGCTCAGGAGCTGCTAACTAATCACACACCTCCAGCTCTGTAGTCACAGCCATGTCACGAAGCTGAAGGAGTCTTTATAGTCATTTCTTAGTGATTATTGAAAAGAACACCTTGTAAATGTCTGTAATTTACAGCCCTTTTGTTTCATCTTTGATTTTTAGCTGCTTCAATGAGTGCGTCTCCCAAAAACTGTAATTTTGCAGATGGCTGAGCTGTTGTCACTACGTAGCATGGAAGTGTTGTAATTGCTTTTTCTTACCTTGTGGTTGTTATTTGCTCGCTGCTGGTTCTGGAGATGTAAAACCCTCATTAGGACAGCAAATCACACAGCTACTGTGGAAAGTCTTTCATCTGCAGACGCAACTAGGTTTTCCGTCTGGCGTTTAATGGATCCCGCTTTTCGCAGCAAACGTTTTTCTCCTCCGTTGGCGTAGAGGAGAAGTTCCCTGATGTGTGTTGTCTTTAAGGGCAGTTTCCTTGTTTTTCTTCTTCCACTTAATTATTGTCTGTGTACTCCGGTTTGAAGAAATACCATCAACGACTAACAATGACCACATCCCTCAAACACGTGTCAGATTCAAATGTAACAGAATGTTCCTTTAACAAAAGGATTTGACAAAGCCTCTGACTTTGAGCTAATCACAAATCTCCCTTTTTGTTGGAAAAGAACAAAATGTAAACCTTGAGCGTTCATAGACAGACACCGAGTAATAAAAAATGTCACAGTTTATTTTGATAACTTTTTAAATTTCTATTTATTGTTTTTTTGAAGTGAAGAATTCAACAGCTAACTTTAAAATATGAGTGATTTGAATGTCTGTATGCCACAAGGGACTGGTGAGAAAAACACATGTAATCTGGGTGAACTGACCCTTCAACAACCATCAGTGTCCTTCTATATGTCTGTGTTGCGTCGGCTTTGTATTGGTCAGACATTCTGTTCGGTCACTGGCTGTCCTGAGACAGTCGTCAATGAGGCCTTTTCCTGTCGAGTCCCAACCACATTCATCCTCTGTAATTTAAAAAACGACCCTTTTCTTTAAAAAAAAAACAAACCAACACCAGCGTTGTCCTTTGGAACGAGACTTACCAGAAGCTTTTTACACATCATTTAAATAAGGCTGTAAACACACAGCAATGCTTTCACATCATTTCCAAGCACTTTGACAACTTCTTGCTGACTCACTGATGCATTTGCAGCCTCTTAAATTGTAAGAACAGTCGGACCTTACTTTATGAAAAAGACAAATTAACACATTCTTACCATGTGCATTTCATTCATAACACGTCCTGTAAGACAAGGCTTTTCATCCGACTTCTGTTGCACGTGTATATTATGTTCACAGATCACCCATAACTCTTATCTTGTGATGTATTGAATGAATCTCAGGCTGAACATTACCTAGAGAAAAGGCTTGATGGCAGGCTTTAATAGAACCCAATTTGGTTTCTAATTATCTAACGTGACTGTCGGAGCAGCACGCACGTGGCTTCACAGTTGGGGGATGGATTAAATGGCATCAAACTGGGCAACATGCAAAACACGTGCCACATGCTGAACACACAAATGCTCACAGAGATTATCTTAGCACAAGCTCAGAAGCCAAACATGTTGTCGTGTGGCGGGTGGGAGAGTTTTCACAGGTACCATTCCTGTGATGTGCAAAGGACACGTGGTTGATGGAGAGTTCGGCTTTATGGAGATTTTATTAATAGGCATTTTAACACCCCTGCTCCTTCCTCCTCAACATGAATAGTGTGTCTTTGAAGAATTGAACTGTCGGGTGGATTTTATTAAGTTTTTGCAGTTTGATTAGAAAATTGCTTCCCTTGTGAGCAGTGGCAGAACAAGAGCTGAGACTGTCTGTAGAGGAAGCTGAAGCAACCAGTGACCCATTGATTTGCATTGGAGTTGAATTAAAGCCAAGACATTGACTTTTCTTTGCTGTTGGAGCCAGGACCTTTAAATACGTGGAGCAACTTGGCGTGACTCTTGAGGCCTCCAGAGCCAACGCTATGTCTGTTGTAAATGTTTTGCTTAAAGCTTCCATATTGTGGCCCTTTTTAGAAAATTCCTGAAATGTTTAAATCCTCATAATACTACAAAGATGTTGTTAATCACCATGACTGTGTAACGGCTGGTTTTAATCCTGTTCTAAGTGGGCTGTTTCAGCTGCTGCTGTCCATGCCCCCCTTCAGGAAGAAGACTCTCTCTGGTTATTGACAGCTCAAAGCAAGACGTGAATGAGTGGTTAAAACAAGGACTTTCTGTTGCTTCTAACTTTCTACTTGAGCCGTCATTTTACATGGAAATGTTGCCAAATTCATAACACAGCTGTTGTTTTTACCTCATGAGTGTGATGAAAATGACTGAAGTGATTGATCGGTTATCAAGATGGAAAAGATTTTCTGTAAATGAGCAGTTTATTGAATTTTCAGCTCTAGATTACTGTGTGTTGTATCGTCATGAACAGGTGACTCAGTCAGACCTTTATTTAATGTCCTTGATGTTACAATCATACGAAGTGCGTCAGAAAAGTTCCAGGACTGGTTCACAAGAGATTTCAAATCCAAACTACAAACTACCAGTTTTCCCCTCCAAGTAATCCCCCTGGAGTCTAAGGCCCTTTGGCAGCCTTCTCTGCCACGTGGCCATGCACTCCTGGAAGGATTCTTCCAGGATCCTCCTCAGCTCCGTCGTCACAGCCATCTTGATGTCGTCCACGTCTTCTAAGCGGGTCCCCTTGATGACCCCCTTGAGCTTGGGGAAGACGAAACAACCCCACAGAACCAGGTGGGGTGAGTAGGGAGGTTGCTCCAGCACAGAGATGTTCTTCTCAGCCAGAACCTGTGGGATGCTCAGGGCGTTGTGAGCAGGTTGTCATGGTGAAGCAGCCTCCACTGGTCCTGACACAACTCTGCCTCTTCTGAACGAAGCAAACGCTGCAGGATCTCTTTGTAGACGTGCTGGTTGATCGTCTGAAGGAGAAAACTCCTAGTTTGGGTTTGAAATCTATCTTCTGTGACACCAGTCCTGGAACCTTTCTGACACACCTCGTATGTCTTGATAAAATTTCTGACACGCTCTGCTTTTAGATTTTCTTGTTTTTTGTTCTAAATGTGTCCACGTTGTTCCTCCAGATGCTGACAGACAAGATGCCATCAACTTGTTCCTCCAAGTTTACCAGCCATCAGAGACTAAGCCGCACCTTTGGGAGCTGCCCACTGACTTCTACCTGCATCAGAAGAGCACCATGGCCCTGCCCCAAGACAGACGCAGGTAAACACACATGCTACATGTGCTCGTGTAAACAGCTGGATGTTGTTCATAGTCACACACACATCTAAATAAACACCTGCCTACATGAACATACTGCCGTCTGAATATACAAGCTTTAGTTTTTCATTTTGAACTGACCGAACTTTGATTTTGAAAGTTTTTGTATATTTGGGATTTGTTTTTTTTTGCTGTTTAAACAGGTCAGTATGAAATCACTCATAAAAGCCTGCACTGCTGTTTCAGAAAGGCTTTTTTTTTATTTTTATAAAGCTTAGGGTCTGTTTTAAGTGCTGAGGTAGCTCCCATGAGTATGTGGGTGGATTTTTACAAGACTGATTTTATGGTCAGTCCAAGTGGGTGCCATCACGCCTCCTCAAGCTTGTGACAAGGGTCACAGGGCTTCGAACTGGAGGTACAGTTGTAGGGGTTCCACTCCTCGCTTCATGTTTCACAGTCTGATCTGTGACCCACATTACTTCATATGTTTGCTCTGAAAGGCTAACAAACTTTAACTTGACAAAAACACATGGAAATAGACAAACACAAGCAAAACAAGAACAAATCTCCAACAGTTTGATCAAACGTACACAGTGTTTAGTTAAAAACATTGCAAAATGACAACAACCACATACAGAAATGTGCTGCTGCAGAAAACACACCCAAAACGCCAAATATAATCATTGAAATGGTGGAGGTTTTACAGTACTCAGTAGAAATGATGCAAAATAAGTGAGAATCAAATTTTGATGCACCTTAGACACGCTATTTGTTGCCATGCCTTGTTGCTTTCAAAGAGATCTGATTCACCAGACACTGCCTGCAGATAAGAACCTGCCATGGGAAACAATAGCCACCTCCGGGTGGCAACCTACCCCCCTGAAAATGTCATGATTTGATGAGGATTTGGGTCGTGCAGTAAGGCAGCCTTGCTAGTTTTATTTCGGGGTATTAGCCATTTTATTAACAGTGCTGGTCTCCCTGCATGCAAATGTTCCACCCAACAGATTCCCCGTTGCTACTGAGGGGACACCATCCCTGCATCCTGGGCTTAGTGCTTCCTCAGATTGTGATTGGTTTAAAGAAACACAAACAAACCAGAGCTGTTTTCCTCCCTATAGCAGAATGATAATGAGGTGCAGTTGGACCATTCTGCATAGCGCAGTGTCAGCGTCATTTTTAAACATTGCATTCAGTTGCTGACCTATTATCAGCCATCTCTCTGTTACTAGCTTCCCAATTCAGGTAATAGTAGATAATATATGAATAACTCTGCCAGAATGTGAAAATAACAGCAAAACACTAGTTCATTTCCATCACATGATTTAAGCAGTTTGGTTTTGTTTCTTTGCAGCGTTTCTGTGTTTGGCTGTGTTTGGTCAGTTTTCATGACTGTGCTGCTACAAGGACGAAAACATTCCTTATCTGGTTTCATTTTGCTTCTGTCATGCTGTCAGGGCCGCTCTACTGTTCGATTATAACTGTTTTGAGCCTTGGTCATAAATGCTAAATACCCGACCTCCGTCAAAGTTGAGTGTTTCCCGAAATACAGCAACTCTTACGTTTTGGCTTACAAAGCGAAACATGGTCCGAATCCAAGAATTTATTCGGTTTGAACTCCCAAAGAAGCCAAGTCTGAATGAGAAAAGCCAAGGTAATGTTGCACGTCTCATTGCTGTTATTGAGCCCAACACTCCCTTTATTCTCCAAAGTACTTCCAGTGTAGTAAATTCATTTTGTGGCGTTTTTCCTTTTGCATATATTAGACCTATTTGCAAGAGGTTTTGTTTTTACATTTTAGTATTCACAGTGTATTTACCTGAAGGTTTTTGCTTTTACTCTTTTATTTACTCTGCTTGCCTTCTCCTTAAGGACCACTATACATGTGCAAACTGTACATATAAGCTGTAGCTTCTTTTTGTAGCTGTCCTACTCGGTGCTGACTTCTGTAATCCATTATCAAGTTCTGACCCAGAGTCATTCTGTCCTTGCCGTTTGTGTGCATTTGTGTGCGAGTGCATTCATGTCGCTTGCTTTCCATTGTCTTCATGCTTACATAAATATTGACCCAAATTTCTTTCACAGGCCGCTGGTTTATGTAGCCACAATGGACCGAGGTAGCTCAGTCATTATTCCAAGAAATTAGCATGGCTGGAACTGAACTCAATTCGCCGCTCACACATTGCGCTCAGAAACTGGCTAAAGTAGCACACCGCACACTAAACTAAATCATGATAAGTACATTCACTCAAATTGCTCACATTGAATAAAAGTCTGATGCATTCAGGAGTTTACAGTAGGTGGTCCAGCCATGCTGGTTTTAAAATCTAGGTTACCTGAGGCCCGAGAGGAGACGGTGCAGACTGCAGCGTGCACAGCAGTCAGTGGGAAGTTTTCTGAAGGGTTTTAACACCTTTGTATGTCTTGTCTGTCTCCAGCTACACACTGTGGTGGTCGAAGGGAATCCTGTCCTACCTTCCTGTAGCCTATGATGAAGGTACTGTCCATGTTTATAATATCTGCATTTTTCAGAATAGGCTGCAGAGCCATTTCTGGAACAGACTTTCTAAAAGTATAATCCTTCTCTAGTCATTAGGTTTCAAAGTCAAGTAAAAGTAGCGGTAACACTATTACAGCATTTTAATAGATAAATATAAGCTGTTCTGTTTGTTATTGTCCTGCTTCCCCAACCTGTCCCTAGTCTCTGAAATCTGAAGTCACAAATATATGCTTTTATTTTGGTAAAGGTCTAAATAATTTTCCAAAACAACTTGCGTTTTTGGCGAACTTGCAAAATAACGTTGTGTATTTGCTGGTGTTTATTTCTGATAAAAAATAATTGCACTGGAGAAAAGTTTAGTCACTGTATTCATCACAGTGAAAACATGATGTTGCAGTTTATTGTTGGTTTTGGTCAAGACATATTAACCCTATAAAGTCTGAACCATGAAATAATTGCTAGAAAATTCTTCTCTTTTTTTTTCAAAATGGAGTGTATATTGAACTTTCAGACAAACTTTTTAAAAAACAACAAATAAAAATATCAATTTTCATATGTATGAGTTTTAATGTGTTGCATGAATGCGTCTGATTGTGTACATGAAGTGATGATGTCTCAGAAACTCATGGATCACATGGTACACTTGGCGTTGCAGAGTTAACAGTACTGCCTGTCTTATAGTTTAGGATGTAGGTTTAAGTCTTGTAAAGTGGTTTTGTTTTCCGTGTGTACACGTTTGCTTGTTCCCTAACTTGTGTTTTCTTGTCCAGTCCCCTGCGACGACACCATGAAGAAGGTCGACGTAAAGAGAGTGAACCGCTTCGATGAGAGCATCGACATCTACACGGAGTTCTTCAAACCTTATGAGCTCACCTGCTTCGATGACACATTTTGCGTTGGCATGACCAACTCTGCAAGGTGGATACATGAATCATACACGGTTCCCTTGAGACAAAACTACCTGGACAGTGTTGAAGTTGTCCCACATTTTGGTGATGACATACACTTCTGAACATCCATGAGGTGTCATTGTGGTGGTGCAGCAGGATGTCAACTAATAGGCTTCTTTTTTAATTTGTCTTCACAAAGGGATTTTATGCCCAAAACAGTAGGAGTGGATCCAAGCCCATTCACAGTTCGTAAGCCGGAGGAAACCGGAAAATCAGTGCTGGGGTGAGTACGTCTTTGTCTATGTCCACATTGGGGATGTTTTGGTGGGTGTTTTTTATTTTTTTGAGGTAATGAATCCCATGTCACTGTGCCCTCATACGCTCAGCTTCATTTGACACTGTGTTCTCAGGTAACCAAAAACAACGCTCCGTCCTTTTTCCTGTTTTTGGTGAGAACACGCTGCATCAAAATTAATGAGCTGCTTGTGTATGCATGTATTTTATATATTTTTTTTAACAGTACATATTAATGCACTCGCACACTACGTGGAAAAAAGAATAATGCAAAGCTTGGTCTTTGTTTTAAACCTCGTGTGCTGGTGGTTTTTAATTGTCTCTTATTATTGGAGCACAACATGACCACGACCTCAGATGTTCTGTGCTGATTCAGTGCTGACTGTTTAGTCAAACGTGTTTGCTCCTGACGTGCTGAGACATATGGAAAATGATTTTGTCTTTTCACTTTCAGCACCACTGAGGGGTAGGTTGTATTTAACAGTAATAGTTCTTGAATACTTCGTGTATTTTTAGCCTTCAGCCATTTACTAAAGAAAATTTGACCCCTAAGGCTATTTTAGGTTATAAGTGATGAAACCTCGAGCTGTACAGGAGAAACTGAGGACAAAACATTTTGACACCCAATAGTGACGTCCATAAAGACCACTGTCGTGTTTTTATTGTTCGGTTAACCACCCTTTGACTTGCAGACTGTGGTGAACGTCCATTTATCAGCCAGCAAAGCTTTCAGTTCATCCACGCCGGAGCACTGACGAGCATCTTAATCTTTAAGTTTGCATCCCAAATTCTTCTGGACACTCTTTGTTGAACTAATACAGATTCACCGGAATCATTGTAAGAAAGACTTTGGTGTTCCAACCTCCGTGCTTTTCTTTCAGTGCAGTTCCATTTGTTTCTCCACATAAACGTTCTACCATCACAACCATCTCTTGCAAACCTCCTTCCACCTTTCTTATGCTGTTAGCCTACCAACAGTTTCCCTGTTTCCATTGTTTGATTCGTGTCTGCCTATAACTGTTGTTCTCTGGGGTGATGCTAGCTGCTTTCGCCTGCCTGCTTTTACTTATGTATTCATCCAAAGGGCTTCTGATCTTTGTAGTTTTGTCTCCAGTCACTTTTTGACACCTAGCTGCAGAAGATGGAAGATAGATTTTTATTTTTATTTCATTTTATGTTTTCATCTGATGGACAGAGTTGTCTTCTTTGTGCAAACAAATCTCTGATGCCTCAGTTCACTTGACTTGTCTTCTCATTTTTTGTGGTTGCTTTTAACTATCGTAGTTTCCGAACTATTGAGGCACCTGAATATAAGCCACACCCACTAACTTCAAAAGGAAAACCAGCTTTGTACATATACAGGCCGCACTTGTCTATAAGCTGCAGGTGTCCACGTTGTAACATGAGATATTCACACAGAAATATTTTTAAACTTTTAATTAAATACGTATCGGTAACACACACAAATACGTAAATGCTTTTTTCCAAACAGTGCCTGTAACACGGATGGTTAAGAAAATAAAAACTACAGCAGCCTACCAGGAAAAGTAACCGATCGCTATCTTCATCTTCCTCCTGCGCACTGAAACCACTAAAGTCGTCTCCTTCAGCCTCAGAATCACTTCGTCACACACTTCCTCAGTCTCTCTGTCGTTGTCACTCTCAATGTCACTTCGGTCTCGAGGCAAATTCATAAAAATCATAACATTTCATAAACTAGCCGCATCGTTGTTTAAGCCACAGTGTTCAATGCATGAGAAAAAAGTAGCAGCTTATAGTCCAGACATTACGGTAATCAGATCCAAGTCATGTATAGTAGATGTATAAAGTCAGTTACCGTCACCCAGGTGCCCCTGGCAGAGTAACCGCAGGTGTCGTTCATCACATTACTGATATACGTATTCCAAGTCTTGACAATCAGAACTTGTCCAGATACTTTGTGCTCTGGCTTTCCCAAGCGATAACTAGATTTATTTATTATCAGTTGTCGTAAATGTGTTTTCCTATGGATCCAATATGTAGTTTGTCTCTGATTTTATGAAATAACCTTATGAACCTGTGATGACAATTGCCCACTGGACCACTAAGACAGCCGTACATATTTCATCTCTGTAAATTGTTCATGTAATTGACAGATTCGAATCAATCATCTCAAGTGTGTGGGCTCCGGTGAGTTGGTTTGTAGTCTTTGATAGAGCGAGAGCATCAAGGTTGCATGTATCCTCCACTGCATATGTCTTGTTTTCAAAAAAGTACAATAAATTGCAGGTATGAGTCACTGGCTCTGCACCACATCACATACGCTCACATGCCTACATACGTTCAGGCACACGTGTCACAGACAGTGTTATGATTTTCCATCAATACCGTGCAGCTACTTAGTCGTCCGTCTTCTGAGCCACTTAAGTTGTTGAAGTTGCTGTGGGGAAATGTTGACTTTTTAGCCTCCTCGTGCACTTCTTTCACGTGTCCTCTGTTGGTCGTGTTTCAAATGAAAGCAGCAGTTCAACCAGTCTGTCAAGAACTCTCGTATCTTACGTGTTTTTTTTTTCACCACAAGTGAAGTTCAGAAAACTTTTACAAGCAAGTTTAGATGTTCAGTTCTCGTTGTCATAATCAAATGCTGTATGTTAACCTTTTTACTTTCTGATTCTGAAAGGCAAAAGCCCAAAAAATATTTAAAAAAAAAACTTTTTACATTGCACTAGAAAATAAAAAAGTTCCTGTATAGCAGTAAAAAAATAAAAACCACCGAACCAAATTTTAATGACTAAGTAGAAGTATATTAAATGAGGTTTTAAACTCATGATAGAACAAGCAGTATTCTCTGCTCTGTCAGTAAACATGCTGTCATTCTGGTCAGTGCTGTCCAGCCCGTCTCATTGCTCCAGTATTGTCAAATTAAACCAATACTATGAAAATCACTAATTTCACGGCAGTGGGTGCTGCCTACGGCTAAATAAAACTACACTGAAAACCAAGTAGTTCTCTTCTCTCAAGTGTGCAAACACTTGAGAGAAGAGAAAGGACTGATCGAGGCGACGTTTGAGTCATCACAAAGAGGTTCTGAAGTGACTCACCCGAGCTTTTCTCCACAAAAGTAGAATTTAAGCTTGAGAATGATTATATTTGCAGATTCAAAAGAGCACTTCAGGCATCCCCGATGGGTCGAAAACTCTTTGCAGCTGTTGGGGACCACAAAGTTTGTTACAAGTGCAGGTTTAGTCACTTTTCTTGAGGGAGAAGTTGTGGACCGATGTGGTGCTGCGACTGCTCTGTTGAGTCATTTAGTCACTTGGCTTGATGACACTTTATTGAATCTCGTAAAGCACAAATGCAAACAGGTGTATTTGTATGTGTTTGTGCATATGCTGATCTGCGTGGGTGTGTGGATACCTGCAGCAACAAGAGCAATAAGGAAGAGACGCTGCTTCAAAGGAAGACCGCAGCCAGCGCACCTCCTCCCCCGAGCGAGGAGGCCATCTCCAGCACATCAGAGGACGACTCCGAGGAGGACCGCGACGACGAGGGCTCCGTCTCCCAGCGATCCACCCCCATCAAACTGCTCACGGAGTCGGGAGAGAGCAGTCGCGCTCAGGAGGTACGAAAACACACACGCCTCCTAATGAGGAAGCTCCACGTGCACAGACAAATGTACACATCAAGTAAACACGATATCCACTGCAGCAATAAGATGAGAAATCACTTCTGAGTCAACGTCTCTAATATCGAGAGAAAACAACGAGATCCTCTAATCAGTTTTAGCCCATGTCTACTGATGACTTCAGGGAAATGCCGTCTCAGTTTTGGCTGGGTTGCTAACTGCCTGTATTTTAGGCCACAATTGCATTTTGCTTTCCAATTCCAGTATTTCACCCTGATTGTATTTTCCCCCTGCTCATCTCCCTCGAGTCTCCCAGAAGAAATTAGTTTTGTGTTTTCGTTTGCGTCAGACGTCAGAGCAGACGTCACCGTCAGCCGTCTCAGTGGTGGAACTAAATGGAGTAAAGCAGAATCAACTGTGCTTTATTGTTGTGATTATAACACGATTGTTTGTTTCCAAAATGTTTCTCGTTCATTGTTTCTAAGTCACACTTTCCTGAGAAAACACTCCCGTAATCTTTATTTTTTTATTTGGTTTAGAGAGTAGAGCCTCATACAGGTAGTTGCGGACAAACCTGCAGTTTGAAAGCGCACCAGGACTCCTTGTTAACAGAAGATAGGTCTTCATTTTGATTTCCGTCTGGCGTCATTGTCCTGCTTCACAATGAATTAGGACCAATCAAATGCCTCCCTGACAGGACAGATAAGAATGTCAAGTGCCTGTAATTTTTGCACAGTACTGTATGTTTTCTCTCTGTAAAAGCAGCCTCTCTGAATAGGTCTCTTCAAACCACCTGTAAGCTAACAGCTGGGAAAGCAGGGATTGCAGATGCTTTTATTCAGCTTTCATTCAAATCTGTGTTTTTACTCTCAATTTTCTTCTCTACTCTTTCTCCGTCTGGTGATTGTTGCTTGAGAAAATTTGTGAAATGTTTGTAAAAATGTGTCCTTTTTAAGATCTAATTCGAGGCTGCAACTTGAATACTTTTTGGATTTGTTTCTAGACAATTGGTGTTGAAGCTCTGACTTGCTTGGAATCTGTAGCATTGTCCTCTGTGGGTTCTTTCTGTCTCGGCTGTTGAAAACTTTGACACAGAATTAGTCATGAGGTGTGTATTTGATGCATTGATCAGTAGTTTTATTATTTCTAACTTCGACCGTACAGTCCCTCCGCCGCCCACTTCTCTGTCCAACATGATCAAAATATTTGAGAGTTGACCTATTTCTGGTTTTATACTCACTCACAGGAAGTGTGCCACAGTGTGGTCCGTCATCTGCGCTTTCCTTCTCCAAAACCAGGTACCCTTAAAGAACACACTGCATGTGGGCCATGTGCAGTGGGATTTGACCTGCTTTTAGGACATGGTATCATATTTGGTCACCTGCCAGTTTCTTTCTTGCCTTAATTTTATTTTTTGATGGCTCATTTAACCTCCTCTTTTGGTTTCCTGCCAAGGTTGATACGAAGCACTAAAATATACATGCAGGTTAATGCTATGGGATGTAAGGGATCAGCTGTTCTAGATGCGCTCACTTTTTCTTTAAACTGCATCGTGGAAAATCAGCCTCTTTACGTGACTTAATGAAATAACTTGTGCCTCCTGTGCTTTGGTAATCACATTCGCTTGCAGACTCTGGTGCGGTTACAACCCATCACAAGTATTTACTCTCATCCTTTTAAGCTGAGGGATGTACTACAAAGTAAGACTAGCGGGTTGCTTTGGTGCGTTGACCCTGAAGCCAGTGTTTTCTTTGTCACGTAGCTGGCCTCTCTTTTGACCTGGTTACATCTCCATGGTAACTCATGCTGCACCACTGACCTGCTCTGTGACCAGAGTTTGGGATTTTAATCAGCTGTAGGAAGCAACTGCCTTTCACCAGATTATCAGCTGAGGAAATACGTTACATTTGCAAACCTGCCGAACCATCCATCAGTGAAGCCACCAAATAAAGCCATGCAGTTACAGTAGGCCAGCTATTTGCTTTGTGTTGCGACAGGAACCTACCTACATTCAGTTGGGGATGCAGGAAAATGCATGAATATGTTTTTCGTGTTTGGTCTTAACTTGCTTCCAAGTCCATTGACTGTCTTTACAAAGTGTGTCAGAACAGGTCCAGGACTAGTGTCACAGAAGATAGATTTCAAACCTAAACTAGGAGTTTCCCCTTCAGACGATCCACCAGCACGTCTACAAAGAGATCCTGCGGCGTTCAGAGCGCCAGAAGAGGCAGAGTTGTGTCAGGACCAGTGGAGGCTGCTTCACCATGACAACCTGCTCACAACGTCCTGAGCATCCCACAGCTCCTGGCTGAGAAGAACATCTCCGTGCTGGAGCAACCTCCCTACTCACCCCACCTGGCTCTGTGGGATTGTTTCCTCTTCCCCAAGCTTCAGGCGGGTCATCAAGGGGACCCGTTTAGAAGACGTGGACGACATCAAGATGGCTGTGACGACAGAGCTGAGAGGATCCTGGAAGAATCCTTCCAGGAGTGCATGGTGGCGTGAAGAGAAGGCTGGGGAAGTGTGGTAGACTCCAGAGGGATTACTTGGAGGGAAAACTGGTAGTTTGTAGCTTGGATTTGAATTATAACTTTTGTGACACCAGTCATGGAACTTCTCTGACACACTTCGTATATAAAAGACGGATACAGCCGGTGTTTGACCCCTCGAGTTTGGAATTTGGACCCTACCATCTTGTGTTTTATTTGTTTTAAAGCAGACGTGACAAGTGCCCCTTGTTAACCTTTAGAATGATCAGGTTTAGGTCACTTCAGCAGACGTTCATCTTCTCGTACAGTGTGTGATTTTAATACTCTGTGTTTTGAATGGGAGAAAATCACGGAAGGAACTTTAAATAGCTAATCCTGAAACACAGGCATCCAGTAAAGACGTGTATATGTGAGATCACGAACACCTCTCACCACGTAGCTCACCGGCTGTTCAGTGTGTCTGTGTGTGTGCGCATTAGGTGTAGCACATTTTTGTTCTGAGCTGGTCACCTCTATATCGGTATCTGTTTCAGGCCCCAGGTGGACTCTTGACACGTTTCCATCTCCCATTGACCCAGATTCCACGTATCAGCAGGAAGTATGAGGGCGCTCATCGGCCCAGGTAGTAGGTCAGTGTGTCAATAGGCTGAATCAGATGCATCAGAGAACCTCCTCGCTTTTAGTATGTCTCAGTCAATAAGAAATTCCTTTTATCGTGAGGGGCCTCAGCGGTGTGTAACCGCAGATTGAAGCAGCCATATTGTTACTATGACTACAGGCGTCATTTACAGCCCCTGTGACATCAGCAGAGTCGGGGTACTTTCTTCTGCCAACACTTCTATCTCACTTTGGATGCATTATGGCTGATTCGCTACCATTTAGTTGCAGATAATCTCAAGTGCTTTGTTGGCTGGTGACTAAACAGCAAAGCAGCTCAGTAAAAGGAGTTACCTCTTATCATTTCCCACTCCGTCAAGCGTTACGTCCCGCATAGCTGTAGATTGTGGGTAAATCAGTTTTGTTTGGGTGATCAAGCGGTCTTAAGGCTTTTCATCTTCTCTCATGGTGGCAACGATTAAGGTGTCAGACCTTGCTCCAGTTTCACATTTGTGTCAGCCCGCGTAATTTCACAGCTGATCTCGGCTTCATATTAATCGTGTTTAAAGCCACGTGAGAGCCACCCCCAAGAACTGTGCCTTGTCTTTCAATTTTATACAGATATCACTTGATTTTTTTTCGCCCTTGCACCACTGTGAGGTTGACGTTTGTGTTTCGGAGTGAAATGTGAAGTGAAATTTGTTCATTACTTTGGTTTTTGAGCCAATTCAGCTCATGGCAAGACCGTAGCGCTTGTATTCTTTAAAACAGAACCGTGTTAGTCCACTTGTTTTAAAGATCACATTTAAATATCACAACACGTTTATGCCCGTATTTATGCTTTTTGGGGTTTTCTGTTTCATTTACTGTGTTACAGAGCTGCTTCTTTGTGAATGTTAAGAGTCTGCAAGTCTCACACCAGAGGGAGTTTTCACTGCTTCTTACCTGCCTGAAGTATCTCTGGTGAAGTTTTTCTGCAACTTCTTTACGTCGCCATGTAACACAACAGCGTAGCAGCTAGTTTAGCACGCCTTGGGGTACGTCTCTCTGCCTGTACTCTTATATCTGGGGTTACAGTGCAGTTGCAGTACATAACCATCATCTGACCAATCAGAGGACTCCTTAAAGAAACAGGAGCCGAAAGACAGCGTTTAAAAAGATGCGCTGCAGCACAGTCACTATGAGCACAATAATGTGTTATTTGAACATTAAAGCATGTAAACATGTTCTTGTAGTCGTCAAAAAACATGTATATTACCCTAAAATTGTAATTATTGCTGATTTAATGTTTTTTAAAGGTCTTTTTGCCCTGGACTGCTCTACTAGAAACTCTGATGAATGTTCCTCTGAGTTAATCATCCCGTCAGATAGATTTATCTATAACGAGTACAGCTTATGGTTAAACTTCCTCACTTTTCCCCTCATTGCATGGACGGAATAGTCTTTGTCTTTTTATGTGTAGAAGAAATTAGTAAAACTGCCACAACTTTTCTTTTCCCCCCAAAGACTAACTTAACCCAGCAAAGTGTCTGTGCAAAAAAAAAAAAAAAAAAAAATTTAAAAAGCAGTTTTGATTCCTGAGTTGAAAGCAAAGGCGCTCACTTTGTCTCCATCCATCTACGTCCCCTCCTGATTTATGATGTATTTTCCTCAGGTTCTCTCTCCCCTGTCTTCTCGAGGCCTTGAGCAATGAGGTGGTCATGAATATTTGGAGCCGGACAGCTCGCTCACGTGTCGGGCGCACACACTCGGCTCTCATGCATCTCGTGTCGCTGCCTGCGAGCCTGTCTGTGAGAATGGATTGCCACGGTGCCAGCACAACACACAACTGTTGAAATATTTAAACGTCAGATCATTACTGCGTTTGCCATGTAATTACACATGCTCATTTAGTATTCCTCCTCAATATGGACGCACATGTGCTCGCATAGATCTGCGGCGTGTGTGCAGACGTACGAGCAAATATGTGTTTTGCCCGACACACTCGTCTGTGCCCTCGCCGCTATATGGAAGTGCGTATGCCGTGTTCCCGTGTAATCTCGGTCTGAACGAGCCTCTGTGTGTCTTTGTGATCATGTGTTTGCGTGTGTTCACAGCTGCTGTTTCTTGGACGTGGGCCTGTAACACCCTCATTCATTCTCCCCTCCCTGCAGCTCAGATCAATACAAATACAGTGAAAATTGACAGCATTATGTTGAGCATATTGCTGCAATGTCAGAAAACAGTCAGCGAGCACAATGGCATGGCTGGCTGCTCTCAGGCCGCTCCTGAGCATGCTGTTACATAACAAGCTGCTCCTCGCTCCTCTAAGTTTTAGTGGAAGAGGGTCAAAATTAATCTTCAGAAGTCAGAATTTGAAACAAAGAAGGGATTTTTTTAGAAGCTTTTGCAGGTTATTTTGAATATCCTAGACAGCGATACAATTTTTTTCATACCACCGATAGTCTGCATTGACTACGTGTGGTAAATGTTGGGTTCAAGGAACAAAAGTGTAATGGATCTAAGAAAAGGGCTGCTTTATGCCAATATGACGTTTACAGAAGTTTTCATAAATCCAATGTGACAATCACAGGGGTCCTCAGTGTCATTGTCAGATTGATGAGGATTTTGTTTTTACAAAATGAAAAGAAAATATTACATGATTTTGCATAATGCCTTCATTTGGAAGCATTTTGATGCATTTTCTAAGCAGTTAAAAATGCAAATCAAACAATATCCTGACGAGGATAGAATATTTGTTGGGGTTTTTTTGTTAGGTTTTTTGTTGTTGTTGTTTTTTAACCTGCTGTTATAATTGTAGCATGGCCTCATGATGAATTATCCACGGTAATAATTTATATTTCATTTTCACCTGATTTTTGGTGATTCAGCTTCATTTGGCCACATTAATTTCTTCATCACTTTCTTTTAAATTTAAAGTTTGGGTAGGCAGACATCAGGATAAATCAACGCCCCTCCTGTCTCTGTCCTAAGCCCCTCCCATTTACCCTAAGCCCCTCCCATCTATATCCTAAGCCCCTCCCATCTCTGTCATAAGCCCCTCCCATGATACAAACACAGACACATTCACATGATTCAAACACACAAAAAGAATGGAAACAAAACTACAAGACTCACTTCACACATGACTCAAACCCGTCTCCTCTGAGTCAGAGTTTATACTACCTTGCAGATGTGCACATGAAGGGACACGTAGTTCTTCAGATTATACGACTTTCTTGTCCTTTCGGACCTCACTAGTAGGACGTGTTCTCGTACAGTGGATCAACGTCTACATGTCTTACTTCCCTTCTTGTCTAGCGGCTGCGTGGATACAGCTTTTAGGCCGCACATGGATAGTAAATGGAAAATGGTAAATGTTCTGCACTTACATAACACATTTCTACACTTAACAATGGTTCCCATTCACAAACACACACATTTGCACACCAATAGCAACGATACCATAAAAGGTCCTCGCCTGCCATTGGGTACAGACAACCTGAGCCACAATCCCACAGCCTGTTGCTGAGTTTATCTAGCAGTATAAAGTCCGACACTGACCTTATATGTTCTCACCTGCTGTGGGCAAACAAGGCCTGTGATTGGCCAACGTGTCCTGTCACAGGCTACATGTTCTGAAGCCTGAAAACAGACCCAGGAGAACGTGCAGAAGTCTAGTTTCCTTTCCCACCATTTTAACTATAATTTGCGAAAAGGTTATTATGGAATTCTCCTCATTTTGTTATACACAGTAATGCCAAAAGCTCCTCCAGCATAGCTTTCAGGTGTCTGTTTGGTATCTTGTACAAAGTGTGTTTCTTGACACACGTGTACCTACCAGAGCAGAACCTCCACAGTGGACCCTCGGCTTCAAATTAAGCTTCTTCTGACTTGATTTCACGTTGTCTATTTTTGACTGATGACTTCTTAGTAATTATATTATCAGACTTAGTCAGTTTTTGCCTTGAAGGAAGAGAAAAAAAAAAAACAACTTTGTCCCTTTTACCTCTCAGACTCTCAGATGAAGCCTTTTCAAGTCTGTCAGCTTTAACTGGTCTGACCTTTTGTTTACGACTATTATTATATCTGTAAAGTCTGGACAGTGTGTGCGAGAACCGCAGGAGGGCCCGTCCCTGAACATGAAAGGACATGAAACCACCTCATCAGACACCAACAATCAAATTACTTTCAAAGTTGCTTCGATTAAACTCCACGGGACGTCCTCATTACTGAATCAGTTTTGGAGAAGCAGCTGAACCCGATGACCTTGTCTGTGTGATTTTATATTTTGAGTTGAGCAACTTTACCCGCTAAAGTCGATCTCTTTGTACTTGTATGTATCTTGTGTGTCTTCTTTGTTTGCCCGTCTTGTTTACATGCACTAGTGACTTCTTACATTTCCCTTCTCACCCCTTCAGGAGATCCAGCAGACAGTTAAGGAGCCTTATGGACTCAACTTGGCTGAGTTTCCATCTGAGGAAGACGTCTTCATTTATAAAAGGTAAATCTGAGTTAAAACTATGAATTGCTTAGCTGAGACAGATCACGCTTTTACTACAGAAGATGCTTTAAATTCAAATGAGAAGATAAGGACATCTGTAATAACAGCATGCGTGATAACGTAGCAGCCAAAAGATCCACCTTCACAAAGATAACACAGTTTAATTTGGTGGACAGAGACGTAATTAGTTTTACTCCATTTTTGTAATTTACACAGATGTTGAACTGGACTGTGTTTTACTGGGAGGTGTTGCCATGGTAAATCATGAGGAAGGCAAAGCATTTCAATTTCAAACACATTTAGCTCAGTCGTAAACATACAGCTAAAAGAAAATAAATATTTTATTATATTAAATTCTCTTTCTTCATATGTATGTTTGAGTTATGTTGAGAAGAGACGATGATGAGGTCCTTGTTTATGACCTTGCCAGTAATATATTTCACACACTAGTGACCGAGCAGCTTAGCGTGGAGACGCTACTTGATCATGCCGACTCAGCTGTGATGCATGCTCTGCTACATGTGCTGCAGGCAGCGCTCAAAGTATTGTAAACAATGGGATTTCCTAAATTACCCCAAATACCTTTTCCTGCATTATTTTTTGTTAAAAAGAAATATCAGACATTTACTTGAATACCGATATACCTGTGATAGGCTAGTATCAGTTTACAACAGCACACTTCATCAGTCTGACCAAAAAAAGAAAGAAGAAATGCTAAAACAAATCAAGTTTGTCATTGTGCTGTACATTAAACAGCAGTACAGGCAGGATGAGAGCGTTTCTTCACGATCCAAAAATTAAAAGCAATCAAATAAAGAAGTGTTTGCATGTCTGGATCAACAGTTCAGCATTCTGACAGCTGGTGGAATAAAGCTGTTGATCAGTCTGGAGGTTCTTCCTTTAACGCTCAGGAAACATTTGCCTGATGGCAGCAGTTCAGCAGATTATGGAGAGAAAAGTTAGAATAATACAGTTTTAAGAACCAAAATGAAGCCCATATAGTTGTTACTTTGAGATGTAATTGTAGGTATTTTATACATTTGTTGAAATCAAGGTTCCTATAAAAATGAAAACTGAACACTAAATCAGAGTCCACACCCCGTTCCATGCATTAAGGTGTGCTGTACTGTATGGCCGCAATGCTGTATATAATATATATAGAAAGACAAGTAAACAAGAGGAAGAAACGTGCTCATAGTTCAGGATACACTCTTGTCCTTCCTCATACTCAACAGTCTGTTTGTCTGGCCTTCAGCTCGCTCTAGTGCGCTGTATGTCACGTTGAATCAAATGTCTGGAAATGGAAGAGCTCCAGCTTTATTTTCTAATTGCCTGTGCCCAGAAAAATGAAGTGTTTTCATTTTATTGTTATTGACAATACACCCAGTGCCCGAGACGGAGAGGGCTCAGTGTCAGCCACTCCCTCAGGGGGATATCGGTCCTTCTGAGAAAAGGGGAATGTTCAACTTTACCCCGCTGTGCTCATCACACCTCTGGCCTCCCTGCTCTTTGTCCACCTCTCCTGTTCTTTGCTTCTCTGTCTGTCCTTTCTGTTTCTTTTTGTCCTTTTCTACCCGTTTGCTCCCGACAGTGTTGCTGAGCTGCAGCGAGCGGCTCCAAAACTGAACACTGTTCTTTGGAAGTCAGCACAAGTTAGATATAGTGTGATGCATTTGAGTGATCTTTAACTGTTTTTTCTCACACGTGGCTACACTCAGACAGCAGACGGTAGCTGGTGCAGTATAGAGTTGTAGTTGTCAGTGTGCGGTCGAGGCAACGTTTGCCAACGACTGATGGACGCGTGCATTGTATAGTTCAGCAAACACAATGGGATCCAAAACCACAGAGAAAATCTGACGTATTTTTACATAAACCTGGAAATATTTTGAAACTTCGATGAGACAGATTCATACTACAGTTCCCAAACGTGCCTCAAACCACTGCAAGAACTACGTGAAGACCAGAGAACACTTAGAAGGACTTGGATCTACCGTTATCTGATGTCAACCAACTGAACACAAGTCAGTGGAAGTCATGCAGCAACAAGGAGCCACACCAAATACCAAAAGATCTTCCAGACATGGGCATTATGCAGAGAGTCACATTTTTACTCAAGTTGCAAACAAAATGCATTAAATTCAAAACACAGATGTTTCTTCATGAGTGCATACTGGACATGTACGAGTTCATCATTTTCAGAAAGTGGCGTATCATGAAAACAGCATTTTCTCCCTAATTTACTACAGAAACCAAACAGAAGTCGCATTTTTAGGGATTTTGCAGTCGACTCTTGGGTTTTGCTCTTTGCTCTTGAGTGGGCCATTTTTCTTACTGTGGAAAAAGTCAACATGTTAAACTCAGCCGCCAATCTGTGTGACCCACCGAATGCAGTCCAACGTGCTGGGTTGTACTACAGAAGAACAGGCCTGGATGAGTTTCAGTCAGTGATTCAGCTGTCACTCAAAAAGCACTGCAGATAGTTGTGCAACAAATGAATAACGAGAGTTAGAGAGAAACGCACTTCTTGGGTTCCTTCTCGGTTATGCATTCTGTGACTTGCCAGTCTGCGATTGGCAATCTGTGATGGCACGTGTGCATGTGTGAATGTTGGATTGTAACTGTTCTAGAGTTGCAGGACTGGTTAGACGTTGCTTTTACTCATATCCACTGTTGGAAATGAGTTATTTAATGGGCACGTTTTTAAACACCAACAAGCAGCTCTGATGCAGGTAACTTGCCCCTGAAAGGTGAATCTGTGACTCTATAAAAGGACTGTTGGATAGTTAGCATGCATCTTCCTCCTTTCCTTCCCTCTGTACGAATGTTCCAGGACATGCTGGGCAGATTGGTCCAAGCCAGCTGACCGTTTACAGAGCCAGGACTGGATATGAATGCCAGACAGCAAGCAGACGATGAGAAGACTTTCACTGAATCTGACAAAACTTGAATGGGATTAGCATCACTGGCTCTACCTTTAATACTGCAGTTATGTCATAAATCCTGCTCTCCCAAGGCTTATAATGTTACGTTTCTGCAAGGTTAGGATTCAAATGAATGGTGATTAAACCAGTTGCAGGATTCACTGATGTCTGTGCAGCTCTAGTCGCATTAGAAAGGTTTTCTTTGCTCCTATAAAGAAATAAAACGCACTGTACACGACATAAACACCAGCCAGTCCCGTGTGTTTTCAATATTGGGAATATCTCTCATGGATTTCTCAGAAAGCGCGGCGGTGCTCAACGGTGTCAACGTAGCATCCACGTGAATGCCAGGAACCCAAAGTTTCCCGGCAGAACATCACATCGTAGCAGCATGATGATCTCCATCCACTTCACCTGAAAGTGGTTTACATGTGACTCATCCGTGTACATAGTGGATATGTTACTGGATGGACCAATGCAACAGCACTGAATCTGTGCAAGATTCACTAATGTACTAACCTAAGCTCCTGAGAACGACTGCGCGCTCAGATGCATTTGTTTTGCTGTTGTCTCAGGTTTGTGTCTCCTCTGACTCTAGCGACAGGCACAGTTACGCTGCGTGATTGAAGCAGGGGAATTACCTTAAAAAAAATGTCAAATTGCAGTGAAGAATGTTGTTCATATCCTCCTACTGTAGTTGGCACATAATGAGAAAGAGATTGCATTCATTATTGAAGCTGGAAGTTGGAGCGGCTCCAGAGATGTTAGCTGCAGCCAGAGCTCCCGCTAATCAATGCATTAATATTAAAAATCATAAGCAAGAGCCAGAGGGGAACTCTCAACCGTTGCATATTATTGTGTCTTTGTGAGAGAAAAATGATCCGTGGGGAAATTTGAGAGTTGATAATGATGTGATCTGAATATTACAGATCTCAGCAGGCATGTTTAGCGAAGGAGACGATGTGAAACTGAAGTTTAAACCTTTTTTTTAATTCTGTTTTTCCCTCACACATGTTCACTTTCGGCAGGATGTTTGTCATTTTCTGTGTTTTTTTTGTCCTTCTGCCTGCAGGTTTGCACACCTCGGGGAGAGTCAGCACACAGTGGAGAGAACTCAGCACATCAAGTTGGCAAACATCATCTGTTTGTGAGTAAAAACGTGTGACAAAAAAACATGTACCCAGCTCAGTGATCCTCGCTCGTGTCATGTTCGGCGTTGCGATATAGGTTCGTAGTTATAATTGGAACCTTTTAAATAGGACTCAACATTTCCAGCAGCCTTGGGACGAGGCTGCTCTGAGTGTCTCCGGCGAGGCTTCCAGCTGTGCAGTCGTCATGTCTTGGAACTAACTGCGTCTTCTACACTTCTTTTCATCCTTGCTATTTTCCCAGTTAGCCCGCCCTTCGGCCTCCTGTGCACTGTAGCATTGACCCAACTTGTCATACATTGAGGGTTTATTTTTATTTCCTCAACCAAAGTTCAGCCACACGTGGGATAGCAATGTGCCGCCATGAGGACACATGAGCAGCTCTGTGTGTCCTGGTCAAAGGTAGACGTACACAAAAACAGCATTTCAGAGAAAATGATAGCGTGTACACTAGTTTGAGTTCTTTCTCCCATGATGGCAACCCAGATTCACTTCATATTGTCTGTCTGATTCCTTCCTCCTGCCTGTGTTTTCTTACACAGTCATACACAGTGTACATGTAGTAGCCACATGTTTCCTTAGTCCAGCATGAACGTAAGAGACAACTAGCGATTTGCAAATTCAAGGTCAGACATGTCAACTTGTAAGAGGCGCGTTTAGTCAATTCATGAAATGAGCTTTTTGGTTTTCTTGCTGGGAGTACAACGAAGCGCTCAACACCACTTTGTTTCATCAGTGTGAAGCTCCAGCAGCATGTCAGCACATTAACAAGCAAACAGTTTGGAAAGTGCCACTCTTTGCTTTACCTCCAACAAATATATTCCTCCCAGGAATCGTGTAGCAGCTGCTTAGCACCTCCCACTCACGAGAAGCTGCCCCCTTGAACTTCACTACATGAAAAGTGCATAAACTTACTTACTTATCCCGTTGCAAAGGCTTTTGTAGGAGAAACATCTTTGAGGCATGTGAGAAAACATAACGGGTTGCTGTATTATTTTGCTTAAAATATGCACCTCTGGGTTGCCAGATGGACTTTGAGGGTTGGTTGCATGCATCTTAAATGATGGACCAACATTGTGGAAATTATTCCTTTTACAGTGTGAAAAAAATGGCATGAGGATCACAAACTGAAGTCCACATGGGCAGTGTTTTTCCTCCTCTTGCTGTGCACGTTGCTGTGTGAATTCACATGTTGGAGAGTGTGCAGAAGGATCAGATAGTCATTGTTAGCACCAGGTTTGTGTGGGAATAATTATCGATATACCTCACATCATCGCCCGTCAGCCAGATGTTTCAAACTGTGTTCTTCCCTGTAAAAGTCTAAAGTCATTCTGCCACCAGGCTTCAGATGTTTATGTATGAAATGGTTTCTGTCCGGTGATGCCGATTTACTTTGGAGCTCATATTTTAATTTTAAAAGTTTGATTGAGTCTCTTTGTAATATTCATGTCACTGAAAACATGCTTCTCCTGGCATCTATACGGCAGAAACTACCATGATCTGCAGGACTAGGAGTCTGCTACAGTCCTGGCATCTCTAAGAGACTGCACTGATGGGGCTTTGAGCTAAATGCTAACACAAGGATGCATGCATTGACTGTGTATAAAGATGGATGTTTTGAAGCGCCATGTGAGTGGGGGTGCAAAAGTCACTCAAAGTGGCCGAGCCCTTAATTATGCTCAGCTTTACGCCTAGATACAATTTAAACAGATGAGTTTTACAACAGTTTATAAGCCACACATCCAGGCAGTGAACATGTTTATTTCTGCTGTAAAGTTGTGCGTTTTAACAAAGGAGTCTGTGGATCGACTCGCTTTTGGATCCAGCCTCCAGTGGCCATTTGAGGAACTGCAGTTTGTAGCACTTTTGCGTTAGCATCATTTTTCCGCCCTGAAATTTTTAACTTCTTTTGTTTTTTCTTTATACTAAAAACCGTAAAAACTACTTAAAAAGACGAAAGATCACCAAAGTCAAATCCAGTCTGGACACAGTGGTGGAGCATCTAATCCACATTATCATCCGTCTCCCCTCAGCTTGTCTAAATTACATTCATTTTAATCAGTATAGAGGAAAGCTGATGGAATATACATGTTACTAATGGTACCTTAGTCCTGTCGTGATGATATCAGAGCAGCTGGTTTTAAACGAAACGTCACCGTCGTATTTCCTCTTGACTGTTTACTGCAAACGCAGAACTTGTGTTGGCCGTCTCTCAACACGTGACCGTCTTTTTTCGTACATACCATTTCTAGCAGCACAGTTTTTCTTCGCCGTCAGCAGGGAACTGTAACTCCCTTTCATCCTGTTTCCTCACCTGCCATCCTCTGGCCACTCATTAGGCCGGCCGTTGTTGTCGTCCTCGTGTCGGGTCCACAGGGAGCGACAGGTGTGTCTGTTGTTGTGCAACAGTGCTATTCTAAGATGTTACAGCACCCCAAACGTGTTGGCGCCGCTCAGAGTGTTTTAGTCTGTCACTTCCCACTGTGTAGTTCCTCTATCGATCCATTAGGCAAAGCTGACTCAAGTGATGGAGATAAAAGCAGAAAGGAAACAAACGCCTGTTGAGAAGCGTCGGTGAGGCGTAGGGATTTGTTTCCTCCTTAAATTCTAGCTTTTGAGTCACAGATGCAGATTAAGGAACACTTAAGACTTACCTAACAACGTCGCTGACTTTTCCCATGTATTTGTAAGTAGTTAAAACCTTTTGGGAGTCTTTTTTTTAAGCTGTTTTCAATAGACCACAAATTGATTTTTTTTTTTTTTCCCGCTTAAACACCTTCTAACCGAACAGCAAATGGAGAGAGATGTAAAATTTCCACGAGTTTCGATTATTTAAAAAGAAAGTTTTAGCATCTGGGATCATTTCGAGGCTTAAGTTATCTGAAAACATGAACGTCTGTAATGAGGGTGTCATGAAAAGAACAAATCATGTTCATAATAAATATGTTGGTATCATAAGTAACCCAGTACCAGTAAGTGTCTGGTTGGTGCTCCAACAGGACCCAGGTGGTTCAGACTCTTTTCAGAAGGAGACTCTGTAGTTTATTTGCCAAAAGAAAGATAAATTCTCCTGATTTGAATGATCTGTAGATGTGCTCATCATGGTTTGTGTAAATACAATGAGCTGCTTGACATCACAGCACACATTGAGTGAACATGTGACATTTACTTTAAAGAGCATTTGAATTTCTCTAAACTTTTGTCCTCCCTCACGTGGACACGAGCTGCTCATCAGTAGGAGTTAGAAACATCCACCCAACGCTCTCAGAACGCCCCCAGCCTTCGGTCCCCAGCTGTACACGGTGGACTCGGACCGCTGCAATCTGCCGGCGGCTCCGCTTTAATTTCCATTAAAAACTTAGCTGAGGAGGCCCGGACGAGTTCATAATTTCATCTCAAGGCTTCCGTCCATCTACCAGAACCTCTGCTGTGGTCTGGCCGTCGCTGCATTCGCCGTGTGTCTGAGCAGCTTCTCACGGGGCCTCAGCTGCTGCTGAACCGGCTGACTGAATGGGTGACCTGACCAGCACGCAGTTGATAATCCAGCCCGAAGATGATGAGGCATGCGTTAGAGTCCGGTTTCCACGAAAACATGAGTAATTCTCCTGTAAAAGCACCACTCTCCGCCATCCTTGTGCCGTTTGCATTAACATTTCTCGAAGTGACTCACTGTGGGCTGCACATTTTGACTAGATTCAGAATTAAACCGGTTTTCAGCCCTTTATGCCGTCGTTGTTGGTGACAAATGTACATACTGGCATCTTTTTCCTTGAGGTGAGAAAATTAGCATTGTGGTTTGTTCTTCTGGCTCCGCGTGATTCATCTGAAATTCGTTTGTTTGTGCATCCATCGTTGGAACGTGCCTCCCTCCCACCGCCTGTCTTCCCTCTTTTTTTTTTATCTCAGAGAGCCGGTGTCCTGCTTCCCGGAGGACAGCGTCTACGCCGTTTGCCCGCCGCAGGTCGACAGAAACAGCCACGACGTGTTCGAGAGCCATGTGATGATGGGCCAGGGCCAGGTGAGGGCGCTGTGCCGGGAGGACACGCTGATGTACAGGGAGTACGTGAAGAACAGATACATGTGAGACGCTCGTACCAGGAAGTGGACGCTCTGTTAGCGGCGCCAGCGTCCAGGATTGGTCGGCTGTGACTCAGCGACGGCATTCTGAAGGTTTCAGCTTCGAGATGTTTGTTTATTTTATTACTTAGCTCAACTTTTTATGTTGCCACTGATGAAGATAGCGGTGCACGACTGACCTGAACGCCGGTAGTAGGTTTCAGTTCTGCCTGATTGTGATTTTTTTGTTTTTTCTTTTTTTTAATGAAAATATTTAGCTTTTTAGTTGTTTTTTTGTTTTTTGTTTTTTTAAAATGAATGCAGACATGCCTTATCAGGGTAGCTATGTGCTGCTTTTTACTGTTTTTTTTTTTTCTTTTTGTCTTTGGTTCAATTTTAATTGCAGCTTTCTTTCTTTTTTTTTTTTTTAAAGATGATTTATTTAACTGTTCACAAATTTCAAATATGCAAGTTGATGTAATAATTTTCAATTTTAAATGCTGGAACCTTTGATTAGCTTCTCTGTCTGTGTTCAAAGTTTGGGAATAAACACGGCCGGGCTTTCGGCATTTTAAGCAGAAAGCCTGAGTCGTACATTAAAAGGGGGTTGGGAAGTGGTTTCTGATGCATTATGGGAAACGTGGGATCCATGCGAGGTACTGATTGTGCTGAACGACGTGAAACCTGCTGCTGCTCAACCACTGTTCTGTTTGTTTCGTATTAAGACTTAATCACTCTTAAATTCCACCTTTTTATTCCTTTTGCTAAATACTTTTCATGTCATTTGAGAAATCTGTTTTTAAAAGGTCAATTTTTTCCTCTTTATTTTTTTATTTTATTTTAATCAAAAACAATTTTATATTTCAGCTGCATAAATCCTATATTAGTGCACCATGCAGTTGAAATGGATTATTATGTTGACACAATGTGATATTTGTTTATTTATCAGCCCTCTCTGACTGATTTTCTTTCTTGTAAACACACGTCTGAGCTGTCGGCTGGTTACGGACACAAGTTCTGCATTAAACATTTATTTATTACCGAGGTGTGTCGGATCCGTTTGCTGCTGCCTGTTTTCATGCTCTGTGTTGTGTTTTTTTTGTTCTTCCACTTGCATGTCAGCGCTCCGTTGTTCTTCTTCGCACATACAAAAATGAAAAAACCCAGAAGAATGGTGCGTTCATGCGTCAGCTCGTCTTTCTCTCGCCGCTTTCTCTCCCATTATGCACCCCATTAACTTTTGTTCTGTCTCGCGCTCTCTCTTTTCTTTTCTCTCTCCCCTCGCACTCTTTTTGTGCTCAGCTTTCAACCACAGGTGTCAGAAAATGTGAAATGTGATGAAGACCGCCTCCCCCTCCTCCCCTCCCTCCGTAGTCCACAATCTGAGTGACCAGTGCTCTCTGCATCGGAGCCTCGTGAGTCTGAGGAGGATGGAGGTGGGGAGGGGGGTGGAGGGAGGCTGCCTCAGCATGTGATGTGATGGAGAATGGCAGGGGAATTAAAAAAAAACCTGCTTTTCTTCTTTTTGCTGTATTTAAAAGCAAATTAGCCGAGTTACTTTGAGCCGTTTTGGACCCTGCAGGATGATTGGGAGTCGTCGTGTGCAGCAGATATCGATTACACAATCCTGTAATGACACATCTCACCTGAAGTGACAAGAGCCTCTCAGCTGCTCCAGGAGGCTTCTTCTGCATCCGGCATTGTCGCCTGTCACCTTGGGATGCTGCACAGCTTCCTCGTAGTGGTTAAAGAGAATACAGTAGCTGGATAATGAGCGCATCCGTCTCACCGTGACTGTGGGTTTCAGCCTTGGACTCAGCAGCACAAAGCTTCAATACAAACTGGTTTTCTTGTTTTCTGTGTAGTTTCTATGCACCAGCAGAACAGTAAAGCAGCTTTAAAGATGGATTCAAATAAATGCTCTGATTTGAATTATTTTGCGTGTAGTACGACCTTCGCTCACCTGTTGAGGAAATCTGACAGTCGGCTTTCACCTCTTCCTGTGCTGAAAAGTTCAGAAACTGCACATATGCAGATGGGCTCACGTTGCTCGATGTCTCCTACGTTCACCATCAGCGCTGTTTCACAAACTGTTCCACAAACTGTTCCAAACCTCACATTTAATTTCAGTTTCAGCTGAGGTCAGGGAGACTCTACGTTTTTAGTAGAAGGATTTGAAAACAGCCTTTTGGGGACAAATTGCTCGATAAAGGCGGTAAAATGATGAGATACCTGCAGGGTTTATGCCTGTATGAGTTTTAATTTGTGTCCTTTTTGTTGCTCCTGGTGGTGCATGAATTACAGATCTATGGTGGCTTATCAATGCACTGCATGTGTCTGATTGTAAACATTAGGGGTGTCCGATATATATTGTCCGACTCAATTTCCGATTCTGATATCAACCTCGCTGCAAGGTGGTGCAGTTGGTAGCATTGTTGCCTTGCAGCAAGATCTTTCTGCATAGAGTCTCCATGTTCTCCCCGTGCAGCGTGAGTTCTCTCCGGGTTCTCCGGCTTCCTCCCACACAGTCCAGAAACATGTTGAGGTTAATTAGTGATTCTAAATTGTCCGTAGGTGTGAATGTGAGTGTGCTTGGTTGTCTGTCTCTAAGTGTAGCCCTGTGATAGACTGGTTACCTGTCCAGGTGAACCTGCCTTCACCCTGAGTCAGCTGGGATAGGCTCCGCCCCCATGACCCTAGTGAGGATTAAGGTGTAGAGATGATGGATGGATATCAACCTATATATATATATATGGGCTGTTAAACTAATTTTAGGCAACATGGCATATCTTCTGTCGTCGAAATCCAGGCATTATTTTATCGGTTTTCATTATAAGCAAAAACAAAACCCCAATAACGACATTGACAAACATTTCTATACTGATCATATCGACCCTAAAAAATATCACACTCATTATGTAGAAGTCTCAAACATAACGGCGTTACAAGTCTGCATGAGGACACTGGATGGTTGGAGACGTCATTCACCGTCAGACTTTCTTCACTTTGTGGCGTTTTTACCAACAGTTTACTTTTGCTTTCGTTGCTGTTGTTAACGTTTTTTACATTTAGGTGCAAACCTGCTTGGTTATGTTTAGAGTGATATCGTGTTGGTTAACCTGTTTAACTGTTTAGTTTCCAGTTGCTGTTTTCCTTCATTTGTAGTCATCGTTTGGTTTGGTTTTTACGAGTAAAGGCACCAGAACTTCTTGGGAAAAGATCGCAGTTTGGGTTCAAATACATCCATGCAAATGCCAAACAAAGAGCTTTATAGCCTTTTTTTGGTAGAAAATATTACATTTTGCGGTGTGGACCAACATATCTATCACACTTTGATTCTTTTATGTGTCATGAACATCCAAGGACCTTCTCTAAAATTAACATTGATTCTTCAAACCAGCAGAATGTGCCTTTAAAAACCACAAACTCTCCTAATTGCAATTACAAAAGAATTTCCCAGAGCAGCAACATGAATGCACAGTATGGACGGTGGTGATGCTTCTAAAGAATAAACCCAAGTCCCTTTAACATAAATGTTGGTGTGATGGGTCACCGTAGGTCATGATGTATGGCCGACCCTTTAAACTCCAGTGTTTGATGCTAAATGCACTGTTTGAACTCAATTCGATTTGCAGCATTAAGCAGGTTTCTCATAAAATCCATCTTCAGCTGACCTCTGCAGCCAAACAGTGGGCCACATGATGCCGACCTGCCCGTTGTGAAGGAAGCGTGTGGAGCTACCGTTGTTGTGAGAAGTAGGTCGAGTATGTGAGCTGATTATTGTTCTATTGTCTCCTCTCAGCCGTCGCACACCAGTTTCCTACCAACCAGGTGTTGCCGTCGCTCTGTTGAACCGTGCTCTCGTTTGGATTCCACGTTGCCATCTTTCATTATTAAAATGTTCTTTGTCTGCCTCGTTACTGACGTTTCCTCAGCCTAATCACACACACACACACACGCTCGGTGGCTGTTGTGGTAAATATCACTATCAGGGCGTTGATGGAGGTGAGTCACCGTGTTTGTGTACGAGCACGTGTTCGCAGGTTCCCAAAATGGGGGCGCCGCGGTTTGTTTGTGTGGGGCTTTGTTTCCTGAAATGGTCTGGCTTGTTGTTTTTTTTTTTTTAGAGGAGGCCTTTTATGTAAAGCCCTGTTTTCCTCATGTTTTTATGGTCCTAATGGCGAGTGTCTCATTACACTGAAACCTCCTCTGCACACACGGGCTGGGTGAATAAATGCATCCAGCCACTGATATTTTTGAGCCGCTTATTCCTGGTAGGCGTCGCAGAAAATAGAACAGAGGTTGAGCGTTTTGGGTGCAGCGGCGCGGGGCTTCTATCTCTGTGGTATTTCAATTAGTCGCAGAAAGTG